GGGAAAGCAACAAAAAAAAGGAGAAAGAAGAAAGGTAAGGGAGATCAGTTGCGGTTTTTCCGCCAACACTTGAAGGTGTAGATCGGGGGGGGGGGGGGGGGGTGGGCACTGGCGTAGTGATATGGGGGGGGGGGGCTTGGGGGAATAATAAAAAAAAATCAAACGTGGTTTATTTCTAATTCCATGACGGTGATTTAAAAATGTTGCTAAAATGACATAATTTTCCAAGATTTTTTCTCACTTTTTTTATTAAATTATACTTTTTGTATGCGTTTGTTGGAAAATGACAAATTCCTAAACTTACAGTCAGGCAAGAAATATGCTTGTTGAGATGCCTACATGTCAGGGCCCGCGGAACGGTGGGATCAGGTGCCTCGATCTTCCTCCCCCTCCTTCACTTAAAAAAAATATATATATATATTAAAGAGTAACAGAAAGTAAGAAAGCAAGAAATAAAATCAGTGAACTGCCAGTGTCATAAAAAAATGAGGTATCAAAATATGCTCATCTGACTGTGATTAACTGCATAAGACCCCCGAGCTTTAGGGGTCTCTTCCCCCTGGATTCCATCTAGGGCCCAAAGTTCGGCCCTTAGATGCTCATGTGACGGTAATTTAATGCCTAAAACCCCTGAAATTCTTGGGGCTCCGTCCCCTGGACTCCAAGCCAAATAGTGTCCTGTCAGTGTCACAAAATAATAAGGTATCAAAAAATGCCCATCTGACCGTAATAAAACGCCTAAAACCCCTGAGCTTCTGGGGCTCTACCCTAGACCCAACCAAGGGCCCTAAGGCGGGCCCACGAATGATTATCTGACAGTAATTAAACACCTAAAACCCATGAGCTTCCGGGGCTCTACCCTAGACCCAACCAAGGGGCCTAAGGCGGGCCCCTTGATACTCATCTGACCTTAATTTAATGCCTAAAACCCCTGAGCTTCCGGGGGCTCCGCCCCCTGAATCCCACGACAATTAGTGACCTGCCAGTGTCACAATAAGGTCCCCTCCCCCCCAAAAAAAAAAAAGAGAAGAGAAAAAGAGGACATAGGAAGAAAAAGGAGCAGAAAAAGAACATTTTTGAAATTCAGACAAGGATGAAGAGTCGACAACGGTAAAATAAATTGTCTTCTTTCTCTAATGATTTAATGAAACGTAAAAGCTTCCGCGCTTCGCGTATGAGGGAAGGGGAACTAACCCCTCCCTGCACCCTCCCCCCTATGGAACGCGATACGCGCGCCCTGTAAGTGATTCGCATGCATCGCATCCTCAAATAAAATCCTAGCTACGCGCTCATCTGACCGTAATTAAATGCCTTAAACCCCTGAGCCTCTGGGTCTCTGCCCCCCTGGCCCCTACCAGGGGGCTTAAGGCAGACCCCTGAATGCTTATCTGACCGTTATAAAATGACTCAAATCCCTGAGTTTCATGAGGCTCAGCCCCCTTGACCCTACGTTATACGCCAATTAATAACCTGCCAATGTCATGATCGAATAATTCAAAATATGCTCATCTGCCCGTAATTATATGCCCATACCCCTGAGCTTCCGGGGGCTCCGCCCCTTGCCCCCCGTCGGGGCTTTGCCTTTAGACCCCATGCCAATTTACGCTACGCTCTACCTGATCGTAAATACTTTAGCCTCCCCCGACCCACTTTGAAAAAAGTTCAGCGGGGCCTACATGTAAGAGAATGGGAGTAGAGATTGTGCACACAGTGGATTCTTAGATTCTTTTAAATCCTCCCTAAAGACATTCATTTGTATTTCTCCCTGTTAATCCTCCCTGTTAGTCTGTAGCTTTAATGTGTTATTCACGGTAGATGGAATATAATTGCCTTAATTTGAATTTGTAATGTTTTGCCCTAAAATTAATTGAATTCTATTGTATTTATATGTATGGACTAGATGTATCTGTGCTTATGTATTTTGAATTAATTGTAGGTTGATTAGTATATATTAATTCTAGTTTGTAAATATGATATTGAATGTATTATTATCTAAGTATTGCCAACTTTGTAAAGCGCTTAGAAACATTGTAATAAGCGCTATAGAAATATAATGTATTATTATTAATCATTGTTATTGTGAAAGATAAATACAATAGTATAAACAATGAATATTTCACCTATGTCACCTGTAAATTATTTTTGTTTGATGTGTTTGTTTAAGCTTAGTGGCTGCTGAGAAAGTCTGTGTATTGCAACCAGGGGACCGATATCTTAACTCTTATCATGCCACAGGGCTAATCCCCATTGTGCCAAGCCCCAAATCCCTCAGTGCCAAGTTTATATTGAGATAATCTGATTAACGCGATGGTTCTATGAATAGCGCGTGCAAAACACACATCACACTACAATGAGCATGAACAATAACTGCTACTACAAAAGTGTACACGCACGCACAAGGCACCATAGCAGTAGTTTGCTCGCATGAACAAAGCACCATAACGATAGCGTGCATGCAGCCACATGGCAGGCTATGAGTTAAAATCCTCTCTGGAGGACTTGGTAATGAGGATTAATGCCTTACCAAAGGGCATGAGCGCATATGCAAACCTGGGACGTCTACATTACAAGTCCACTGCTCTCCCACTGAGCCATCACACCTCCTATTACAACTAATACACAGGCAAATACACCATACTCATACAAATAGCTCATATACAGTAGGCTTGCGGGTGCACCATGTGAGAGAGAGAGAGAGAGAATTGAGGAGTCCTGAAAGGGACTCTGACTCGGTAATCTTTCTTGGGGGTGTGTAGTCCTGAAAAGGACTGTTTATTATCTTTCTTAGCTTATAGTTCTAAGGAGAACTATAGCGCTTGGAGATGGATGAGTGGCTCGACGTTTCGAACAGGTTGACTATCAGTCGTCAGGAGTGCACCCGCAAGCCTACTGTATATCTACATCACCATGCAAGCCGACACTTACAAGTAGCAAATAGCTCAGTTACACACGATCTGACACAGATAATACAAAATGACAAATGAGAAGTGAGATATTCCCCCACCATTTATTAAATTAATGCAGATAAAAGCAACTTTCCTGAAAAAATATTATATTGAATCTACCCTTGTAACTTATCATTGTATTACATCAAAATGAATTCTCCATAAATATGAATATAAAAAGATTATTAAAAAAAAGAAAGAGTATAAATGACTTTCAAATGATAAATTGTCTACTTCTAATATATATAAATATATATGGAATGGGTCTCGAGAATATATTTTAAAAGAAGAAGTAAGCTTCTAATGCACTTTAAGAGCATAATATTGTCTCCTAATGAAGTGACAAACGGGTATCACACATGCATTTAGTTTTATCAAAGCATCAAGCCCATCTCAAGTTCCCTTTTACACGTATTGAAAATGCGACAAAAGTCATCAGAAATATGTGTAGAGCATTATGAGACATTACCCAAACTTAACATTACAGATATACTGCGTTAAAACTAAGACATGGTTTAGCACAATATAAGAAAAAAAATGAGTTGAAATTCATCATGTTAACCATCATACAAAAAGGATACAAAAAGGATACAAATAAGACAGTTAATTTAAAAAAATGCTATTCTATTTGATAAGACGAACCATACATGTATGTATAATAAACGTACATATTATGTAATTGAACATTTTTGCTACGAATGGATGGCTTTGGAACTTCACACATACATGTGGCACATTAAATTCACTTCAATATTGAAGAAGAAAAAAATTGCACTAACAGTTTCTAATTGAACGAGTACAATTCACTTTCTAAATCTCAACATTTCTTTATAGAGTCCGTTCATCAGCAAGGAAAAGAAAGAGAAAAAAAAGAAGAAAAAAAAAGAGAAAAAGTGAGGAATAAAGTTGATCTGCTAACCTTTTAGCACTACAGAAAATCATATAATACAGGTATCACCCTTCACCAATTTATAATACAGGAAATACTATAAATTTGAAATACTGACAAATATCCTACAGAATATTAGAAAAATAGAGACTTATAAAAAACATAATATGAAAACGTATATTTGGATACAGGATATATGTATGTATCATAAATTCACAAAGGAATAACTTTCATTGCATTTTGTAGGTGTAAAAAACGAGAAATTATTAAGGACTTGGCAAAAAGATAGTACTCGTAACAAAATGAAATGATGCAAAGATGCAATACCCCCTCAACGAATACATTAGTCCCAATATAAACAAATTATTCTAAACATAATCTCCGATAAATGGGAGCCCCTTGAATAAATGTATTTGGTTTAAAAAGTACCAACAAAATTAACGTAGAAAACTAATCAATATATAGATACACAATGTTTACCGTAAATGAAAAGCCAAAATTTTTTCTTTGCATGATAAAACTGTGAGATTAATTCTTTATGAAAGACACAGAATGAAAGACATAAACCAATTTATAATCACAAATTAAACAATGAGATATATCTCATATTGTGATATGTAGTTTGCTGAGTATATATATATTTTTTCCATTATAAAAATTCATATAAATTCAGTCTCACCAGAAATAAAATCTCCATTAAAAAATCTGACATGATTCTCTAAACAGTGAATAATATTTTTTAACAAACCATTTTGTTCACACGTCACAGAATCACCTAAACAGTTTCATACCCGTTTCTATATTAAAATAATCACATGGGTTTTTTTGACAATCAAAGCCTTATTCAGATATGCACAGGTATACTGTGTCGTTTATAAAAAGAACTGGGGGGTGTTTCACAAAGATCCTAAGTAGAACTTAACTCTAAGTTGGACTTAAAAATTATGGACAGCCATTGGAGTCTTAAAATGAAATATATTCAAAAGCGGAAATTTAAGTATTTTAGACTTTTTTTTATAAATTCCAAATCCAGAACATGAAATCTCCTTGATGATAGAAAATATGAATGATTTGAATCAACATTTTATGCCTTTCAAAATAACTTTTACAAAATATTTTCAAAGATGCTAACGGCTTTCCATAATTTTTAAGTCCAACTTAGAGATAAGTTCAACTTAGAATCTTTGTGAAACACCCCCCTGAAGACGTAAAGTGTAATATGCTTCACATTGCCTATTGGATAGCATAAAGCTACATCTAAGTTTAATGCATAAGACCATTGTTGCGTGCAGTTTACATTCGTTTAAACATAAGGAAACCGCAGCAGTTTATGCGCGGTGGCATTCCCGGTCATATGTGAACGAGCATTTTTTATTTTATTTACTAGATATGCAGAGTTAACCCAATCGAATCTCATGGAGTGTCTCTGGGTGTAGTAAAAGTCCATTCTGGAGTATGATCCTTATTGCTCCTCGATCAAGGAAAGCACGGTACGATGAAGATAGATGTATTGGTACTGCAATGAGAATATCAAAACAGGATAAAAGTTAAGTCATATATAAGCGAGAGGCTGAGGGAGAGAGAGAGAGAGACAAAAAAGAGAAAGAGAGGAAGAGAAAAATAGAGAGAAATTCAAAGAGAAAAAGAGAAAGGGATGGAGAGAGAGAGAGAAAAAAAAAGATAGAGAGAGAGATAGATAGAGAGAGAGAGAGATATAGACAGAGATAGAGGGAGAGAGAGAATATACACATAAGGGCCACTGTATTGCTCTTGCTTTAATATGTGGATTAAAAATCATGTATGACTATTTACATGTGTATGTACCGCATACATACATAAGTATACATTGTATACATGGACAGAAGATGAGATAACATTAAAATTGTAGGGACTCGCCCAAAATAAAATATTGAATTTATTTTCTTATTTTCTGTGGGAAAGAAAATAGGAAAAACTTTTCTTCACATGACCATATGTGGCAAACCTAGGTTAAAGTCTGATCAAAGGAATGTATGCACTTTGAAGTGCCAGCCAGGCTGGAACCTACCACCTTGGCGTATCCAGTTAAGTGATTAAATCACTCAACCACCAGAAATCTATTTTTCTAGTCTTCAATTCCATCATGTTCATCTACGTGTCCGAATTAGAATTCAGTTTGCGAAATTAAGACAGGAGAGATAAAATTCATTGTCCCTTACCAGTGTTTGAACCAAGAGGGCTCTTTGCTCTCTGATCTTCGCTATAGTACCAGCAACGTCAATGTAGTCGGTAGCAGTGGATCGTTGTATGGCATCCATTAACATATCAGCAGCGATGAACGTTCCTGTCCTGCCAACACCAGCACTGCAACAAAAACAATGAAGACATATAAGAAATGTAGTCGAACCGTCAATTTGTTTTATACGTTGAGCCTTGCTCGCTCTCTTATAACCCATTATTCATAAGTCCTTTTCAGGACTCCAGTCATGAGTGAATACATCTCTCTCTGAACTTTCTCTACCTCTTACCCAACAATATCAAGTCCTCATCTCTACCTATGGTGGACTAATGAAACAAACGATGGACTACGAGAAGCTACTCTTGGTCAATGTAAATAAACATGTATACCTACTGTATATGATCTGCTTTGGGTAGGAAATATACATGTATGAAGTATACTCTCATGATAATTGCTCAGTGGTTGAGTTTTAACACTATACCAAATTCCCAACTTTTATCTGTTATCGGGAGCAAAGCACATGTTCCTACGGCAACTGGGGGGTGTTTCACAAAGATTCTAAGTCGAACTTAACTCTAAGTTGGACTTGAAATTATGGAGAGCCATTTGTAGCCCAAAAAATCGAATATATTCACAAGCAAAAATTTTATTTTAGACTTTTCATAAATTCCACATCAAGAACATGAAATCTCCCATGATAATAGAAAATATGAATGATTTGAACTAACATATTATGCCATTAAAAACGAATTGTACAAGATATTTCAAAGATGCTAACAGCTTTCCATAATTGTTAAGTCCAGCTTAGTGGATAAGTTCAACTTAGGATCTTTGTGAAACACTCCCCTGGTCTGGAATTGATTTCCTGACCTCAACCACGGACCAAATACACTATCTATATACATGTAATCCTAACCCTACAAGGTCACATAAAACCCAACTACAACCTCAACCCTAGTCCAGCGCAAATCATCCATTGGAGCCAGAAGGGTGTTAACTCATAAGTATTGAACACAGAATTAATACCCTTTTGCCTCCTAACAGACGAAATGATGGATCAGCATTTGTTGTCACTTACCTGCAGTGGACGACGATCGGACCGGTTGCTGCCCCATCTTCCTGGTTAGTCACTTTGACCTGACGGAGTAGCCCCACTAGAGGGGCAGTGGACTCGGGCACGCCATGGTCGGTCCAGGCGAGGTACTGGTAGTGGGTCACGGTGCGTTCTGTACCCTCCTGTTTGGGTGGGAGCAGAATAGATTTTTAGTATATTTCATGAACAGTCAAGCTTTACGATGATTGCGATATTTCGGCATAGGACAAAACATTGCAGACTGACAACTTTTTGGGTGGCTATTCCCTAATTATTCCCTGATTTGAGTGAATTTCCTGCAGTTTAATTATTTTTTACTTTCTTAACAAGAAAACAAAAAAGGGTTTTCACTGATTTCCAGGATAGCTGGGAATCCTATGAAATGTGATATTCATATAAGCCCTTACCTTTTCTAGGAGAAGTGTGCGTTCGATGAAGTTATCGGTCTGGTTACTGCCAACAAGGGTGACAGTCACGTTGCCATGCAGTTGAGGCTCTTCTCCAGCTGGCCAGTAGTGCTCGCATTTGGTCTGCAAGAAGGAAAGCATTTCATTTCATTAGGTATTATTTTCTAGCAATAGTTTGCAGATTTACCTTATTTATTGTGCTGATATCAATATCACCAAACATGAAATCAATATAACAATGATGGTGCTAATTTATGGTTGCCAACATCATCATCATCCTCATATTTGTTATTTTCACCACCACTATCATCATCACCATTGTCCTCATAATAATCATCACCACCACCACCACCTCCACCAAAAGACGTTAAAAGACGGGAGTTGCTGCTACCTTGTTTGGCGTTCAACAATAAAGGGGATAGAGCAACGTCGATCTGGCGCTGCATGCTCAGTGGCTGCCAGGCTCACGATCAATTGGTCAAAAAGAATTTCCATTTTTGGTTTAACTTAATAAAACTTGGAGTGGACTTTAAAAGATTATTATTATTATTATTATTATTATCATCATCATCATTATCCTAACCTTTTCTTGTCTAACTAATGCAATTACTACCATCATCATCATCATCATCCTCACTACCATCAGTATCACTATCACCACCATTATCATCATCATCATGATATCATTATGAATTGGAAAACGTATATATGTAAAAAAAATCTGAAAGAAAAACCTTTTACAAAGTGTTTGGTTGTTTATTTCTTCTAAATTATTTTGCCAAGTAAATCTATGATATTTCAAAAATAAACTGCAATTTGTAACTGATATTTATAAATGTATGTTCCTATCACATTTTGAATGGCCAAGAATATAATTTCGAAATTCTGCATGTATGTATCGATTCTTGTATACATTAAACGAACGACATTATTTAATAAAGGAACCTTGTGGAAAGGGAAAAAAAATGATATCATCCTACACATCGTCCACTGACTAAAGCAACATCACCATCACTATGATCAATATAATAACAATAACGAAGACATTTATAATACACACTATATCCACGCTAATGGTACTCATGGCGCTTACAGTAAATCACTCAACATCATCCTCATCATCATCAATACCAACATCACCAACATCATCTTCCCCCTTACCTTTCCTCCTTCCACCAATGCAGTCATCATCACAATGGTACTGGTCTGGTTTTCCCAAACCATCTCCCAGAAGTGTTCAATGGTGTTTGGCAAGGGTCCTTGGGTCGCAATGTACTTCTTCTGTCCATGATCATCCTGAACATTAAAAAGAAACAAGGTCAGGGGAGTGTTTCACAAACACTAAGATCAACTTAAGTTGGATTTGAACTAAAGGAAGGCGATTTATGCCTTAAAAAGTCTTGAACCAGATGTAAAATTAGAGGAAAAAAACATAGAAATTATGCTGGGAGTAAATATTCGTATTCGACGCATGTCTTTGTCAGTGATGAAATTATATAACCTTATAGCATGTTCATGCGATGACAATACAAAAGTTATGTAATCCCATGTAATCCCACGATACTTAAACGATAAACAATGCATGCAAAAATGATCTTTAGATAATATTTTTTTAGCTTCAATTCATATTGTCCGATTCTGGCTTTCTGTTCATTCTTACGATTTATGGTAAATTTATGATTCACACACGTTATCTTTTTTCCGCTTTGAGCCTTTGTTCATTTAGCTTTCATTAATATTGTCTGATTCTGGCTTTCTGTTAATTCTTATGATTTCATGTGAATATATGATTCACAGGACGTTATCTTTTGTGCGCTTTGTTCCTTTAGCTTCCATTCATATTGTCTGATTATTGCTTTTTTGTTCATTCGTGCAATATACAGTGATGAATACAAGATGAAAAGTATGCCTGTATTAGTTACTATTCTTTGATGGTAATAACAATTGTTTGCTATGGTTAGAGATTTACCTTAATGTAACTTGCATTGATGTAATCGGTACCGGCTACTCCTTTCAGTTGGACTCTGGTGTAGTCATCTGCAGGAAAGAAAGAAAATTAAAGATATACATGTTTTTGATGTGATCAAAGTTTTACATTAAGTTTAAAGACAACAAAAGATAAACATATTAATGTTTTAATGGGTAAAAGTAAAGAAAAGAGAAAAAAAGCTTCTTAAAATTTGCAGTTAACAATTAAATCATTCACACCCTTACCATGTTTTGTAATTTTGTGAACTATTTCAAAACTTGCTTTCTGTCCCGATTTATATTTCTTGAGAATGTGACATATAAGCTTACATCTAAGAGTAATCAACAAAGACTTAATTACGTCAGTCCACCTTTCATTCTTGAGTAACGGAAAGCACAAAAACATCAAATTTAGAAGTATGAAATTTCAGTTATTAACTCTTATCCTGCCATAATAAATACAGCCTAATGCCACAGGGCTAATCCCCATTGTGCCAAGCCTCAAATCCCCCTGTGCAAAGTTCATTTTGAGATAATCGGATTAACACAATGGTACTATCAATAGCGTCTGCGAATCACTAGGCACAGTGCAATGGACATTAACAATAACTGCCATTACAATTGTGAGCATGCATGCACAAAGCAGATAAGCGGTAGCTCGCTCGCATGAATGAAGCAATCAGTCAATAGCACGCTCGTGTGTACAAAGCACTATAACGGTAGCGTGCAAGCAGCCTTATGGCAGGATATGAGTTAACTGTACATGTAAGGCATGTATGTCAAACCTTAACGCATGTCTCCTCTGGTTTTCTTCATTTGTCAAATTTACCTTTGTTAATGGAACAATGTCAATATTTATGCTTGCAACATATCTTTAGATAAGTATTTTTAGAAAAATGAAACTTTGAATATAAAACACTGAGAAGAACCTAAAATCTGAATTACTTACAAGGCAAGATGTTCCTGTATCTGTTCTTATCATCATTTCTGGCCTGTCGAGCCGCAGTCACCGCTCGAGTCTTTTCCATCGCTGGCAAATTCTGAATGAAATTATTGAAATATCCACATTCATTATTTAAACAATCTAATAGAAAGGAAAATACTTTGAATTTATTTATTCATTTGAAAATTCTTTTTTATTTATGTGCAGCTAATTCACTCACACGGAACAGCAGGGTTACGACCTCATTCACTTTGCCAAACCGGAAAGTTATTTAAGCCAATGGTGGTAACGTGTTTGTCTGTTCGGTTTGTAGTTGGTCTAGTGTCTGTCTTGTTGGTGTGAGTGAGGTATTAGGGATGCAAGAGGGTTCTAGGTTACATGCAGGGTTATAGGGTTCTTTATGAGTTTTAGGTAACATTACAGGTTTTAGGTTACATTACAGGTTTAAGGTTACATATAGGGTTATAAGTTACATAATAATACAATTCCGCTTATATATAGGGTTTTGGGTTACATTTAAGGTTTTGGGTTACATAACTGGTTATAGGTTACAAGGAGGATTTTAGGTTACATACAGGGTTTTAGGTTACATTACAGGATTGGGGTTTCATTACAGGTTTTAGGTTACATATGGGGTTCTAGGTTACATTACAGGTATTAGGTTAAATATAGGGTTTTGGGTTATATTTAAGGGGTTGTAGGTTATGGTCAATCAGTGTAGTATTTTGAACATAGAGCAAAGGTTGCCAGGGCACATGTCATTCAAACCATTGAAAAACCCATCTTTTAAAGGTGAAATGAATCATCCTATGTAATTATCTTAAATCAATAATTAAATATTAAACAAAACAAATATAAATGCATGAAAAAATTAAAATTAATTATAAATAATTAAGAAAATGAATAAGAAAATGAATAAATAAATAAACAAAACTGTGAACACTTACATTATATTCATCACTGAATCCAGCATTGTTGCGAGCAGACATCTTGGCAACGTGTTGGGCAAACATATTCTTCTTGGTAGGACTGGATATGAACATAGCATGTAGCAAAAATAATTAAAATTGTGAATTTTCAAGTCAAATCATTTTATTCAAATCTGTAGAAATATAAATAAACACAATCAATAATAAACTTAAGTTATAACTCATACGAAGCCGACATGATCTGTCATACACACACGCTTTGTCTGTGGAACAATTAGGTTACAAAAATACAATAGGTTATTGTGCCTTCTGGTTTACAGAGTAAATAAATGACAAGGTAAAATGTCTGGAAAAAAATTACTGTGTATATAAATGGCAATTTGGATAACAAAACATCCTCACACGACGATTGCCCCTTCCAATACATTTTGTCCCTGATCTGAGAAAGATGAAAGATGATACAGATATGGGATGAGCCCTCTGCCCATCCAATTAAATCTCCCCACACCGATATATTTAAAAGGATTGTACTGCCATAGATGTAAATGTATGCTTAAGCAGGTTTTACTGGAGCCTGATCGTGTACAAGTTCTGCTTTTCAGTTACACTCTTCAGATTTTATTCTTTAAAAAAAATATTTCGTCTTCCATCTATACTCCCCTCAAAACACTCTCCTTATTTACCATGCATGGTACTGTACTTGAGTTAAGTGATCTACCTGTACAGTACTGTTTTGCTACTCTCTTGCTTGTATGAATCTTAATTTAAGTGATAGCTTACCGGGTATGCGTGGTGGAAGGTTGGTGAACTTGGGCTGTGGTTCCCCTGTTAGGTGGTATCGTGGAGTAATCGGGTATATTCGTGAACGAGTGCTCCATTATTTGTGGCTGCTGGTATGCGTACGTATTTACTCCATCGTTGATTAGCGCCCTCTTCATAATGCCATTGCCATTGCCATTGCTGTAGCCGTTGCCGTTGCTGTAGTCATTGCCATATCCATTACTGTCATCAGAGTACATACCATCATCCGGTTTTCCGCAGCTGTTATTGTAAGGTGCAAAAGCGAAATTGTTCTTAGGATAGTTCTGAATGAAAAAATTGGGCATTAGGACACATCCCTTTTCAGCCCTATTGACTAAAAGGTAAATAAAATAGTCATATAATTGCGATTAAACTATCTATTGTTGTCCCAATGGTACACGCCATCATCTGGCTTACCACAGCTGCAACAGAAACAAAAATGAAATCTTTTCTCAGGATAATTTTGAATCAGAAAATTGGACATTAGAACGCACTTCTTATAGCCTGTTTTTTTTTATACACTGTTGTGTTTGAAGTATATGCCATTCACTGGTTTTCCACAACTGTTAGGAAAAATGGGGACATATTTCAATGAAATCATTCTAGGGCAATTATGGATTGGAAAATTGGATATTTAAAAAACCTTAAAAAAAACAACATTCCTTAACCCTTACTGTACTGGAGGGGGCCTGGGAGCCCCCCCCCCCCCCTCAACGTTTTTGGAGATTGCGCCGCAACCGCTTGGAATTTTGAATTGTCGTTTCATGACTTTTCCCCTTCGAGTCTTACGCACATTTTGATACCATTTTCGTCGAAATCGGATATACCTGTAAGGTGTTACATAACAATTAGTATGTGCATGTCATCAAAAATATGCTATAATTGCATATATTCATGTACAAGCAGAAATGTGAATACTGAATTGATATCAAATTGCTTTTATATGTTTCTCAAAGTAACTTGATGTATTCCAGAACAAAAGAATACATTAGAAATAAAACAATAGATATAATAAGAAATAAAAAACAATAAAATACAAAAGAAAATAAATATTTGAAAATCGCATCAAATTTGCATAAATTATCATTATTAATTACTTCAGATTAACTATTTTGTGTTAGAAAAGAAGTTTCATATAGATAATTGGTTTCAATTAACATTCATAAAGGGGAGTATGACAATTTTTGTAATGATTCTAGTTCCCTGTATATTTCTAGATTTGATATTCCTGAATGCGTATTCATAATTTATGCAAATTAACCTATGTATTTCCAAATATCATAAAAATAATGTAACCTCATGAATTTGGGATGAAGGAAACATTTATTCAATACATTTTCAACATTCTTCACAAGTCTACAGACAAATATGAAGAGTTTTCTGTAAAATGCATAAAATTAGCATTTTGCATAATTAATTAGGCTTTAACGACATAAATTTGCATATTAGGAAAAAACTAATTATACCATCTTGTTCCTTACGTAAATATCTACAAACATGCAAATTTTCACGTTCATCGGACTTTCGACGGCCGAGATCATAGGAGGGGGCCTCCCACCCCCCCCCCCCCCCCCCCCAGTCACGAGGTGCTCAAAATAGCCCAGTACAGTAAAGGTTAAAGTTTAAAGGAGAGTTATTGTAGTTTGAAACTAAAGAAAATTACATGGATGTGTTCCATGAGTCTGTTTGTCAATGTATTTTTCTCTTGCTAAATGCCTAGGTCACAAGAAAACTTTTTAATTTTTATGTCAGTTTGTTTCTTGATTTTCCAAATGCATGCATTTCCCATTGAAGCTTCTACCCTACAATGCACTCTTGGTTCGAAGTATGCATTTTAATTTCAATGTCACCTCGATACTGTCTTGATGCTGCTGCGATGTGGAGGAAAGTAATAGAAACACAGTGAGAAATTTGAAATTTTGTGGCCAAAATTTTCTTGGGCCTTTGCATTGTTAATCTTTCCCCCCCCCCCTAAAACGCATGGGAAACGCAGTGTAGCTATACATGTATCAACGTCACTTTGGATCCAATTCAAATCATGCATTCCAAGATCGATGTTAGAACGTCTGTCCAGTTTTCACATCGCAATGGACAAGCATGGGTTGAACGCATTGGTGTGACATAGGCATACCTGACGCAAAGATGGTTATAATTATCTACCAAAATGTACCCCCATACACACTAGGCGCGTCTTCATCATCTCGAGATTGCCAAATAGCCGGCTATTTCTGATTTGGGAAATAATACAGAAGTTACAAATTGCGTCTTCATCAGCTTGAGATTTGACCTCGAAACTTGAAACTCGACCTTGAGAAATAAGCTCAAGATATTTTGCGTTTGCGCATAGTGTGAGTCTTCGGTCTGGTGAAGACGCACTGGACAAATAGCTGGATATTTTTCAAACTATCCCAAGATATCTTGGGATGACAATCCCGACCAAATATCCTTATAATTGCTACTTCGGGCTGATGAAGACGCAAATTAGCTGGATAGTTTGCGATCGGGATTGTTCAAATAGCGGGATATTTGGCCATCTCGAGCTAGTGAAGGCAGGCCTACTGTGAAAGTAGAGACTCACCATCCAAATCCCATGGCCATGAAGATGATGAGGATGATGACTACCATGATGGCAAGGACAATTGCCGGGATGACAAATATTCCTCTGTCGGGATCTGAAATCAATAGTGGATAGAGATAACTATAAGGCATCATTTAACAATGTTAATTTTTTAAGATGCATGGCCCTACGTATTATCAGTGTCTGTAATATGGTATAATATTGATGCCCTAAAAAAATTGCACTTCAAAATAATCATGAAGTGCCTCACAAAAGTAGAAATCTTTGAGTGACCGGTTTTACCATAGTAATTTTTCACAATAGACAGTAGTATTATACAAACCATTAGGAAAATTAAATTTAAATTTCCCATCATAAATATCTTGATAATCAGACAGGCGATCGGCTTGTAAAAGTCATGAGATTCCTGACTGACCTAAAGGTTTATGATTACGATTGCAGCATGAGCTCAATCCAAGATTTTGTTTCAGAATATGAGGCAATGTCACCGAGGCACTTTAACAGCTGTAGAAAATGGAAAGAGACATGTTGGACACGGTCTCATATTATGCCTGATAATTCATTGCGCCATCAGTGATTTCCTACAGTATGCGTTATTTCCAATGAAATATCTGACATGAATTCCAAATCGTGGCTATTTATCAACTCTGTCGATGCATATGCACAAAGCACAGAAAAACTTACATGGGTAAGGGATGGTGTTATACACAACTGGTTGTACATCAGTTTTCACCTCACATTGATACGATAACACCCATACATAACACATAACACATGTAGCTTGTATCATGTACATGTATATATATTTATATCTTTCTACTTATCAAATTAAAGACAAATATATCTTTATTGCTACAAATTTTAGAACACTGTGTACAAAACATGTAAAGGGTGTACATACCTGTTCTAAATGGAGAGCTGAATTCAGTATCCACAAACTTGCCGTCCACACCATACGCTCTAATAGCAAATCTGGTTTTAAAAAACACAGTGAAGAAAATTGTTTGATTTAAAAGTCATGAATATACCACATTACCTTTACCTAATTCAGTTGAAATGCTAAGGCGTACATACACTGGTAGTAGTTTGTCTCATTGTTAATACATGCGTGCCATGAGGCCTAAATCATTAAGCCCGAATTCTACTGAAATCTAAACCCAGACGCTGAACTTTAGCTTTCGTTCAAATTTCAAAAACTGTCAACCAATTCAAAACCTGTCTTAAAGCGAGTATCTGTACTAGTTTATAGGAGGGATTAGAGCACCTGTTACTGTTATAGGCATTGTTTTCTATATAGAGAGAGCAAGTAGCTACAAGTAGGACAGTGTGGCTTTAAGACACATTTATTCAAAATTGCTTTTGATGCCTCTAACTGACTCTGTTCACATTGATGTTTGTTTTATATGTATTGTAATTTTTTGTTTAATATATAATAGTTTGTCATTTTAATTTGTTTTTTATAGCAATTAAAGACTTTGGTTGAAAGCGCTTTATAAGCACGTTTTATTTTTATCATTATCATTATCAGGCTAAAAAAAATATTGTCTGAAGTCTAAGGTTCCTTTTGTTTGGCTTTTTCTTTTTTTGCCTGTTAAAAGAGATTTCTGACCAAAATGGACACCCAAAGTGCAATGACCTTTTCTTTCTTCTTTCAAATTTAACATGGCAGGCCGAGTATCTGATGATTTTTTTTTTATTGTTGCTTATACAAGAATTTATGTCAGCCAAAACGGAACACCTAAATGTGACCTCAGTATTTGTTACACTTTCATGAAGCCAAAACAGCACACAAAAACCTGATGATCTTTTAATTTTGGTCGTCGCAAAATTCAGGGATTGTGCCACCACCCGAGAATCCTGGATATGCCACTGATGTATACTCTACCTGTAAGAGGTACCAGGGTAGAGAGCCCCATTGCAATAGGCAGTAAGATCATCAGGATCACAGGACTGTGACCCAACTCTGAAGGTGGTTACACCTGCCCCATCAGCAAAAGGGTTATAGTCATCAGGCGTGGTCTGGTAGGAGGGAACAGGGCGTGTCCTTCTGGCTTCAGCCCAGGTGAGTGTAGATGTGGTCTGACGTTTGGCTGTGATGACGACGGTACCTGCAGAACAAGAAGATGAACTATGAGAATTCGGGGACATCTTATATCTAAACCCCTACCATGCCACTAAGTTGACAAGCAGTTATCAAATTGTACTTTTATCACTCAACTTTCCCATTTCAATTCAGCGTTTTATTGTCAAACTGAGCATTTGATATATCTCATTATAAATCAGAAATACAAAGTCTAGCTATTCATAGTCCAGGGGGTGTTTCATAAAGAACCTAAGTCGAACTTAACTCTAAGTTGGACTTAAAACTATGGAGAGCCATTTGTAGGCTTAAAATTAAACATATTCACAAGCGAAAAATCTAGTGTTTTAGACAGATTTCCATAATTGTTACGTACAACTTAGAGATAAGTTCAACTTAGGATCTTTGTGAAACACCCCCCAGGAATTGCTCTCAAACAACAGACTACCACTGAGCTCTCTTAACCCAATAGCAACTAAACCGCCTGAAACGTTTTCCGTTTTCGTCTGTTTTTAACATGCTATAGTATCCGTTCTAGGGTCTACCTATAATGTTATACGTGCGCAATCCTACTTTGTCTACAGTAGAATTCTGCATAGAAAAATAGCCCATGTTTCATATTGTTCAGAAAAATGTCAAAATGAGAGCAATATTGCAACATCTTCCAGTGAGTAATAGGCTATTATTACAAAATCTCTAGTTGCTAATGGGTTTATGCCATGGCCAACAAATGCAATGATAGTTTGCAAAATCATGGCACAAAATGTCAAGATAGACCTAAATACATATGCATGTACTATGTTCAATAGAGCACAGGATAATTTGACTACATGCAGAAGACACTCACTTTACGTGTTTCTTCACATCATGCTTCAAGGGCAATCAAAACCTTAAAAAAGCTTCATAGGCATAGAAGTTTGAAATATATCAGGCCAACAACAAGGGAGGTAGAAAGGTTTGAAATGTGAGATGACTACATCCTAGCGATTCTCAAAATGGCAATTTGGACAGTGGATTGTGACGTTGTCCGATTAAACAACTCTCCCATTTGTTGTGTACAAAAATATCTGATTTTAATACTCTTTTTAATTTCTCGGCTCTCAGCAGATGACATTATCATTGACACTTACCGCCATCAACACGTTCTTGCACAATGATTGCAAAGCGCACGATGCGTCCAAACGCAGTATCAAAGAGATTGAAAAAAGTGATGGTGATAGTGCTGCCTCGGGAGACCAACGAGGGAGTTGCACCACGAGGTGGAGTCGGTGGAGCTATATAAAGAAAGAAAATAATGAAGATAAATGAACTTAACTGATTTTTCCCTATTTTTATGATATCTGAGCCCTGCATGTATCTTAACAAAACGCGCTTAAAAAGCGGGTTCCAAACCTTCATTGTAGACCCTCTTGTTTCCACAAGCATTTAACTACACATACACTGTAGATTGGTTGTGTGCCCGTAATGAACAAGCACTTTGAATTATATTTTTGTTTTACCAAAATTAAATGTTGATATTTATAAAGTAGTGGTGCTGCATCAATTCTTTTTCTTTTATTTTCTACTCTTCCTCATCTTCCTCTTCTTCTTCTTATCATCAATTTCATCATTATCATAATTATTATCATCACCACCGTTATTACTACTACACATACCTGTTTCAGCAAACAGGGTTCTGGTGGTCGACCTTTGATTACTAGACGCGACCTGGTTGGTAGCGTACACCGAGAAAACATAGTACTGCCCTGCAGCCAAGCCAATGACATCCTGTGAGTATTCTGTCGGCTCAGCCACAGCACTAATGGTGACAGTATCCCCATACTGTGTGTAAAAATAAAAGATTTGGATTTCCTCTTTACGAATAAAGGTCATTGCAGGCGCGATGGCTCAGCATTAGAGCAGTGGTCTTGGAATTGGGAGGTCCTAGGTCCAAAACCAAGTCGATGTGCTGGTGCACTTTGGTGAGGAACTTAATCCTCACATAAGTCTCTTGGCAAGGACTTTATTGTAAAAAAAAATGGGCTATTTTGAACCTTTCAAGAAAAATGGTGGGGGGGGGGGGGGCTAAAAGGGCCCCCCCCCCCTAAGATCTCGGCAACCGAAACTCTGATCAACTCCAAATTTGGCAAGGTTATAGATGTCCATGAGATCTACCATATTGCATAGTTAAATGCAATGCAAATGCAATAAGTTTTATTCACCATGTCAAATGGGAATACTAACAGTTCATGTGAAAAGATCTGTATGTTATATATGGAATAAACAAAAATTAAAATCAAGTGACACAGGATCGCAAAATGTTACAGAACACCCAGACCGTTGACCCGGTGTGCCCAAATTTGGTATCAAAGATGCATAAGACTCGAGAGAAGAAAGTCACGAAGTGGCACTGTAATATATTTAAGCATTACAAAGTAATCACAAAAATAGAGGAAGGGGAAGCTAAATCAGCCCCTCCCCCTCCCAGTCTTTTTAGGGTTAAAGCCATCAGTCCCCCTGGTTGCTTATTTTAACGCATGCACAAACTATTTCAAGCATTTTAAGTCAGGTAAAGTAACCATCACATCATCTTTTTGACCCCTCATAAGAAGTGCCATGGCTAGGATTTATATCCCACACCCTCTCACGATGAGTCTAACACACAACCCACTAGACCCATGCCACTTTTACATACAGTGTAAAAACTTGAAGATAAATATGATTTCTTAGCAGTCAGGTATAAAACAAAATCAAACAATTAAAAACTTGAATGCTTGAATAAACTTACTGGAGAGAGGGTGCCATTGTCATGTGAGATGTGAATGGTCAGGGAGTAGTTGGCAATGACGCCATTTGGAAGCAAAGGAGAAGACCAGCTGACCTCAGCATCAACGATACCAGTCTTGGTGATGGTCAGTCCACCGACCGCACTAGGCACTGGGAAGATTCAAAGGGAAAGATTTATTAGTAAAAGATAGTAATAATAATTACAGCAACAACACCAACGGCAACAATAACAGTGGATTTCTTGTGCAACGCTCATGTCTGTCAGATATACATCTCTTGGCACTCCACAAATATTAAATAATTAAACAACACTACAGTCAAACCTGTCTATTAAGGTCACCCAAGGGATACAAAAACGTGGCCGCTGTATACAAGTGGCCTTTCTATACAGGTTTTACAACACACATTTCTCAAGATGCATGGCTACTAAAGACCGATGGCCTTTACAGAAAGGCGGCCACTACAACAGGTTTGACTGTACTACTACTACCAATTTTCCTGCAGATAATATTTAGAAAAACGCCAATTGTCAGGTCGGTTGTACGACTCTTGCCCCTTTAATAAATGCTCCACAGTAATTTCCTACACCAACCCAATTCCTAACTTTACCCATGGACCCAACACAATACTTAATCCAACCTCCAATTCTAAATATAACCAAAAATCAAATTGCAATCCTAACCCTTAATACACCAACCAGTACCTTGGATGAAAGAAAGCCAGACAAAGAGACAAGTCAGTTTGTCTACCGGTATTCCCAAATGGTCTACACCCAGCCCGTCTACTATCCTTGTGGTCTAATAATCATTTCGTCAACTTATCATTAGGTCTAATGACCATTTAGGCTAAGAGTCGCTTGGTCTAATTTCCATTTGGTCTAAGAAACTGGCCCCCAAATTCTAACTTACTTGACGGCAGTGTTCTTACTGCCAGTGCGACAGGATCGCTAGGTACATTGAAGAAGACAGCTTGGAGAACAGCGTCATAAACAGTGTATGAGGCCAGATTCTCTTCTGTATAACTCATCAAGCCTTCTTGTACCTTTATCAAGATATCATAATATTGATACATGTATTAAATATAAAAATTAAAATGATAATGATGGTGATGATGGCAGTAATAGAAATAATAGCAATAATAATAATAACAATATTACTACTAATAATAATCATAATAACAAGAATACTACTACTAAATCATGGTTATGATAATAATAGTACCGTACTACTTTGAATTATAATGACAATAATATAACCTAAAAACAAGACCGATAATAATAAATTTAATAATGATTATAATAATTGGTGTAATAACAATAATTGTAATAAAAATAATAAAGGCAATAAAAAAAATACTGTTATTAATAATGATAACAAACAACAATAATAATAATATAATATAACATCAACAATGATAATGATATTAATAATAATAATAACAACAATAATAATAATAATAATAATAATAATAATCTTCCTTTATACAGTTTTTGCAACCAAGATACACTCAAGCTTTGCTTATGATTGCGGTCTCCTGCACTTTTCCAACAGAATAGTTTGGATAATACTTTAAATTTATGATAATATGTTATGGAAACATTAAGTTTTGTTATTATATGTACATATATGTTGTATTATACATAACATTTATATGTTCTTTGTTATTCAGTTATATTGTATTTGGAAAAATGCAGAAATAATATTTTTAAAAAATGAAAATATCTTACACTTTGTGTGTTGATGTTAGCGCCTGTGTCATCTTTGATTGAGATTACAAAATTGGTAACAATCGTAGATGGCGAGCTCCATGTCCATGTAATAGATGTAGCCATAACCTCGCTTCCTGTAAAAGATGGGCTGTATGGCTCTGAAAGATTCGTAATCAAAGAGAGATGTTAAAGATAAAGACCAGTTGCGATTGCATTGTGAAAGAAACGTTGTGGAATCGATCAGAAAAGGTTGATCATCTAGCATTTAAGTATTGGTGTGTACTGCAAGGTTCTGGAATAATCAAAATGATAAGAAATTTGGCCCATTCTTTGTAAAGTTACAAGCACTGCACACAGAAAGATGTATATGGGACTACGCACACGTGTGCGACACGTGCGTTTATCTTTCATAGGCCAATAGATAAACTGATTTACCAAATATATCAATTAGTTGGCGGTTTCCCGGCAAAATTGTTATCATGTATTAGTCAAAACATAGTCTTTAACATGATTGGTAATAAGAGATTCCATTTCATTTTTTGAAATTGGGGCGTTTCCTATACTGGTCTTTAACTTAATAACACAGAATTAAAATCCAGAAACTTTAACAAATCTGCAGCCATTTTGTTATCGTAAAAGCTTGTGACTGTATGAATTGCAAAAATTTAGGATTGGAATCCTATAATTTTTCAGTATGATATTTTGTAAATCTGGACTGTCAATGAAATTTGCATAAAAGTATCTGGTTTTAACACTTTTGAGACGACGGGCTTCTACAGAAGCCGAGCGAGTTGTTAAGTCTGTGACGACGGGCTTCTACATAAGCCGAGATGTATCCCTAATATTTTGACAAAGTTTTCCAGCTTATTTATTAGCTATAATGTGCTTAAGTTCTTTGAATTATTATTTAGATATATTCATATATATGCTTGCGCAATTTGTATTGTGAGTGTATTGAAAAGGAAAGACGTGAAGCTTCAGCAAAATAAGATGGCAATTTCCCTCAAAAATAACAGACCTTATTTTTCGTATTGATGAACAAAACTTATATTTTTTGAAAGAAAAAAGTCTGATCTTTCATTTTTACATTTACTAAAAATCACGAAAATGACAGAATGAGGCGCGATGGGCAATGCAAGTAGAAAGCACCGCCAAATTTTCCATTACTGGCGATGTAACCAAAATCGCTCTGTCACAGGGGAAACAATCGTCGTGCGCTGGCTTGCTCTCTAAGGGTTATAGTAACATTCTTGGGAGTCATTACGGTAAGCATAAAGTGACATTCAGCAACTTCAGGTAAAAAGTCTTTGTAGGAATGGAAAAGCCCTTACTGTACTTGGATAGTAAAATCTGAACAAGTCAACGCAAAGCGTAGCAATAGCATCCCCTTGCAAGATACAAAAGGCCTATATACGTCAGAACAAGTTACTTCCATTGGACTATACTATTATATTACTAGGCAAGGAAGTTGAACCCCATTTTCACATATATAATTAGGTGTTTTTGCATATTTAATGAGCTATGACCTTTCACCTACATACTCAGAAATCGAACTGATGCTGAACATCTATTTTGATACCATGTACCTTCATATTAAATTTCACTAAAATCCGTCAAACATTACTGAAGTTATCGATCGGAAACCAAATTTGTTACGGACGGACGCACAGAAGCATGGAAGCCTGGAAGGACGGACGGTAGCGTTACTGTATCCCCTTTGACTTCGTCGGCGAGGGGATAAAAAGTCAAGATGTCGAGATTTGATGTGAATTCTCATTAAAATGTTGAACTCAACAACGACTCCATGAATGCTCAGTCAAAGTAATAACTAATACTGTAATGTAGAGGTTGATCTGCATGGCTCCTAACTAAACTGAGATCAAATGTAGACTGAGAATTCAGTTTGAGATTTCTACTGAATTTAGGTGCAATGTGCCTCAATTAAGGAAGCCACGGACTTACTTGTGACGATATTAACTGTTACGACATCACTGGAGCTTGTTTCGCTTCCTTCCGTCTGATCGCTTTCTGCCCACAGGCGGAACTCGTAACGCGTGCTGGGTGTGAGATTGGACAGCTGGATGGAGGTGTCGGTTGTTGTGGTGGTTTCGCTGGCCGTGACCGTGGAGCCCGGAAGGCCGTAGGTGTAACTGTATCGTGCAACCACACCCTCGCTTGGCTGCCATGTTACAGTTACTCGTGTCAATTCGTTGTTGCTTACGGAGATGTCAGATGGTGAGGCAGGTTCTGAATGAATATAGGATGTAAAGGGGCAGAATTAGGAAAAATACCCACTGAAGTCTACTTTACCAAAACAAAATGACATGATAAAAATGTACCAATCACGTCCAAATCTAACGAAATTAACACTGAATGTTCAAGATTACAAATAAATGTCATGTGCCAAACAATTTCGGAAGAAAATGTATACTGGCGGAGTAATGAGCATAGAAAGTAAGGAAATCAGGGTAGTACTAGCCCCGACACCATGTGCATTGTCCCATATACATCTTTCTGTGTAAGTGATTGTTACTTTACCAAGACTCTGCCAAATTTATAATAATTTTGATGACTCCAGAACCTTGCATTACACACCATTATGATATGATCAACTTTTCTGATCCATTCCACACCTTTTCTTTCACTAATGCAATCGCATTACCAGTACTCAAGTTTATCTTTAAGCAATGAACAGGAATGTCATTTGAGCAGCTAACTAGAACAGCTGAAGACAGGAATTTACAGAGAACCTGTGTCTCTCTCTATGAGACATAGATAGAGAGATGTAATAAAGTTGTATCACTAGCTTTTTCAAAACTACAGAATATATAGTCAAACCTGTAATAGTGACCACCTCTCTATATAGACCAACTGTCTATAGCGGCCATGTTGTGTGTCTGCTATTGTTAGTGTGTTGTTTAATATGTCAAGAAAAGCTACCTGTCCACAGTGACCATTCCTTTAGGTGGCCTCAATAGATACGGTGTGACTGTACAAACTAAATGTACCACTAACACGAGACAAGAAAAGCAGTATTTGTAGGCTGGTAATCTTTCTGTACAGGTTCTATTAGTTCATTTCAAAGAGTTTTAATCACAGACTCTATTCAAGGGAAACAGAAAACATGGTTTTTATAGACATTTGGTCTTTCTATACAGGTTGTCGCTAAATCAGGTTCGACTACATATAAAACGTCTACACCGGGCACTTCTTTAGTTCGCTTGGGTGGGCTCAATAGCCAGGTTTGACTGTTCTAGATGAAAATACATGTATATAAAATCTCGGCAAATCTTACTCATCAGGAAGGGGGATGACACCTGAGGCTCTCCAATCACTTCTGGCTGGTTCAGTGCATCATCTGGCCGTATCACTGATGCAAGTTGGACAGTATAAGTTTGCCCTGGGACCAGGTTGGTCAGCTCAACTGTGTTGGTGTTCAGTTTTACTACAAAAAAAACCAAAGAAATTAAGCTTATTATATTATATCAAAAATGAACGCTATGGAGTCCCATATAATGAATTATAAGAATTGACAAATGAACCCTTGAAAATAGTTTTACAATAGTCCTTTTGATATGATGATTCTTTATGCGAGTTTCATATAAATTTGCTATAGTCTCAACAGGCTATAAGAAGTTAGTGCTTGATCTTATATCTCAATGCAGGCCGAGGTTGAACTATATTGGCAGAGTGAAAATTCTGAATTTACAGATTAATATATTTCATATGCATGCAATACTTGGTATATCAAAGTGAGGATAGCGGTATTTGTTCTCCCATGCATTGCTTGTTTGGTGTCAGATCCTTGGATTATATTAAGGTTGACTTTGCATCTGAGGTGCCCATCTAAAACATATGCCTATGGAGCAATAGGCACAAAAAAGTACAAATGGCATTCAAATAATTTCTATATAATCCTATAGCCCATGACTTACAGATCACAGTCTTCGTTGCTGGCATCGTTGTCATGACAACATCGACAATAGCGAAGTTCATCTCAGCAGGATCTGCCCAGGATAACGTTGCTGTGTCTTCCCCGATCTCAGAGATGACAAGGTTTTGAGGAGGATCAGGTACTAGATATGATGAAAAAACAAACGTGTATCAATTCTTCAGTCCTGAATGATCGAAGCTGAGACTACCACACTGTACATAGACCTGTATACTAATTTTATTAATGCTTCTTGAGGAAAAAGTTTGCAAGACATAGCAACAACTAATTATTGCCAGGTGACTTCAATCCATAGAGATTCCATTATGCATAGCAGGTGAATTAGATAGTTCATAAAACCATACTCAGCTGGTCAACTCATTCTATACCAGGCTATAGTACACAGAAACACGACGTAGTTGACAACTTGGCTTAGTAAGGTTTTATGAATATTGATATTGCCCCTGGGGTTCTGACATTCATGAATTGAAATACACCAATAAACAGGTCTATTGGAATATACATAAAGTATTATTCATTTCAATTTCACACCGGTTGGGGGGGGGGGGGGGCTTATGTCTCCACTCCCTCGAGAGCATACCAGCCAGGCGTCATTTTTACAAGCGCACACCTACTAATCTAACCACATTAACTTTCTGTTTCTAGCGCTCCTAAATAATCAATATTATTATCATAATCATTACACCTACGTGTGTAAAACAGGAAGGTTGTATTTTCGCTTCTTTTGTCTCCACTGATGGCGGTTATTCCAACTGTATAGCCCTTGCCGGCTGCCAAGTTCAGGATTTTAATACTGGTCATGACGCCAGTGATGTTGACAGGAAGCTCATCCCCATCCACATCCACACTGCCCTCGTCTGCGGGGTCAAGGGTTACTTCGTAGAGTCCACGGATACCCTCGGCCTCGGGTTGGTCCCATTCCAGCATCACAGCGCGAGGACCGAGGGAGCCGTCCATAATGCGGATCTCTGCGATGGCAGCCGGATCTGTGGAGGCAAGGTAATAATAATAATAATAATAATAATAACGTTTTTTTTACCCAGGGTGGCCACTTCAGTTATGAAACTGCTCTTCCATGGGCCCTGCATAACATAATGTGTTATTACTACCCTTCTCCAATCTAATATGCTGAGCGCCTAGCTAGAAGGCAGAAGGTCCAATTGTTATAAGTCTTTGGTTTGATTGGGCCGGGGTTCGAACCCACGACCTCCTGTTCATGAGGCGGGCACTCTAACCACTGAGCCACCATAATATTCTAGACTGACTGCTGATGGGAGTGTGAAAACACACTCTATAAACCTGACAGTCAAAACTGGATTTATCACATTTTATTCTTAAAACATTTATGTGTTTCGTTTAATTGCATTGCTAATTTGTTCTATACAGTAGGCTTGCGGGTGCACCATGTGAGAGAGAGAGAGGATTGAGGAGTCCTGAAAAGGACTCTCTGTAATCTTTCTTGAGGGTGTGTAGTCCTGAAAAGGATTGTTGGTGTAGTCTTGAAAAAGACTGTTGGTTATCTTTCTTAGCTTATATTTCTAAGGAGAACTATAGCGTTTGGAGAGGATGGGTGGCGGAAGTGGCTCGTTGTTTTGAACAGGTTGACTATCCGTTGTCAGGAGTGGTCAATTCGTTCTAATCAAGCGTCATGTCTCCGTAAACGATATGCATGATTATGAAATATGTTGAATTTTGTTTCTTCTTAATTTCTTATAAAAATTTCTGGTGTCAAATGCGATGTGGTCATACCCTATTTTTCATTCATCTGATTACGATTTGTAGGGCTCTGCATCCAAAGTTGCTGACCCAAACATCAAAGTGTGGAATGCTTTTTTTAATGATTTAAGCTGAAGTTGAGTATCAGTCATGCCATGGAAGTTATCATTAATGACAAAGTTACCATCAATGCTAAGTTTATTGCAACAGGGTCCTGGTCATATTTTGAATGTAGGAGGACAGATTCTGGAGAGCAATCATTTCCCAAGAATGCTTTGAATCACTAAAACTGATAAAGGGGCTTTATCTGTGATATATTGAAATCAATGCAGGGAAAATGAATGAAAGTGACACGAGAGTCCCTCACCTAATCTGAACGAAATTCTTTCATTTGCATGGCTTGTTGCCTCCGAGAAATTGGAGCAGCTTGTGACAAAAACCGTGTACTCCTGGCCCGGATCTAGACCGTAGAACCGGGCAGATCGGATGTCCCTGGATACAGAAAAACTCTCCTGTTGCCTGAGTACCCTCGCCTCGTACGGTTCATACCTGACGCAGTACTGGTCAAAGGCCTCGGTGTCCAGGTCTTCCCAGCTCACGGTGAATTCGGTGGTGGATTTAGGGGTTACGGCCAGACTGAGAGTCTGGGCAGATGTAGCTGGGATAAGAAATGAAAATGAAAAAGCAGTCGCTATTTATTACCATTATAATTATCATCATCATCAGTATTATATTTATTGTTTTTCTGCTTGTTCTTCTTCTTCTTCTTCTTATCGTTATTATTATTAGTAGTACCAGTAGTAGTACATGTAGTAGCATTATCTTTACTGTCATCATCATTATCATTATTATAATCATTACAACTCTCTTTAGTATGTTGAATATATCTAGTCATATGATTGGTAAAAAATTGGATTGGTGATTTTAGCCATGCCTACCTACCGGTCAAAAGTTTTTTAAAAAGATGCCTGTTGCCCCGGGTAACGGGCTGCATAAATAAGTTTTGCTGAGATCCCCATTGGTTTATTTGTACAAAGTTTCTCTGTTCTGAATGATCATAACATTCAACCTTTTTCAGGCAACTTTCCAGTGAAGATTTACAGCTAATGTCTCAGATTTTCTGTGTTGTTTCAACTAGTCTTTACTCAAGAAAAGGATAAGGTAAGAAAGAACTCTTGGTAGATTTTGTTGTGAATTCGGTATATAAAAGATATATGGACTGCTTTAATATTTGAAGCATAGCTGTTTCTATAATGGCTCTCGGGGACGTTGCATCCTGCTATAACCCCTCGGCCCTGCCCGCCCTCGGGTTATAGCAAGATGTAACGTCCCCTTGAGCCTATAGAAACAGCGATGCCTTTTGTAGCAGTCAATATATCCATATTATTAGTAGAAGTAGTACCATTATTATTATTATCAACATCCTCACTATTAGTGTTATTACTATTATTATCATTATTATTACTAATGATTAGGTCTGGATCCTCAGGGCCTGGCAGGCAACCAATAAGATTCGCGTGGACTGATACTTGTGACGTCCATTCAAGGCAGTGCAGGGTTGCCTGAAGCCTAATTAGGGGGTCATTTGCCCCTGAATTGGTTGCCTTGATTCTTGCAACTGTATTTAGAGAAGCGTAACTGTGATGGCCTGTTCCAACATGCCGTGAAAAGCTGCTGCCTGTTTACTGTATCACTGTGGGTATCCTCAATGTGAAAATGAACCGCAAGTGGGGATGAAAAAAAGTAGCTGCACAAAATAAAGGCCTAACGCGTACATAATTTTGGTGTGTTATAATATACCGACAAGTGGAGCTTAAAATGAGTTTGTCATTTAAAAAAATGCTATGGTTTATTATCATCATTATTATCATTATTATCATTACTATTATTATTATTATCATAATTAACATAACTACATATATTAATGTTATCATCATCATCATTATTCTTCTTCTTCTTTTTATTCTTCTTCTCCTTAGTATTATTACTATTACTCTAATTTTTATTATGAAATATTTGGAATCATTTGTGCCTGGGAGTAAAAAAGTGAACTAAATGATGTGTGAACAAACGTTTATGCTCAGCTTTTTCTGGCCAAAATGAGGCATCTGTTACGCGTTTAGTTCAAAACATGGTTGCGTCCTTTCTCATTTTTGTAGAATCACCAAAAAACAGCGATCATAATCGCAGATCGTAAACTCACAAAAAGGTGCGTTTACGATCAGCGATTCTGGGGAAGCATAAACGCACAATCTGTAAATGCGTTTAAATGGGGTCAACGTAGCATGCACAGTGCAGGTGTGCGAATCAAGCTGCAGACTCTGCACTGCACTTCTCTGGCTCCTGCAGGCATGATTCTGGCTCTGAGCCAGAATCATGCCTGGAGGAGTCAGGGAAGTGAGCATAAACAGTACACCGTGGTACTGCGATTACGATGAGCGTTTCAAATCGCTCATTCTGCCTTCAAAACTGAGCATAAACATACCCTCAGGCAAGTCTATCCTTCTTGGCCTCAAAGAAACCATTTTTATGTGACTTTGTCAAATGGATACTTACTCGCCCTGGTTAGCTCTGAACGGCTTGGTAGAGATTTCCAAATATTCACTATCGTGAAGAAATACTCAGTCAGAGGTGTCAGGTTGCTAAATGTCACAGACGTTTCCGATGTTGATACAGTGTGGGGAGATGGCGGCTGCCCTCCGGTTACATTGTAGGTGATGTTATACGTATCGCTCCCACCCTCTGAAGGTGGATCCCAACTGACTGTTATACTCTGCGCTGCCACCATCGTGGTTCTTAAGTTTGTTGGCGGATTCGGAACTGCAGTGAAACATAATCAGTAGTGCATCAGGGGGTGTTTCACCAAACTTGTCATCAGTGAAAAATGACAGGTGCTGTTATAAGCTACTGAAATCCTTGCTTCTGATTGGTTATCAGCACATTTATCAATATTTGTCATTTGTCATTAAAAAAAGGCTTTGTGAAACGGGTCCCAGGTCTTTTAGCTCTTACAGTGCCATGAGGTTTTGCTTGATAGAGATACATGTACATGTATTACCAAAACATGAACAGTGCTTACTTTCCAAATGCCTGCACAATCTTCTACAACAAAATTTTGTGAACAGAAGTTAATGCATATTTAATACTATTTCAAATGATACAAAATATTCCTACTTTATGTAGCTGATTTCATTTATCCTTTGAAATATCAATATATATACATAAGTGTTTGAAAGTGAAAGAATTGAAACTGTCCTGGTTGTAAATTTTCTATAGCTTCCTACAAATACTTGTAAACTGGATTTCCTTTAAAGAACAGAGAATATACATGTATCAAGCTGGACTCTCATGGTGTTATCTGTACCAGGAGCTAGATTGTATCCTTTAAATTGTCAGTGTTTGAAAGAGAGAGAATCTATTCTGGTTATGAAGATGTGAGTTGGCCGGTCTAATAGTAATGTTAGCAGTACATCAAGCTTGCTGCCTCTGCCTACAAATATAACCCTAATCCGGCCTAGGTTCTAAATTGAGACACGTCTTTTGATGTTAAAAGTCAATCCCCACACCATAAATAACCATAATGATTGAATCTTTTTTTTTCTTCAATTAAATTAAATTCATTTATTGATACACCTGTGTAAAAACCAAAACACACACCCACACAAACTGGGATTGAATTTTATGAAGCTTTCTACACATACCTGTGGACTGCGTCTTCTCAAGTGCAGCGTATATACCTGGCTGGACACCAATGGTGTATTGTGTACCAGGGGTCAAGCCGGTGAAGGTGTAGGAATTGGGGTCAGTTGATTGAACGGTCACGTTACCAGACCCTCCCTCCAGTGCATCGTAGGAGAGAATGTACCTAGATGGAATGGAACAAACAAAACAGTTTGCATAATAATGACTGACAAGTGCAGTATATATATATATATCTCATTTCCTTACACTTGTTTATAATTCTCTCTCTCTCTGGTGCTCTGCTGAACACAGGGGTGATAGAGAGCGCACAAAAAAAAGTTTTGGTGAGAGTTTAAAGCAAGTCACAGAAAAACAGCAACCTGCCCCCTAATTTCAAACCAGATTTACATCGATCTCAGGGACTGTCCATTTTTTAAAGAAAAAATATCATGATTAAATTATTTTTTTTAAATCAGGAAAAAAAATAATAATTGGGAAATCATCAGGCCTGTGTACAGCAGGATTTAAGCATTACAATAATTAACACAGCATGCTTTTTCGTCTTGAGATCCATAAGGTTCATATGGTTCATATTCATTGTCCATGTAACAATAGAAATTTGTTGTATTACATGGTATATGGATACACATAATTTGTTTGATAGCATCCAACATCATAATTATTTTCCTTTCCATCGGTCTTGTTCTTCTATCCTTCCCTCAATGAAAAAAGTTATCCTATCTTAATGTTTATGAATTTTAAAGCATTCGCTTTGATCTGGCTGAAACTTGCACCTTAATTGTTAAAATATACGTTTGGTTGACGTGCAGAATGTGCAAATAAAATCATAAAATCGAGATGTTTTATGATAATGTGATATACGCAATGCAAGAACAGAATAGGTAATATTATATCCCTTCTATGAATATTCATGAGTTTCCTAAATACATGATTGGTCATTTGGTGGTCACGTGATAAAATATAATTGCACTATTAGAGACAAATCTCTGCCAGAGCTCCGAATATTTTCACTATTTTTTCATGGGCAGAACTGCGCATGCTCTCTTTGAGATTTTCAGGTAGATAAGCATTGTGACATCACACGTTCAATCAAAAGTAATGCGCAATTAGCGTCTTATTAAATGTGCATTCATATTACTGTACGCAGGTAAAATTGAAAAATTCAATTTCTCAAATACATGATAATAAATTATCATATGCCAGCCAATCTTTAAGTCAAACGTTGACCGTACACATTGGTGTCAAATCGGTTCGGATCGTAAAGAAGGGATATAAAACAAATATACCAAGCATTTAGTTTGTAAGGATAGTGGAAATTATATATCTTCGGAGGGTCCGGCAATTGTTACTATTTTTTCCTCGAGGCTTCGCCCCTCAGAAAAAATAGTACCATGCCAGTTCCTCCTCAGATCAATAATTTTGGCTATTCTTTCTCCCAGCTTCGTGTATTTGTATACTACTATTACAATATTTTGAACTTACTCTTCTACGTCAACTTGCTCCCATTCAATGCTAATGGTGGTCTCATCGAATGCTGTGATGTTTAAGCTTCCCAGAACTCCAACAACTACAGGAAGAAATAGAATGGTAAATTTCTGTTATAAACTTAAGGCAGTGTAGACTTGTATGTGCATTGTACCGAGCATCACAATTCATACATGAAATTAAAATAAAAAGTATATATATCTTCTTTTTTGTTGTTGAATAAATAGAAATACTATTACTATGACTGTGACGACTAATACACCTACATCTATTACTACAGTACTACTACTAGTACTACTACTACTACAATCTGACTGTGACGACTAATACACCTACAGCTATTACTACAGTACTACTACTACTACAATCCGACTGTGACGACTAATACACCTACAGCTATTCCTACAGTACTACTACTACTACAATCCGACTGTGATGACTAATACACCTACAGCTATTACTACAGTACTACTACTACTACAATCCGACTGTGACGACTAATACACCTACAGCTATTACTACAGTACTACTACTACTACAATCCGACTGTGACGACTAATACACCTACAGCTATTACTACAGTACTACTACTACTACAATCTGACTGTGAGGACTAATACACCTACAGCTATTACTACAGTACTACTACTACTACAATCTGACTGTGAGGACTAATACACCTACAGCTATTACTACAGTACTACTACTACTACAATCTGACTGTGACTATTAATACACCTACAGCTATTACTACAGTACTACTTCTACTACAATCTGACTGTGAGGACTAATACACCTACAGCTATTCCTACAGTACTACTACTACTACAATCCGACTGTGACGACTAATACACCTACAGCTATTACTACAGTACTACTACTACTACAATCCCACTGTGATGACTAATACAGCTATTACTACAGTACTACTACTACTACAATCTGACTGTGACGACTAATACACCTACAGCTATTACTACAGTACTACTACTACTACAATCCCACTGTGACGACTAATACACCTACAGCTATTACTACAGTACTACTACTACTACAATCTGACTGTGATGACTAATACACCTACAGCTATTACTACAGTACTACTACTACTACAATCTGACTGTGACAACTAATACACCTACAGCTATTTACTACAGTACTACTACTACTACAATCCCACTGTGACGACTAATACACCTACAGCTATTACTACAGTACTACTACTACTACAATCTGACTGTGAGGACTCATACACCTACAGCTATTACTACAGTACTACTACTACTACAATCCGACTGTGACGACTATTACACCTACAGCTATTACTACAGTACTACTACTACTACAATCCGACTGTGATGACTAATACACCTACAGCTATTACTACAGTACTACTTCTACTACAATCTGACTGTGAGGACTAATACACCTACAGCTATTACTACAGTACTACTACTACTACAATCTGACTGTGACGACTAATACACCTACAGCTATTACTACAGTACTACTTCTACTACAATCTGACTGTGAGGACTCATACACCTACAGCTATTCCTACAGTACTACTACTACTACAATCCGACTGTGACGACTAATACACCTACAGCTATTACTACAGTACTACTACTACTACAATCCCACTGTGATGACTAATACAGCTATTACTACAGTACTACTACTACTACAATCTGACTGTGACGACTAATACACCTACAGCTATTACTACAGTACTACTACTACTACAATCCCACTGTGACGACTAATACACCTACAGCTTTTACTACAGTACTACTTCTACTACAATCTGACTGTGACGACTAATACACCTACAGCTATTACTACAGTACTGATACTACTACAATCCGACTGTGACGACTAATACACCTACAGCTATTACTACAGTACTACTACTTCTACAATCCCACTGTGACGACTAATACACCTACAGCTATTACTACAGTACTACTACTACTACAATCCGACTGTGACGACTAATACACCTACAGCTATTACTACAGTACTACTACTACTACAATCCGACTGTGACGACTATTACACCTACAGCTATTACTACAGTACTACTACTACTACAATCTGACTGTGACGACTAATACACCTACAGCTATTACTACAGTACTACTACTACTACAATCTGACTGTGAGGACTAATACACCTACAGCTATTACTACAGTACTACTACTACTACAATCTGACTGTGACGACTAATACACCTACAGCTATTACTACAGTACTACTTCTACTACAATCTGACTGTGAGGACTCATACACCTACAGCTATTCCTACAGTACTACTACTACTACAATCCGACTGTGACGACTAATACACCTACAGCTATTACTACAGTACTACTACTACTACAATCCCACTGTGATGACTAATACAGCTATTACTACAGTACTACTACTACTACAATCTGACTGTGACGACTAATACACCTACAGCTATTACTACAGTACTACTACTACTACAATCCCACTGTGACGACTAATACACCTACAGCTATTACTACAGTACTACTACTACTACAATCTGACTGTGACAACTAATACACCTACAGCTATTTACTACAGTACTACTACTAGTACTACTTCTACTACTACAATAATAATGTTTTGAATAATGATAATGATATAATACCAATAACAGGAATGATGAAAATAATAATAATAATACTAACAATAATAACTATGATAATGATAATAATAATATTAGGCCAGTTGCAGACCCACTTATGTGTGTCTGCATCAGAAACAGATTTACTTTTAAACATCTGTCACATCTGGCCACTGAAGAAGAGTGTGACACTAACCTGTTTTTTCATTTCTTTTTTGGACAAATCATCGCCTTCCACCTGCTGGATGGAAGGTTTTTTACGCTGTTTTTTGTTTTTTCACATTCATTAACTAGATGGAACTTTGACTGCTCACAGTAGAAAATGATGCCTCCGTCATAGAACAATTTTACAAACCAAAACAGAAGAAATTTTTCAAATTCAAGTTCGATTGTAATCCATTAACAGGTTCTCAGAATATCGTGATTACTACCCATTTCTTATATTCATGTATGACCAACCTGTGTATGACCCTTATGATCTTTGACCTCATGACCCCAAAATCTACCCAGTTCACTGGCTCTGCAAGATACATACATGTACATGTACAAGTCTTGAGTTTGATGGTAATCCATCCATCTTTTCTAATGATAATGTGATCACAAGCTATTTTTGCATACATAATGAGCCCTGTGACCTTTGACTTATGATTGATTGATTGATTGATTTTGTTTCATTTCATATGACCTTGTGACCCTAAAATCTAATCAATTCAATGACTCTGCAAGTTACATAAATGACCAAAGTTTGGTAGGAATCCATCAGTCTGTTCTCGAGATAACACGATCACAAGGGACGTTGCGCTTCAAACATTTTTTGTTTATGCATTGTTCCTACTATGTATTATATATCAATGTAACCCACTGTATTCTATTATCTGTAAACAGTTATTTTACATGGTGAATAAATAAAACAAACAAACAAACAAACAAGGACAGGACGTTAGGACGGACAACCCAAAAACATAATGCCTCCGTTAATAATACAATAAAAACCAATAATAATCTTTACCTGCAAAGACTTCCACAGGAGCGCCCATCTCCTGGAGATCTGCTTCCACTTCAAGGAGAGACACCACAGTGAAGGAGTAATTCATTCCCTCATTAAGGTCATCCACTCTCAGCACATTGCTTTCAGCAGCAGCCTGAACGACCTCGAACATCAGCTTTGTGATGTCATTAACAGGATAGTAGGAAATGTTGTAGCTATCGATCATCCCGGCAGGGTTGTCCCACGTCAGGACCACATAGTCCCTGCCGATGCTGGTGAATTGGAGATCAACCGCGGATTCTGGGACTGTGTCGGTGAAAGCAATGAATTTAACAATAATGATAATAACGATAATTTTGTTCCCACAGGGAAGCCTCATCAGCATCAATGTTGTTCTTCCCGAGGGCCCTGCAATTAATTTGTGGCAAATGTGAATAAATGTCATGCCAAAATATGTAGCTGCAGGGCTGCGATTTGAACCCTAAAGCCTTGAATTGAGACTCAAGTGATTGAACCACTATACCACAGCCTGTAAAGGTAGGCTGAGTACATGTAAATAACCTGCTAGTGTGAAGATAGGTTCAATAATCTGTTGAACATTTATATTGCTGGAGAGCAGTGGATTGCAATTGGCTCAGCTGGTCTTTTCTATGTGATATAGATGCACACGTACATGTATTTTTTGTTTCGAGTGGCCCAAACATGTACAGCGAGCAGTGCAAAGTAGCAAGGGGGCAAAAAATATCCAAGATTTCTAAATGCTCAGTCTGTCCCCTAGCTCACACATTTAAACTTATTTTTTGTTCCGTTGTTATTGGCATGATTGGTATGTACATGCAACTGTATCACTGTATACATGTAATATGTTTTGTTGTTTTTACAAGTGAAATGAATTGAAATTGATGTTGAAATTGGCCATATTCTTACTTGTAGCTGCCTTTGCGAGTAAGGGAACAACTTCACGTCCACTGCTCTGTACAACTGCAGCATAGAGAGTGTAGAGAGTGCCGGAATTCAACGTATCAAAGTCCACCGTGAACGATTCGCAATCCATGGTCGAACAGTTTCTTGTCGTGCTGCTAGTCACCATCTCGGCGTTGTACAATCCGGTTGTAATGCTGCAAAGAGAATATTCATAATTGTCATTAGTCATTTGAAATTGTATGGTAGATGTAGCAGTGAAATAGTCGAATCCCATCTGTCACCTCATAGACTTTTGTGATTTGCAAATTTAATTTTTACTTGGCATTTTATGAGTTAACATTAAAGGGATAGTTCAGTTCTTGTTTAAGAACGCAAATGCCTTCGAAGTGCGTGGTTATCAGGTGGGCTGTATCTAATACAGACCACCTTATATTTTTGTTAAAATTGCCTTTATTATTTATTTATTTATTTATTTATTTTTCTTATTTCCACCCACTTTTTTGTTAGCAAGATAACTTTGAAATGGTTCAATCAAATGCTTTGATATTTGGCACACATATGTATAGGCATATGGACAAGACACGGTAATGTTTTCAACCTTGACCTTGACTGATGACGTCATCTAGGCGCTATTTTGTGAATTTTTCTGAAAATAAACTCATGATCATATCTTCATAACCAAAAGGTATTTCTCATTCATATTTATCATGATCAAGGTCAATATCAGTCCGGTTAATTTCAGGTCAAAAAATGCGCGTGTGCGCGTACGTCCGCGCGTCAGTGCGCGCGCAAAAATTTTAAATGCTTAAAATCGTCTCAAATTTATTTTGCATAGGTTTCAGGTCATTTTAAGCATTTTATAAAAAATCGCGCGTACGAGCATGCGCGCGCGTTTTCGCGCGTTACACCATTACACAACATAGAATCGCCATTTTTTTTTCTTTCATGATATTTCTCATATGTTTTCAAGGAATTTGATACCATGTTTATCTCTTTATGACCATTAATAACAAGATGAGCATCAATTCAAGATAAATTTCCGTGCATGCGAGCTCTTTTATTACATAGCATATATTGGCAAAAACATGCCTATACAAATTCCATTATAGTTCTTTGGAATGAACCGTGACCTTCAATGTTTTTTCATATTTAGATAGAGTATGAGTCGGAAATATGATTCTATGTCTCATTTGGCCATTAAGTGTATCGTGACATCATCATAATGGCCTTGGAACTCAAAATACGAATTTGCATATAATGACATCAGCATATTTAAGGGAAATCGATTGTATCTCTGTAAATATTGATTGATTTTCTTCCAAATTTCGATATGATGTAGCTAAGACAATTCTCTACAAGCTCTGTTATCACCATTTTTCATTTTGATCACTTCATCATAGTGAAAATTACGATTAAAGGGCACATATCAGAAATTTCTTACGTTGCGTGTTATGCCTATGGAAGGTGAATTTCGTTTACATCATTACATCAATGACATTGTTTTTTTAGCAGTAATTCGCTTATTTTTGCTCTATTTTGTCTCAAATTTTAGTTGACCAGCCCACCTATACTTGTTCCAAACAAGTATTATGTCTAGTTGCTCTTATTCTTATTTCTGACATATGAAGTGCCCATTTAGACCCCAAAATGTTTGAATTTAGATTGAATAGGATCATACCAATTCAGCTCCACTTTCAAAAATAATATGGTGACCGTTAATTGATTAATTGAAAAAATAACAATACACGGGCCGGCCGATTGTGCGTATTATAACCAACACAAAAAAGCCAACAAAAAGCCAATATTGGAATTGGCTGGAATAAAATGTTTAAGGCGCTATCTCATTTTTCAACAGCTGGTTCAAAATTACTGAATATGTAGGGCACAACAAATATTAGAAATGGTTATATTTATGGATATTTCAGCCGTCTCTGAACAGATTTTGACATTAAACTTGTATATTCAAATGTGACACTCAGTTTTTCATTATCTCACAATTTTTTTTTGTGTAGCGCCCTCTGCAACAAAACTCAACTATCCCTCTCAGAGTATGAAAACAATAAGGAATAACAATACTCCACGCACAGACCCAAAGTCAGAGTTAGGTTCTAAGAGGGCCTGTTTCTATGTGAGACCGTATGGGTGTGTTGACTAGTCAATTTAAAAGTCCCTTATATGTTAAGTGAGAGTGTCTTTAAACTTGCAACATCTCTTTAAAGAAATAACATTTGAAGCTCATATTGTGAGTACAGTACGGCGACTTGGAATCCCTAAAACAGAGAGCAAACTACTTTCTGGTGATTGGTACATTTTAAAATACAGTCTTACCTTTCTACATTGCTTACGCTTGAATTCACCTCAGCTTGTATGGAATTCTGATCACGGCCCAAAATGGTGATGGTGACAACATTGACATCTGTGAGGAGTTGGAAAGAAAAGTTTTGAAACAAAGGTAAGTGGATAACACATCCAGATTTTATTCAATTGAATTTATCCTTCAATATTTAATGACATTGCCTTAATTAATTTGATGACCACTTATCCACATCATCAATATATTTTTTCTAAATCTTTTGTAATTTTGCTGGGTGATGTTATCATTGTTATTTGTTATATTGCTATTGTATTTGATGATAGCGCAACATATATTATTATATTGTAAGTATCTGATTACTTTGTAAAACATACAATATCAGCCTTGAGCTGCATGTCATGTTTTTTTTATTAATAAACCAATTCAATTTAATTCAATTTAATTATGTGTCTCAAATCTACTATTTTGGGGGTATATCTCTATATTTTACCAAATGAAATACATGTACATGTATATGTAGATCAAATCAAAACAATTTAAACCCCCTAAACCCTTCTTCATACACGACATGGTAAACTGCATTAAAAAAATACAGCTTTAACAAGAAATGACAGTTATACATGTACACATAGGAATAGAAGGCCTCACAAGTCTTCATATTGTTAGTCTATATATTTGCAGAGATGGTTTGAAGATACTGGTGGTGCTGGTTGTTATTTAATACCCGACTGCTAAGAAAGCATGGATGCTTGTAAGTAAGCAACCAGACAGCCGACGGCTTTAGGTACTCTCCGAAGTACCTGGTAATGAGGATTACTGCCTTACCAAAGGGCACTATAGTGCATCGCCTTGGTTTTGAACCCGGGTCACCGGATTACGAGACCACTGGTCTACCGACTGAGCTATCGCGCCTCCACTGAGAGGCTTGAAAGGCCTTGAAAGGCCAGGGACTGAAGCTAATGGTGAAAGTTAGATACTGTACATAAGAGTTATATATTCTGGGTTTATATAGTGCTTAATATATTGTCAATGTCTCTACTGGAGTACTTTACAGATCAGACTTGCCTGCACAATGTACGCACATTCTCCACTTGCTGGGGGATATTCCAGGGGGGCGGCATTTTACAGACACTCACCATGCTGAGCAAAATACATAACTTTTGCACCCTACCGGGTACCCATCTAACACCTGGGTGGAGAGTGGTAAATGTAGATTAGTGTCTTGCCAAAGGACATTAGTGCCGTGCTGGATTGCGCACCCTAAACCCTTGGATTTAGAGTCTAGTGAATGAACCACTATACCACAAAAGAGATTACTGTAAAAGTAGATAGATATGGCACCTAGATAGAGAGGTATCTTTGTATGTGTATAATCGCTGGAGTTCAGCAATCACTCACTGGACACCATATGAGGGAAATCAAAACAGGGGACGTCAAAGAAAAAGATGGAGAGATGAGCTGCAACAGTACTGGGGGAAAGGTTAATTGGCACCAACAGGCACTGAACAGAGACATTTGGAGACAGCATGCTGAGGCCTTCATCCTACAGTGGATCAATAATGGCTGCAGAAGTAAAATTAAAAGTAAAAGTGTTTTACTGTGTGAAACTGACTACAATGAATTCTGGGCCCTGTTTCATGAAGCTCTTCGTAAAGTTACGCATGACTTTACGAACGACTTGAATATGAAGTGCCAGATGGGATGCCCAAAGTTTTTCCTGATGTTTTAACAAAGAGTAACTATACTTTCAATAACCTTAATTAAATTATGGAAAAAAATATACTTTGCATTAAAAATGTTTGTTAGGATTAGAATGTTAATCTACATCTGCACAGTTCAACTTTAGTTGATGCAGTTAAAAATGATTGAGCATCCCATTTGGCTTTTCATATGTAAGTCATTCGTAAAGTCATGCGTAACTTTACGAACAGCTTCATGAAACACCCCCCCCCCCCTGATCTACTAACCAAGATCTTTCACCACCTGCTGCAAGCTTTCGACTTGATCCTCTCCAGCTCCAGCCACAGTGGTGACACCGACTTCTAACGAGACGAAGTCAGAGGATGAATCTTTCTCAAGTCCCTCTAAGAGATACGTCAAGGTCTCTGCGGTGTCGTTGATTGCCACGTCGAGTTGGAGGGGTGCGCCGACGATGGTGCCTCGAGTCACGTTGTAGTGGAAGATGTAGCTATCGAGGTTTCCTTCGGGTCGATCCCACTCCAAACGAACAGAGCAGGTTATGGACGGGATGACACGAATCTCTGCAACAGTCTCTGGATCTAGAAAACAATGCAGGGATATTGGAATTTCAATAGTGCATTTAAGAATTTCATGGAAAATGTGAGTGATTTTGTAGGAATCAATTACTTTCAATCCTCATAAAATCACCTTCGTCATCCCCATCATTGTTTTTTGACCGTCTCTTTTTTCATAGCTGTAAGGTTGGACATTCATTTTCCTTAAAGGGAACCAAAACATCCATACTAAGTTACTTTAATTGTAAAGTTTAAGATATTTTAATAAAATCAGTGAAATTTGAACAAAATCGGCAAGGAATAAGGAAGTTAAAGCTCTTTAAAATGACTAGTCACTAGAGGGCGATATTCAATTTGATGCGTCATTTGTGGCCACCTCTCCATGCCTTTTGTACCTCAAATTTCACAATTCTTTCGTTTTCTTTGTATTTATTTGTGTTCTTGATCCGACTTCATAACATGTGAAGTAGAATATCATTTAGCATTCTATAACTTACTTTCAGGGGAGTAGATTATCTCAATCACAAGAAAGAAGGAAAAACATGAAATTTGAAGTACAAAAGGCATGGAGAGTTGTCCACAAATGATGCATCAAATTGAATATCGCCCTCTTGTGACTATTCATTTCAAAAAGCTTTAACTTCCTTATTCCTTGCCCGATTTTGTTCAAATTTTCACCGATGTTATTGAAATATCTTAAACTTTACAATAAAAGTAACTTAGTATTAAAGAAGGTTTTGGTTCCCTTTAATGGCCTTTCTTCCAGCCTTCCAGGCTTCAGCATCCACCTGACTGAGACCTGATGCTCTCACATCGTCTCCTTTGAACCAGACTAATATTCAATAATGTACTGTACAGACAATTCAGTCTCTGTTTGTTTTTTCATATTTCACGTTTTCAGAATACATAGTAAAAACAAATGAATTCTATTGTCAAAGGCAAGAAAAGAACGTGAGCAGCCCATATTAATTTCTGTACATGCAGCCAATGGGGCCAATTTGTCCAATGGGGCCAATCCGGACCAATTGAAACCAATTGGGGACCCATTAAAGTCTAATGGGGCCTAGGCCAATGGGGCCAATGGGGCCAATTTGTCCAATGGGGCCAATCCGGACCAATTGAAACCAATTGGGGACCCATTAAAGTCTAATGGGGCCTAGGCCAATGGGGTCAATGGGGCCAATTTGTCCAATAGGGCCAATCTGGACCAATTGAAAACATCTGAGGTCCCATTGAAACCTGTTAAAACCTATTGAGACCTATTGAGACCAATTGAAACCAATTGAAACCAATTGAAATTTCAACTGGTGTTCAATTGGTTTCAATTGGACTTTCGTCTTGGGGTATTTATTAAACGAGACGGAACTACAAGAAGAGTGAAAGCTAAGGAGCCTACAGTGAAAACTGTGAGTTATATGCCCCAATTAATGTTGCCAGTGTGAGTGTTGGATCACCCATGGACATACTTGTGTACTGTGTGGCTCCGATGGAGGTGACTGCCTGAACAGTTCCCAGGGCATCCACCATGAAACTATACCGAGTGCCTGGCACCAGACCGTCGATGGTGTAGTCAGTCTGGCTAGGATCGTCCACCGAGATGTCCTGGACTGACCCGTTGTTGGCAGTCTCCCAGTAGCTGACCACGTAGCTGCTGACGTCCAAGAGAGGGATGTCTGTCCCCCAAACTATGGAGACTGCGGTGGTGTTGAAGCTGGTTATGTTGACGTGGAGCTCAGCAGGTGGGACTACAGGAGAAAAAATAGTTCATAAATAAAATAAATAGGTCATAGTTATTAGGTTGTATGATGGGGTTATTTTCATGTTCCATAATCATTTTGTGTGTGTGTCACTGTCTGTTTCTGCACGTTTATACATATTTATACATATATCAATGACTGTAACATCAAGTACTCTTTAAAGTGTTGTGATATTTGAAGGGTTGAAGTGATGGTGACTGCACGTTTCATTACTAACAGAAGGCAACAATGATGTTGATCTTTTCTCAGATGATTTCTTACATGATCTTGTCCCACCATGAGCAGAACATGAGAATCAGATATTTCTAAAATGACTGTAATGACAAGTACCCTTGTGTGGGTGTAATTGCGTTTCTACAGACATGTATCAATCAATCATGATTATTTGCGTCTGAGGACCTACTTTTAACGTCACCATCCGAAAGACGTGACGCAGTTTCGAACCTGCGTCCTTGGCTGAATCAGTTCATAACTTCCATTGCTAGCTGGATTACAGTCGCACGCCACAACACCCCGTTGTTTCTGTTGTCTTTTGTATAAGGGGTAGGGTGACTGCGACGGTTTCTTTACAATTCACAATATACTTACATAAGGTGACAATGGTAGTGAACTTCTCGCTAGTGATCTGGTTAGCCCCCGTGCCAACGACAGCAGCGAGTGAAACCAAATACTCCGCTCCTGCTTCCAAGTCTGACAGCGTTCGTTCCATGACAGCTGGTCCAAGCTCCAGCGAGTTGGTCTCGCCATAAGCCCAGCAGAGCCTGAATCCTTGATAGCTGGTAAGCGGTGCTTTCCAGTCGATGGTGAGACTTGTCGTTGTGAGGTCGGAGAGCATGATGTCGGTTGGTTTGTCTGGGCCTGGAATTATGAGAACGAGAAATACACAGAATTAACCCGATTGCCTTATTTCACCTTAAGCCTAGGTCACAAATGCCATTACAAACGCCGTAGGAACGATTTTCAGACAATGGAAATTCAGGAAGACAATGGAAAAACAGGGAGATTCGTACGAACCTTTGTGACTGTAGCATTACTTCAGATAATTTATATAATCTCAATGCTGTTAAACAATAATATCTCTAATTCATATGGGGTAAATTTGCCTCAACAAAAACTTTTTTTTAATGTAATATTCCTTAACCCTTTTAACATTGATAGCAGTTTCAGTGTAAGGTCTGATTTCATGTGTACACAACTGTAAATATTTTTAATGTTTGTTATATTTATTTCAATTTTCTATAGTATTTTACTTTACTTGACCTGTGTTTTGTAGTAAATGAATTGCTATCTTCCTACTTTTTATATGTCTTTTTTCTGTGATTTACATTTGTATGCTTTAGATTTTTAATTGCAATCGAAAATATATGATACTTGATATTGGATACTAGTGATCCGACATTTGCTCCTGCAACAATTTCTCAGAATTAATTTCATCATAGGTATTGGGTAAGGAATTGGTAAGTGGTTTTTCTTATAACCCTACTAGTAATCTGATTACATTTTTTTTTCTTATTCCTTTTTTTTTGCTTTGCTAGTCAAAAATTTGGGTAAATTGGACCTCCCTTTCACAAAACCCTGTATCTGCCCCTGATATGCCATAAGGAATCTCATTATCCATACGCACAGGTACATGTACACGTTCTGCTTTTTGTAATGGCATAAACTTACGGGTGTACATAGGTGCACTTCTCTGTCTGTTACTGTTGACAATCAGCTCCACCCTGTACAGCTCGCCTGGCATCAAACCAATGAAGGTATGCTCTCTAGTCTCGCTGGTATTCACCTGGACGTTTTGGACATCGATGCTCAACTCGTTCTTCAAGTTCAGAAGGTAGAAGTCGAAGGGTCCGTTGGTATCGGCCGAGACCATACCCCATGCGAAACTGATTGACGTGGTCGTGACCTCGTTGAAAGAAATGTCACCTTCCTCCATACGTGCTGAAAGTTGCCACATTAAATGCAAGTGAATAACAATTAAAAAAAAATAATGTTAATGAAAGTTAGGAGGCTCTCTTAGAAGCTGCCAAAACAACAACCCACATCCCTCCCCAATCACCTAATTGATGTTTGTTGGGATATCATTGAAAGAAATTTGGCCTTCTTCAATACGTGCTACCAGATGTCAAATGAAAATAAAATCAAACTTTTAATTGTAATGAAAATCAGAAGGTTTTAGGACCTCCCAGATGTTGAATCAAATCGAATCAATTCAAATAAGAGAGTCTTTGATTGTAATGAAAATCACATGGCTCTCTTAGAACAAGGCTGCCAAAAACCAAACTTCCCTTAAAGAGTTTCAGAAGTAGCAACCCCCCTCCGACAAGCTGATTGAAGTGGTGGTGACCTCATGGGAGGAAGTTTGACTTTATTATTGTTATTATGTATTTGCCGTCACCTGCGCCTGGGAGACGAAAAGCGAACTTTATCACTGTAACCCTCTGGTCTCTCCTCCCGGTATAACTAATTGGATTGTGCAGGTGGACCACTATACCAGGGTTTCCCCCTACTAGTACACAAATAGTGCAGTAGTGGGTTCTTAATGTGCAAAGGGTGTGACTCTTCTCTACATGGGCCTCCCTTTAAAGGTAAAGACCAGTTCTGGTCATGCGATTGCATTGTGAAAGAAACGTTGTGGAATCGATCAGAAAAGATGGATCATCTAGCATATAAGTATTGGTGTGTACTGCAAGGTTCTGGAATCATCAAAATGATAAGAAATTTGACTCAGTCTTGGTAAAGTTACAAGCACTGTACACAGAAAGGTGTATATGGGACTATGTAACACGTGCGCGATATGTATCGGTCCGAATAGATATAATATAAATATATCAATTAGTAGGCGGTTTCCCAGCAAAATTTGTATCATCACGTATTAGTCAAGACATATTCTTCTACATGATTGGTAATAAGGGCTTCCATTTCATTTTTTGAGAGGGGGGCTTTTCCAAAAATGGTCTATACCTTTAACATCCTATCCAAGAGACACCCTTTCAAAAGAGCTACCAGATGTTCTAATCAAATCAGAGACATTTTCATTAAAATAAAAATCATGAGGCTCACCTTGAATTAAGCAAGCCAAAATAAAGTCCCCCCCCCCCCAAGATATTAATTAAGGCTCCTCTGTCCCCCTCCAAAAATATGATTCAGAAACAAGACATAGACGTACGTGTTGTTACATCCATTGTACTCGGACTGCTCTCTGTGCGTCCATCCTCAGCGACAGTGTTCACATCCACGGCGTAGTCTGTGTCTGGTAGAAGATTATTGAAGGTATACTCCGGACAGGCGTCCGTCGGAATCAAGAATTCGTCTCCGTCTGGTCCAGCGTCCAAGCCCTGGCTGCGTCGTCTGACCCTCAGGCGTAGGAAACGGTACCTGCTCAAGAAGGAAAGTAGCAGAACTAAATCACTTTTTTGTAAAAATAAATTCAGCTTTTTTGTTTTAATCTTCTCAGATTTTCTGCAGATTGTTAGGTTGAAGGATACATAACATACATATCCTCTCATAAACACTGGCATATGAATAATTTCAAAACATTGCAGCTACTCATGATTTTCATGATTACATTTAAATCTCATAATGTCGTAATCCTTTAGAAGAGACATTATTTGATGAAAGAAGCAGAACAACTTGTTGACCAGGGTAATGGATGTCCTTGGCTGCTTATATCTCATCAACCGCCCCCTCCTAACAAGAAAATTCTAGTGCCCCCTCAGTAGCTGGACTGAAGCTTCGCCATCAACATCTGCAAAGGGGCAGTGCCATTGTGTAATACTGCCCTCTTTGAGGCATTGCTGTCATAGTTATGTTCATATGAAAGCCGTTGTCCTTAGCCCCCTTTCAGCGGTTTCTCATGCATAAATGAATTGTAACTGTTAGTAACAAGGGTCCTATGCGTAATCAGTTAACTCTGTTAACTAAAACACATAAATGTAAAGCATAATTATTATACTTCATTTCATCATGAACAAAAACTGCAATGGTTTACCGCTTCATATTTGGATAAGGTCATTTTATACAAGCTAGTACCTACCTTCCTCTTCGTGGCAAAGTAATTTGGATGGTGAAAGACGTGGGCCGTCGGAGTACAATGATGACCTGCACTACAGGCAATGGTGCTGTATTAGGGGAGTTACAATTAAAAAAAAAAAATCATTCATCACAAACCACGATTACAGCAAAGGACGTGTACATGTAAAGCCTTTATATATTATCATACAGTCAAACCTGTTCTACCAATCCCTTCTTCTTTTTTTTGACAAAAATTTCTATAAAATTGGTCTATACCAATCAATTTTCCTGTACCGATCATGCAGCCTGTATACAGCTTCGACTGTACATGTAATGTAGTAACATTCCTATAACCTTCTACAGTTTACATTGTATCTTCTAATTTGAATGATACTACATTATGCATACTCATGTTCATGCACTATTTTCCCTTAAGAACATTTTTCAATCATACATTAACCCTAATTATATACCTCACTTAAGAAATCCAGCCATCTGATTGGTCGAAATTGGAGTCGTGATTTTAGCCATTCCCGTAAAGAAACAAACAATGCCAATACCGGTTAATAGTCCAAGAGTGAGATCCTCAAAATTCTGGTTACCATGAAAATAGTACAATTTTGCTGCGATATCCATTGGTTTACGTGTTAAAATTTCCTTTGTCCGAATGCGGACACCATACATTGCTTTTTGTCTGCGATTCCCAAATGATCAAAACTTTCAGTCATTTTTCTGGCAAAGATAAACAGTTTCTCAGATTTCCTGTGATCTTTTAACCAATCTTTACTCAATAAAAGGATAAGGTAAGAATTCTTGGGAGATTTTTGTTTCAATTCGGCATATAAAAGACATATTGGCTGCTTTAATATTCAAGGTCTGGCTGATTTATAGGCTCTCGAGAACTTGCACATCTTGCCATGACCCCTCAGCATGCCGCCCACTCAGGCACACCTCTGGGTCATGGCAAGATGCGGGCGCGTTCTCTTGAGCCTATAAAACAGCCATGCCTCTCGAAGCAGTCAATATCTCTATAATATAAATATTGCAAATATGTTTTTATACAACCCCTGTATTAAAAACATATCTATTCCATCATCAATAACTAAGACAAGGAAATTTTGAAATTTCTGTACAGAGCAATTTGGAGAGGAGCTTGTATGTGCATCACAGCCTTGCCAATTTGTGGTTCAATGATGACAACTTTAAAAATCTTAACTTTCCAATTCTAATCAGATTTTGCACAAACTTTCACTAATATTCTCTGCTTTTATTAAAACCAACTTAATACTAGGGTGGATTTCCCCTTTAAATGTATCCTTCACATGCATATTCAACTGCAAGTATTTTCAGGATGTGTAGCCGTTGGACCCTTGGCCATACATTTCATGGTTTTCATCATCAGTTTACGAATACACAATTAAATCATTCTTATTACCAAGCACAAAGGTCACGCCGGTTGTCGATCCCGTAGCTGTATAGTGTAAAGTAAAGTGGTATGCAGTGCCTGGGGACAGGTTGCGGAGGATCAGCTGCCTGGTGTCGAGGAAGATGGGAGAGCTGGGTGTACCTTCCTGAGGTGTATATTCCACCTTGTACGAAGATGCCCCATAGTCCTGCCAGTCGAGAAAGACTTCTTGTCCCCCAGAGGGGGAGGTGGAGGTGGAGACCATTAGGTTTTGGGGATCTGAAGAAAAGAGCGGCAACAAATCAAGTAGAAAATATCCCCTCTTAAAACATGATTGGACATGTAAAGTATATCCATTCTCCAAATTTCAAATTTCATTTCATTAATAATATTGTTTTATTCTGCTTCATATCATTATTATTATTATATTTTTTAACTCTATTTCATTCTATGTTATTCTATTTATACTTCTTTTTTTTCTTTTTTTTTCATTTTACTAATTTTGTTTCATTTCTTTTTTATTTTGTTTTTATCTATTCATTCATTTAGTCATTTATCAAAGCATATCTTAAATCGATGTGCATCATCTTCATCATCCTCACAGTATTAACATACCAAGGGGCGACACAAATTGCCAATTTCTTATTGATTTGTTAAAATTTTCTTATACCAGGGGTGAAAGTAAGCACTAAAAAAAAAAGAAGAGGATTCGGGGGAAACTAGATGCCTCCGCCAAAGAGCGATTTCACAAACCAAAACAGAAGCAATTTGTCAAATTCAAGTTAAATTGTAATCCATTAACAGGTTCTCAGAATATCGTGATTACAAGCTGTTTTTCATATACCTGTATGACCCTTTTATCTTTGACCTCATGACCCTAAAATCTAATCAGTTAATTGGATCTGAAAGATACATACATGTCCTGAGTTTCATAGCAATCCATCTGTCAGTTCTCATGTTAATGCGTTCACAAGCTATTTTTGCATAAATAATGAGCCATGTGACCTTTGACCTTGTGACCCCCAAATCTATTCACTTCATTAGCTCTGCATAATACATACATGATATAAGTTTGGCAGGAACTCATCAATCGGTTCTTGAGAAAACGTGATCACGAGCTGTTTTTGCATACATAATGAGCCCTGTGACCTTTGACCTTGTGACCACAAAATCTAATCAATTCATCGGCTCTGCAAGATACATACATGACTAAAGTTTAGCAGGAACCCATCAATCGGTTCTTGAGAAAACGCGATCACAAGCTGTTTTTGCATACATAATGAGCCCGGTGACCTTTGACCTCGTGACCCCAAAATCTAATCAATTCATCGGCTCTGCAAGATACATACAGGACGTACGGACGGACAGAGGAAAACCCGAAAACATAATGCCTCTGGCTACATCGTAACGGAGGCATAAAAATGTCATCTAACAACATTCCCTCCCCCACCCCCCCCCCCCCCCCACCCCCGACCCCTTCTGAGTAAGAAAATTGGGGAAAATTAGGAAAGAATCAAGAAAATAAGGGAAAAATCAGGAAACAGGAAATAGGGATAAAATCGGGGGAAAAAAGAAGGAAAAAAAAATCGGCAAACCAATTTAAATCAGGTAATTATCAGGCCTGGTATACACCATTTTAATTCCATTTTACAATTTTTATTAGTTGTCACATTAGGAAACAGCTAGTGGCAACCACAAGTGATTATTTCTAAATTTGAAGAGGAAATGTTAATTTCATTTGGCCATTTAGAAACACTGTGACCTGCTATGGGTTAAAGTTAATGTATAGAGGCTGTATTACGTGTCCTGCAGGTCATGGTAGTAGGTTCTCCTCTTAAGTCTCCTAGCGTACTCCTGACGATGAAGGTGTAGATCGTGTTGTCCATCAGGTAGTCAGCCGTCGCTTGGAGCTGCTCATCCTTCTCTACCGATTCCAGAGGGATCTCTTCGCCATCACCGGTCTGTGTGCTGATAGCATAACCATCAAAGTTACCCTCCTGCGTTGAGCCCCACTCAATCTCGAGCAGACTTTGTGTGGTCTTTGTGGGGTCACAGGAGATGTTTCCTGGCATTCCGGGCACTAATTAAATTGAAGGGAAATTTATTTTGAGTAATATCACAAAAAGATGGAATATCAAAACAGATAACAATATCAAAATTACATATAAATTGACATAATAACATTCAATATACATGTTTACAGAAAATTTGAAAGTTTAATAAACCAAAGAACAAATGTAAAATGTTCCATCCGTAAAAGCCAACAAGGAGTGACAATGGAATGTACAAGGTACACAAGTAATAATAACATAAGGTGTAAAAAAAAGGGATTGCATTTTGGTATGAGAATTGAGGTTATAAAAACTAATTACCGTCGATGCTATAATGTTAAATTAAAATATTATATTTATGCATCAACGTTTTTGTGAACGAAAAAGCAAAGCAAAACAAAACAAATACTTTGTTTATATGTTTATACATGTTCTTACTTATTTTACTTATTATAAAGAAAAGATATTAATTGAAAAGTCTTTTTAAAGGGACTTGGTAACATTGTTCAGGTTAGAGATAGTGGTACTAAGGTAGTGACTTCAATGCTAGATGTACAATTAAAGATATCCTGAAAATTTGAGTGAAAACGGACCATTATTCATGGTACAAATTGGGAAAAACTGATCTGATCGATTCCTTAATTCTCCCAACTATGTTATTACAATTTAATTACATTTTAGGTGAATATAAATCGTCACAAAGCAATAAAATGGCTCTACATTCCATTCCAGACATTTAAGTGTTGACAGATTTAATATAGCCTGTTTAAGGTCTTTTTTTCATGGAAAAACGGTGGGGAAAATTCAAAAATGGTTGGGAGAATTTACTGTTGATCACTGTTAGAGGGTGTTATGCATAGACACCTTCAAAGAAAACCATAGATATCTTCGTGGTTTGAGAATTTTGTTGGAATTTTCGCATGGCAGAGGGTTAGTACAGTAGAGGGAATATAGTAAGTAACATTTTATACAAAAATCAAGCAATTTTTTCATCAAATTTCAACAATGTTACCGAATCACTTTAAACAAATTGTTAAATCAAACAGACTGTAAAAAAGCAGTTAGGAAATTCAAAAATTTTAGGACAAACATAACAGAGAGGAGTGTTTGATATATTAGAAAAAACATTCAAATGATGTAATTTATCAGCATTTCTTGCGTAGCAGGTATGGATTGAAGAATTTAATTTACCGGTAATAAAGTTTAATCATTGATACATTTATTATCAAATATTGTACAATGTGAATCACATTATTACATGTAGCATATTATGTAAAGAGCGGTAATGTATAAGGTGTACATATGCTTCAGTTTATTTTTGTATATATTTTTTGTATATAATTGATAACCAAAAATTGTTTCACTGTTATTGAAAAAAAAAATACACCTTGTGATTCAATGATTCACTGCTATTTGTTGGCTCCATTTACCAAATGTATCATGCTGAAATACAATGTATCTCAAATTTTGGTAATAAATGAAAAAATAACAAGACAAATGCAACATTACTGCCTCTCCTTTATGCCTCTGCCCTAATTTCAGTATAAGAAATGGATGAAAATGTTCATGACATATCACAATGGAAAAAAAAGTCTCTAATAAAATTGCAACTGATGACTAAGATCTTGACCTTGTTGTTCTCTCTGACATGTGACCTTTGACCTAGTTACTCTAAAATCTATATAGATTGTCCTCCTATGGTGATACATGCTATCATCAAGTTTGAAGTTCATAACTGAAGTGATTCTTGAGATATCATGTTAACAAGAAAGAGGAACGGACGGACAGCACTAAAACATTATGGCCCGTATACTGAAGTCGTGTCTAACTTAGTCATGTCTAAAGTTAAACAACGGTTTAGTTAGACACAACTTAAACGTGAGGTCGCATGTAAGTCACGTCTAACTAAACAACTGTTTAAGTCCTGTCTAAGTCCTGTTTAACTACGAAGTCGCTCCTGACTTTAGTCACTACTTCTGCGCATGCCCAGTATGCCCAGTAGGTGTTAATTCGGACGATAGACCCGATGCGCTTGTGTGTGTGCATGCACTGGATAAATAAATTAACACGCACAGCTAGCTGTGCGCGTGCTAGTAATGTGATCATGACGTCATGACTAGACTGCATGTACTGTGTACGTACACACTGGATTGGTGCACAGTACAAACACACTAATAATATCACTATCAGTGCCTCAGTGCTCGGAAGAACCAGAAAAGAAACCTCCCCAACAGAATGGTTAGTTTATTATAGATTATGGAACTACCAAGATGTCACCATTAGATCAGAATAGTTAATAATATCGAGAAAAAATCCTGCACAACGTATTTGCAATTTTAGAGGATGCACGTACCATTATTCTCCCCTGCAAATTTGGGTTACCAAGTAGAGTGTACCGTATACGTTGAAAAGCAGCAGAATCGTGCCCTTAAACAGGACTTAAACAACCCCTCGCAGTTGTCTAATGTTAAACAGGACTTAGACAGGACTTGATTCAATCAAGACTTCAGAATACAAAAAAAGTTAGACACGACTTTGTGACTAAAGTTAGACAGGACTTAGACAGGACTTAGACAAGTGTTTAGTTAGACAGAAGTAAGACACGACTTCAGAAAAAGGGCCAATGCCTCTGGCACCACCTTCGGTGGCCGGAGGCAAACAAATTTCAAAGCACAAATGCAGAAAGAGAAGTTATGGATGTGAGAGGCTATAAAAACACTCTACTGTATTTGAAGATAAAACTTATTACTGGAATGGGATGTAAACAGAAAGTCTACTAAATATTAGGAAATGTTGATTATAAAGACAAATAATTTCTGTGTATGCTTTTCTTGAAAATAACTGTGTGATAATCTCAGTAAATGAATCATAAGTGACAGCGTTCGACTAATCATTTGATTGGAATCTGGGAGTGGGTGGCATAATGAGAAATTTACACAATCCTCCTGAAAAAAAATACATTTGAAAACATTGAACAGAGAAACCTGATACCTCTGTAACAACCCCAAACACAATTGTATACATGTACTTACATGTGGTGACATCAAGGGAATGTACTGCTGTATCCAATTGGCCTTCTACTTCAACAAGCAGGTAAACGGTGTAGTTAGTGCCAGGGATGAGGTCGCTGAATTCAACGCCTAGGACATCACCAAGGCTTACGTTCTTTATAGAGTCTATCGCGTCGCCCTCCTGGAAGGTAATACGCAATACGAAACCAGTCACCTCTGGTCGGGTGGTGTTGCCCCAGGAGACAGAGATGGACGTGGACGTCCTTGTCTGCAGGCGTAGTTCCTCTGAGTTTTGTTGTCCTAGGAAAGAATGAAGGCAAGAGAAGGATATTGAATGGTGTTGGATAGTTTTGTGTTGTCATGACTGGATGGTTAATTATATAACTAGTTATGAATGGTTATAACTGGTTGTGGACGGTTATGAAATGTGATGACTGGTTATGAATGGTTATAAGTGGTTATGGATGATTATAAAATGTGATGGCTGGTTATTAGAGGTTTTGGATAGTTTGTGGTAAATTAAAAAATGTATTAACTGGTTATGAATGGTTATAAGTGGTTATTACTGTTTATAAATGTGATGACTGGTTATGAATGGTTATAAGTGGTTATTGATGATTACAAAATGTGATGGTTGGTTGGTTATAAGTGGTTGGGGACGGTTTGTGGATGGTTATAAAATGTGATGGCTGGTTATGAATGATTAAGTGGTTATAAATAGTTATGACTGGTTATGAATGGTTTTGACTAGTAATGGCTGGTCATGAGTTGTTATAACTAGTTATGAATGATTATGACTGGTTAAGCCTGATCATTCATGGTTATAAACGATTATATATGATAATGACTCGGTATGCCTGCTTATGACTAGTTAAGACTGAAAAGGCTATAAAAGAGGATGAGAGATTGAAAATCAACTCACTTGTCATTGCAGTTATTTCTGTTGCATCACTCCTCTCCTCTCCTGCCAAGGCATATACCATGATGTTATACAAAGTACCCGGTTGTAAGTTAGGTATAATTGCAGTGTTGGTCCCCATGTTGATGGGGTCTAGGGCCATCACAGAATCAGGACTCCGAACCGGAGCGTATTCGACGAGGAACATGTTAAAAGAACCATCGATTGGATTCTCCCAGGATATGGTAAGAGTGAAAATGGTGCTATCATCAAGAGTCACGTTATTTACTGGCAGTGGTTCTGTTAAAAGAAGGACAAGGAGTCAAAAATAAACAACCGGTGCTTCTTGTTCTTTTATTATTCTCGTAAAGCCCCTTTAGAAACCATTATATCGACCAATCACAACAATTCTAGACTCAGCTAAACATTCTGTACATGTACATATATGTTTCCGGTAAATGTGTATATTTATTATTCTTTTAAAAGTCAAGTTTGGAATCATTATACATGTATATGTACATGAAAGAACAAGTTTTTAGCTCTCTGAATTGGGGGTACCACCCTGGTATTCTCTTTCTTCAGTTAAATTTTCTTTATAAACCATTTGAAGCCTTTACAAACATTTACTTTAGGAGGACAATCTCAGTCAAAGAAAAATATCAGGAACCCATCAAAGTGTTAAAATTTTGTGCAGAACTTTCCACAAGGGTATAAAAAGTGGCCACTGTAGACAGGTGGCCTTTCTGGACAGCTCCTTCAACACGTTTTCTTCTAGAGGGAGACAAAATACAGGGCCATTATACACAGGTGACTTGTTTGTAGAGGTGGCCCCTAAGAAAGGTTTCACTGTATTTCATTGCTCTTTAAGAGGAAACATCAAACTGTATTAAAACATCGATTATAGTAACTGGCTTAAAATAATTACAACATGACCTACTTGTGTATTGCCTCATAAATGGCAGCAAACAAAGAAAGTCCCACGCAACGGTGATGTGCACATCGTCCCCTGGCTGCAAATTTCCGATTGAAAGTTCGTGGGCACCAGAAACAGTTGCATTTAAGGGATCTCCAGAAGCAACCGTCCATTGCACTGTGAATTCGTCCTCGCCGGGCACTTCCGACCAAGTGATGTTGAGGCTTGTAGTGCTCACGTCTGTTACAGTGATGGCACCACCTCTGTCGCCTGCATTAGAAAAGTGGAAAAACTATTGCGTGAGGATGCTTTGTGGTATTGATTGAAGACTTTTATTTGGAATATACTCTTTGAAAGCATTTTTGTTCAATTTCACGCTCTTTGACCTGTACGACATACATGTATGACACTTAAATTTATTATTTGGCTAGTTATATTTCATCCATAAATAAAAATATCTTGATATCACCATTGATTTGTAGATCTTTCCGGTAGCACTAACATTATCAAATGCTCGTATCAAGAGACTTTTCATTCTTGGATACTGCGCATATCACATGAAATTGCTTTTCTTCTAAAGGTTGATCATGTAGAAAACAACCTTTGAATAGTGATTTAGTAGAACAGGGAATTTTTAACAAACAAATGCACCTGACCAACCGAAAATTCTATATTTTGCCATAAGGAGCAATCGCTCAGTGGTAGAGCAGTGGTCTTGTAACCAGGATGTCCTGGGTTTAAACCAAGTTTATGCGCCAGTGCCCTTTGGAAAGGCATTACTCCTCCGTACCAAGTCCCTTGGAGAGGACTTGAAGTCGTCGGTCCCCTGGTTGCTTACTTACAAGCATTCACATGCTTCTTAGCAGTCATGTAAAACAAACAATTTAGTACATCTACACAGTATGTTGAGAGACAACCAATAGTAAAATGACTTGTCTAGAGGAATAAACACCTAACTGACTTTTAAACCCAGGATCGCCTGAATAAATGTCAAGAGCACAAACCCCTCTACTGCATCATTAAGGGTAAAAGCCACTACAGGGTAACAAGACAGTGGTCTCAATTAGTTCTTTCTTCACAATCAGAGTCGTGGCTGGCACTGTTGCTGGTTCAGTTGATGATATGCTAAAATTTGAACGTATGTTGAAGAAAGAGTATATTGTGCCAAGTCTCTAAATGTGTCGTGTTCAGCATGTTTATGTAAGGCCTCCTTTATCCATCTGGTGAGCTGTCTCATGAGCGTATGCTGCTCTTATTTCAGTTCAAGCAATGACTGGTGGTGGCAACATGGTCACTGATTCGGAGATGCAACTGTTCCATTTTTGCCATATTTGTTCTGTTTTTTTGGCTATGAATACGGCAGTATGTTTTGTTTAAAAATATATTTAAAAAATTAAAAAATTATTGAAATTTTTCTTAGTTTCTGATCATGGGCTTTGTGTCATAAGTGTATTATGCACCTATGTCCTCAAACGATGTACGCAGGATGGTAATACGGGCCCCAAACTGCGCACAATGCGAACAACCCACTTGTACTGTATCCATGTCGCGCTCTGATCCAGGTACATATACGTGTTACTGCCGTTTTTTTAAAGCTGCTCGATTGGGCGATATGTTAAGGTGAGATATTTTCAAAAATACTGTATTTTGCTCTTAAGTATACTTTTTTGTTGTTGATGAAGGTTGGCATCTCTGCTGATTGCATCAGCAACAGCGCTAGGTCTGAAGGAGCTTGCAGCACAGCAAGTGAAAGCTTTACCAAAACAGGTTATTGTTCCACTGGTTGTGAAAAAAGGACTTATTTTCGAATGAAAACACCAATCATATAAACCTCTTCAGCCATACCTGTTGTGCTGTACACCATGACGACCTCACTGCTTTTGTCTCCGCTCATCACCTCAACTGAAACGTTGTAAGACGTTGCAGGCTCCAATCCATCAAGGTACACCGTTTGATAGTCACACATTCCACCGGTGCCGTTGCCGCGGCTCAACGTTCGCATCGAGACATCAGGGACGATGGTGATGCTGATGTTGTCAAAGTCACTATCTGGGAGACACCATTGGTAGAGCAGGTTGCAGGAGGTGGTATTGGTGACGGAAGGATCGTAGATGGGTAAAGGATCTGCATGGGGAAAGTAACAAAAAATACATTTTTTTTTAAATACACTATTTCAATCCTATTATTTCATTTAGGATATTGGGGGGGGGGGACCATAAGCTATGCAGTTTTATTTTAAAGGTGGAGATGTGTCATTATAAATTCTCTTCTTTATCTTTATTCTGCACATTCTGAAGTTGACTTGTGGAAAATATCACAGGAAATGTCAATAACACATAATTTCACATAATTTACAATTCCCATGTAAAAAAAAATTAAGAAAATGAAAGGGTTCAAAGATATTATGTAGTGCTACTAGATCAAAGTCATGCATGGGACAGAAAGTGGATGTTTTTTTTTACATAAATACCCTAAACTGTTGCCAAAAAGTACATTGCTACGATCTGAATTCAGGCCTTGGCTAAAAACTACCATTCCTGATAATAACGATGCTCTTACTTGTGCGAATGGCATCGGTGGAGTAGTTAAAAGCCAGGGGCCAGACGACAGTGAAAGTATACTCCCTTCCCGGAGTGAGCCCAGTGAAGTTCACATAGTAAATGTTGTTGAGGCCTTCCGCAATCGCAGAGGACTCGTCAATGTCTTGTGTGGCTTGCTCATTGCCATCTGGAGGGCTGTACGAGAGAGTGTAGTCCACGACACCCGGGATCGTCACCCATGACACAGAGATGGTATCTGTGGCAATGTCCTTTAATATCAGAGGGGACGTCTCAGCTGTATTACATTGAAATGATTGAATTGAAATTCATGTTTTAATATCAACAATATTTGTTATTTTTCTAACACATATCTACCATGCAAAGTGCTCAAAGTGCTCCAACATTGCCCCGGCTCTGCTAGGCTACCGATTTCGTTGCTGACAACATACAAAGGACTCCTTTAAATGACCATAGAATGAAGCCTTACTCAAAAAGACTGCATGAAGTAATATTCAATGGAATTGGCAATATCTTTCAAAATTGCAGTTGAATCATTTTGTTGTGGGCTGAAACGTAAAATGCCTATATATACTTGTAAAGGTGGCGATATATAGCCATTTATGAATATCGTGTATTACATCCTCAAGGGAGAAAAATTTAGTGTTCACTAAAGACAGTGATTTGGCTATTGTGTAGAGGTAGGTACTATATACAGCTTTGACTAAGTTTGGCTGCAAATAAGTGTCATCATTTTTAGAGAAAACTCACTCAGGGTTATGAAGTCAGTAACCTTATTGCTGAGGACGTAATCGCCCTCACGATCCCCAACGAACGTAGCAACAGAAACAACATACTCCTCGTTGGGAGTAGAGATAACCCATGGGTAGGTGGTGGCATCTCCATCAAGCCAAGCTTTGTTGTCTTCAGTAGTAGCAGAATACCAGCAGATGAGGAAGCCGTCGTACATGGTGCTGGGTGATGTCCAGGTGAGGTTGATGGTGTTTTCTTGGGGTGTTAGCACCAGGTTCGAGATTGGATCAGGCTCTAAGAAGGTAGAAATGTTTAAAATGATAGATGATGACATTTAAAATACAATCATTATACATGTCATTCATTCATACCTGCCATCAATGATTCATTTATCATCATCATGCATTCATCATTCATTCATACTTGCCATCAATTAATCCATCGTATCAATAGTCAATCATTCATTCATAGGTTTCATTAATCATTCATTCGTACATGTACTAGTAGATGTCATCAATTAATCATTAATTTATTTCATCATTCATAATTTTTCAAATTTGCCATTAATTTTCCATTCATACCAGTAGTTACCATCAATCATGCTGTACTTTTCATCAATCATTCATTCATGTTTACAGTAATCCTACATCATAGTTTCATTCATACTTGCTTTTGATTATTCATACATACCAGAAGTTGCCATCAATCATTTAATAATAATAATAATATTAATTATCTTTTTAAAGTCCTCTCCAAATTTTATCAAATTAAACCGAAAATGGAAATTCTTTTTTCGAAATTGATCGTGAGCCCGGCAACCACGGAGCAGCGCCAGATCAATGTGCTCTATCCCTTATTTTTCGAACGCCAAACAAGGTAGCAACAACTCCCGTCTTTTAACAGCATTGGCCATCATTAATTCAAAGTCCTCATCATTCAATCCTTTATTCATACATTCAAGTACATTTGTATAATAACACCATTAATTACATGTATTCATTCATACCAGAAGTTTCCATCATTCATACTTTCCTAGGTCTCATCAATCGAGCAATCATCCCCTCAAACTAGCCCCCCCCCCCCCCCCCTCCAATCATTCAGCCAGGACAGCTAGTAGCTGCCCCTGCCGGCCCCCTCCCCCACTCCGGGAACGGAGGGACCGCATGCATGTTACCAAAATTTCTGGCTTTTAACAAAGAAAAAGATCTGCCTGCATTGACTTTACACACCAGACTTATGCTGAAAAGGGGGGGGGTGGTTGCTGAAAAGGCTTATATAACAAAGAAAAAGATCTACCCGTATTGACTTTACACACCAGACTTATGCTGAAAGGGGGTGGGGGGGGGAGTGCTGGGAACTTGCATATGCGTACCCTAAATAACACTGGGTGGGGGGGGGGGCAGGGCTCCCCCTATCATTCATCCACAGTTCCCAAACTCACTTGTGTACTGCATCACTTCCAATGCATCACCCTGCCTTTCCCTATTCATCAGACTGATGACACTGATGCTGTACTGCGTCCCAGGCGTAAGCTCGCCGAAGGTGTAGTAATTAATCTCAATGTAGGGGACAATGTCTGACATCAAAGGGCCATCAGGACCACTGTAGTGCAGGAGATATTCATCGACATTGTCAGTTTTCCAGATGATCTCTAAAGAGTTAGTTCCTACCTTGCTGATTTCCACTTCATTTTTGACTACAGTAGCAGTGGTGAAATTTTGCACTGAAAGAAGACAATGTAAAGTGTTTTAAAGAGAAGGTCGAGTTGATTCATTGTACTTCCAGTAACCGATTTATTACATTGCTAATAATTTCCTTACACAAGCATTTGCTTCCCCGGATTTCGACTGCTACCTGTTTAATTTATTCACTGTACTGTTCTGTTTTATTTATCGTTAACCATATATTGACAAGGAGAAGGAAATATTTTTGAGAAAAAAAAAATTCAACTACAACTTTTATGGTCTTTATAGAAAGGGTGTCTTCATTATGAACATGACGGACAAAGAAAGAGGACAAAATATACAGTTTCTCAGGTAGACAAAGGAACATCCCTTCACTGCTATTATGTAAAAATGTGTATAACAGGTGATTATGCATGTGACACCTGTTCTACACATTTTTACATAATAGCAGTGAAGGGATGTTCCTTTGTCTACCTGAGGAACTGTATATTTTGTCCTCTTTCTTTGTCCGTCAAATTCATAGTGCTTCCTACACATGTTTATGCTAAGAAGGATTCACTGTATCAATAGTCAAAGTAGCTGATTAACAATATCGCTAAAAACTTCAACTTGTCTGAATGAATCATGATCTTCCTGAAAATTTGAAGACTTACAGGTGGTTTCACTAGGAAGACTGAGTCCCCTCTCCCCGGTCCTTGCGAAGACCTGGGCCGTATACATGGTGTTAGGGTACAGGTCCAAGAGGAGGAGCTCAGGGCACGCCTCACGGGAAAGGGTGAAGACCGGCTGACGCGCACCGCAGCTATCCGTCGGAGACGATAACATGACAACGTAATCGTCAAAGATCCCTTCCCTTAGAGAAAAGGTGAGTAAAGCAGTCGTTGCTTTGATGTCTGAAATGTTGGTGGATGGAGTTAATGGACCTGTTGATATTCAAAACATTATGAAAAGCTCTCGTTAAAACTATACCCCACCACTATAGCACAGCAGTCAATGTAATCTGGTGGGGTAGCACTACCCCAGATTCGTTTCTCTCGTTAAAACTTTGTAATCTGGTGGGGTAGCAATACCCCAGTTTCGTTTCTCTCGTTAAAACTTTGAGAGAGCTACTACTATTACACAGGCACCAATGGGAATCTGATGGGGTCTCACTACCCCACTTTCAATTCTCTCGTTAAAAACTTGGACAGAGCCTTGAGGCTCTGAGTGAGAGATTAAGATATTGGATTGCAGCTGGACTCTACATCATCTTACGTAATACTAGTGTAAACAAACTCTTACTGGGGTCTGCCTGAAAGGAAATGAGAAGTAGGAAATAAGTATTTTACTTGTTTTAAGATATTTTTATGTCCTAAAGTCACTAATAATTTAGATGAAGACCAAAATGAAAGTTCGAACGAAGCAAAATGACCCATAATTGGCGATATAACAACAATTTTAACTCTGGCAGCGAACCCCTGCATGTGTCTCTTTCTCCCTTCTCCCTTCCTTTCCCCTTGTATCATGCTTATCTCTCTCTCGCTATCACCTCATCAAGGTCTCGGTGGGGGTGGATTACAGCGCTAGTGTTTACTTAGGGCTTATCACAATCTCAGCTCTAGTACAAGTAGAAATGGTGAAAGTCAAATGGGGGTTTCAATTTTAAACGACGAGTTTTCGTCATGATAATAATAATAATGATAATAATAGTAACAATATTAACAACAATAACAATAATGATATTAATAATTATAATAATAACAATAATAGTACATGTAGTTATAGGTCAGTCAGGAATCCCATGACTTTTACAAGCCGATCACCTATCTGATTTTCAAGATATTCATGATTGGAAATCGAAATTTTATTTTTTGTTTTCCTCACTGTTTTTATAACACTACAGTTTACAGGAGAAAAAGAGTATGGTAAAACCGGTCACTCAAAGATTTTTACTTTTTTGAGGCACTTCATGATCATTTTGAAGCACAATTTTTTTAGGGCTTCAATCTTTAAGTAATATTGACTGCCTTCAGGGCAATACGATATATATCCCCCGAACCAAAGGTGAGGGTAATATATGACAAGTCGTATTGCCCTGAATAAGGCAGTAAATATTACTATCATTAACCACATCAGACATCTAGAGCAAACAAGAAACTCTTAATCTTAAATTATGTAAAATACAGTAGCCTACGTACTGCACAGGGTTTCCTAGCATAAAGAGTTGCAAAAACATTGTCAAACCAGCACTGTGAATCCAGTGCTTGTCAAAATTTTTGATACACTGCATTTAGGACGAACACATATAAAAACAGTCATCTAATTTCTGGAATTAGAGTATGGAAACAACTTGAAAGTTCTATCAAGACATCACCTACTTTGATCAATTTTAAACACACTCTAAAAGCCCTGTTATCTGCAGATGACGTGTAAGTGAACTTTTGGGTGGTTCTATTTGCAAATTTATTAAATTTGGTTGACATGGTTAGCGTTATATCATCTATTCATACATGTAATGTATCCATTTTCAGCTATCTTGTAAACAACCTAAGTGTATTTTCAAAGAGCAATTGAATGTAAATATGTTTATAACAATTTTGGTCACTCTTGTGTTAAAGCTAAAGTTGAGTTCTGGTCATGCAATTGCATTGTGAAAGAAACGGTGTGGAATCGATTAGAAAATATTGATCATCTATATATGTCAGTATTGGTGTGTACTGCAAGGTTCTGGAATCATCAAAATGGTAAGACTGAATTTGGCCCAGTCTTGGTAAATTTACAAACACTGTACACAGAAAGTTGTATATGGAAGTACATGTGGCATAAAAATCTGTCCTGATTTTTATACTGTTACATGCCATAATTAAGAATATAAAAGTATTTGAAGAGCCACGCTTTTCAAGAAACATGTTTATCTGACGTTCTTCCCCATTTGCATAATAATAATGATAACTCATACAAATTAATTTTCACAGAACTCAACCTTATTTTTAAGCTACCGGTATATCAGATTATAAAAAATGTAAGTTTTAAATCATTTTTTTCTTTCTTTTGAATACATTGTTATCATCTAATTTTTTCTTCTTCACTTTTTCAATGTATCTTTTAAATTGAAAATTCCATTCACATACTTCTTGTAAATGATCATGGATGATTCTTGAATGATCAGTTATTTCATGAGGATACCAATTAATTTGTAATTTACCTGTTTATATGCTTGTGTATTTATTTATTTTGTTTTTGCTGCCGTCATTTATTTTAATCTTACCACACAGGGCGTCATGGAAGACCACCAAATTGGTGATGATGTGCCACCCTGCATAAAATATCAGAAATAAATAAATAAATAAATAGCTTAGTCAAACTACCGAGACCGACATCAGACCGACAAGAAACCAAACAATGATATTACATTAATTCTATGGCCAAGAATCAGTCTGTTTGAAGTCGGTCTTAAGTCGGTTTGGAGGTGTGACTGAGGTATCAGTCTGGTTCTTACTCTGAACAAAATCTGCATTGGCAACCTCCATTTCAGTGCCATCAGCAGCGATGGTGGCGAGTCTAAAATTGTAGATGGCGCCAAACAGAAGGTTGTCGATGGTGATAGACGTAGAGGTGGCTGGACGAGCAATGCTGTTGGTATTTCTGTTGGTGGTCGTGTAGATGAGGCGATAGGACTCGGCGCCCTCTTGTACCTGCCACGAAACGGTGAGGTTCTGGTTGCTACCAACATTAAACTCTAGGATTTGTTCATCTGAGTTGAATGAAAGGGAGACAGTGGGACGTTTTATGTTAACATTATATTAAAATTGATTCTTAACATCATCAGCATTAGTTCAATTTAATGTATTAAATATGATACACGATTGTAGTCCCCCCAAATCATGTTTACAATATATAACTGATAACATGCACAAACGTTGACCCCAAAATGTAATCAGGTAATCTTACATGGTCATACATACTCTCACCAAGTTTAACTATGACAGCACAATTTGTTCTCAAAAGAATATATTTTAACACATTTAAATTGACCTGTGACCTTTGACCTCTTGACCCAAAATAATAGGATAATCTTTACATGGTCATACATACTCTCACACAGTTTAACTATGATACCTCAATTCGCTCTTAAGTTATCGCGTTCACAAGAATAATTACGGTCAGACAGGTGAAACAACAACCCGAAAGCATAATGCTTTCCGGTAATCACTAAGTGTAGCGGAGGCAAACAAAATATAGGCTTAGGGTTGGGGATAGAATTGAATGTTAGGAATTTGTTTTGAACTTGGCATTGAACATTTTTTTGCAGGAGTATGTATTGTATAACCATAATATCAACAGAAAGGTTATTTTTATTTAAACTATGTGTACCTGTATTGAATGATGCTTCTGAAGCGATGCTACGCGATTCATAGAAGACAGAGTAGATCCTGACGTTATAGGTCGTATCTGGAAGAAGACCACCCACTTCAAATTCATTCCCCTCGTTGGGATAGACCACACCCACTGGGCGGGGCTCTGGCATGTCACCCCCGGAGATGGATAATTCGTAACTGTCAAAGTTACTGGTGGCTGGTGTCCACGTAAATGAGAGGCGGGTCTGGGTTGAAGACTGCAAGGTGATTGGGCCGGGTGGGGCAGGATCTAATAGTTTAAAGATAAAGACCAGTTATGGTCATGCGATTGCATTGTGAAGAAACGTAATGTAATCTAGCATATAAGTATTTGTGTGCACTGCAAGGTTCTGGAATCATCAAAATTATAAGAAATTTGGCCCAATCTCCGTAAATTTGCAAACATTGTAAACAGAAAGATGTATATGGGACTACGCACACTTGCGCGACACATGCGTTTATCTCTCACACACCAATATATTAACTAATTTACAAAATATATCAATTAGTAGGCGGTTTCCCGGCAACATTTTTATCATCATGTATTAGTCAAAACATATTCTTTCACATGATTGGTGATAAGAGCTCCTGTTTCATTTTTTGAAATTGGGGCGTTTCCAATACTGGTCTTTACCTTTAATGATGGTAAAGATTTGATCACTGAATTATGTACTACTGTAGTTCACCACTTCTCTTCCTTTTTTGAGGCCCACCTTGGCCATTAACATTGACCTAAAAATAAATGCTGTCCTAAAAAAGTCTTATTTTCATGTCACAGGACCCTAGTTAAATCACGTCAAGAATAAACTAACCTGTCACAAACTGCAGAACACTTCCATCATCGGTATCCATCACAATAAGTTGCACAGAGTAGTTGGATGCTGGCGACAAGGAGTCAAGCGTGGCACTCATACTATTAGCAGAGAGAGATAAGGTCCTCATGTTGTTACCAATGGCATTAAATAACTTGACAGCATAGCCCTGGATGTTGTTGACAGGTCCCCATGCTAGAGCAATTTCATCACTACTAAGGGATACCACATGGAGCTGACCTTCCAGAGCACATGCTGTAGAAGAGGAAGTGGGGGAGAGAGCGGAGGAAGAGGGCGAGAGGGGAGAGGGAGAAGGAGGGACAGGAGGGAGAGGGCGAGAGGGGAGAGGGGGAAGGAGGGAGAGGAGGGAGAGGGCGAGAGGAGAGAGGGGGAAGGAGGGAGAGGAGGGAGAGGGCGAGAGGAGAGAGGGGGAAGGAGGGCGAGAAAAAGTGATAGAGAGGGTAGAGAAAGGGGAGGAGAGGGGGAGAAGAATGGAGGAGAGGGGGAGAAGAATGGAGGAGAGAGGGGAGGGGTAGAAAAGGAGAAATGGGAGGGGAGGGAGAGAGAAGGGATGTACTAAAATAAGGTTATATGTTCAAGTAGAGGGTACAGTTTCAAAAACGTACTTGTACAGGGTGTAGTATATATATATCACTACATGAGGTGAAACTGATGTTTATGTAAATATACTATACCTGTGCCTGTACATGTAGGTGTATATTGGAGTTTCTTTGGCATAAAACATACATAATGATGACATAACTGTCAAAAAACAAATGCTTACCGGGGGTACAGAATGATATGTAGACTTATAGGTACCTGCAGTTGGAAATAGCTTCTCGCAAAGAATCCAATACTTCGAAATATCAATCTAAAGTAATTTCAATATCCTTATCGATCACGTTTTGAAAGTTGTGAACATTTCCAACGACAAGTGCATCATCCAAATATGTTCCTATGGGATAAGAAAAGCAACATCTGGTGCCGTTTTCAATTTTGTTGAAGACGTACTTGATCTCAGAAGCCTTTTTAATAGATTTTGGTTGTGTGCCCGTAAAGTAGCTCTATAAAAAGTATTTTTGTTTACCACAGCGCAGTTGAGTATATTCATATATTAGCTGTTTTAATCAATGTTATTACTATGTTTACCTATACATGTGCAATAGGGTATTAGAATCGCCCTTGGGTTAATTTCTTAGTTTTGATGATGCAAGCTATAGAGAAAAAGGACGTAAAGTTGAAGTCCACCCTGATATTTAGTTGGCTTGAATAAAAGACGGAACAATTATATAAGCTGATCAGTGAAAGTTTGAGCAAAATCTGACTAAAGATAATAAAGTTATGAAACTTAGAAGTTTAATATAATCAATCAATCACATATCGGCAACACTTTGACATACATGTATCCTGCAAGATTTTACTGAAACTCTCACTGACCTATTCCTCTACTTCTATCAGAACCCATTTAATATCAGGATGCACCGTCCCTTTCAAAATTGAGCTGTCTCTCTTACTTGTAAATCCATATCTGGTTAGTACGTCACTTCTGGTGTCACCAGAAATCGCAGTGACCGAGACAGAATATTCCGTGTCCGGCTGAAGCCCCTCAAGGGTGAAGGTGCCATCGGTGCAGCGATTGATGTCGAAGGGAGAGTCCGTCTGACTGGACTCGGGGCTGTAGCTGACCTCAAGGCGCTCGTAGTTGAGGTCATTGAGAGACGTATCTACCTTCCAATCCAAGGAGTAAGGTCCTACACTCTCTAGCTCCAGACCATCTGGCCTTTCAGGAACTGTAAAGAATTTCAAACAAGAACAAGGATAGAGATTAATAATAATAATAGTGGGTTCTTGTTTAGCGCTCATGTCCATCACATTTAACACTCCTAGCCCTCCACAATTATTACCCCTGCGTTTGCACGACTGCTATCATATGGCGCTCTAGCATTTCAAGGACTCAGGTCCTGCCAGGTACCCATTTAATTATCTCACCTGGGTTGAGTGTAGCAAACGTAGATTAATGTCTTATCAAGTGATCCACAGTCCGGTGACATACACATGTCCACTAGACCATGACACTCTTTCTCTCTCTCCTTTTGTACACTATGCCCATCATTCTTCTTTATCTATTTCTAGCCCTTTTCCAATGTATTTCCACTTCTATCTCTACCCTATTTAATTTTTACTCCAACTTTCTCTTCAGACCTTTACGTTATTCTGTGTTTCTCTGCGCTCATTCACTATTATGTCTTTCTTTCTATCTTTAGCTGTCTGTTACATGAACATATTTTGTTTCTTGTACCTTACTGGGCTGTGTCATCTCCAACTGTGGTCACGTAAAATAGACGTAATACAGAATAAAGAACTCTGCTGACAAGTTTTGTTTCATTAACTTGTCAACAGCATTCTTTCTTCTGTCTTGTGTCAGTGTTTGCTATTGAGCATTATTCTCTCATTTTTACTTCTCACAATTATACATGTGTGTGTATCATAATAATAATATCCTTTGGCAAGATATTAACCTGCACTTGCTACTCTCCACCCAGGTGTTAAATTGGTACCCGGTAGGATGCGACCGTCATTGTTGGTCAAACAGTTTTTGAGCATCAAGTAACGTCTGGCTAGAATGCTCCCCAGGGAGTGGAGATTGTGAACACAGTGTGTGCGGGCAAACACTGAACCCAATGACCGGGTTAATAGTATATTTGTAAAGCGCTTAGAGACATTGTATTAAGCGCTATGTAAAAGCTAAATATTAATATTATAATACTTTGTTCTTTTATGGCGCATTCCATGTCTGTTGACAATTCAATGCCCTTTACAATATACATATATATATAAAATATAACAAGATCATGAAAGGAAGATGAGTAAACAGAAGCATATAAAGAAAAAAACGAAGATCTTACGAAGAGAAAAATTACATTACTTTAATATCCATCATGATATGCTAATTTGTAAAGATGAATTTTGAGTTTAGACATGAATGTTTGGGAGTATGCGTGTGCGTGTTTGTGTGTGTGTGTGTGGTTGGGTGCATGTTCATGTGATAATATGAGTTTATTTGTACCAGTTGCCTTTGTCTGCGTAGTGTACAACATATATAGCATGTAAGTATTAAAGATAGAAACAAAACATGATGCAAGCTGTTTCTGTTTTAAGCTTTCTTCCTCTTTGACCTTTGGAAATTTAATCTGTTTTTTAAAGACGGATCATGTACTTGGCAATTACTAAATTTGTTACATAAATCTATATAATATAATATCCTTACTTGTGACTCTAATTCATAAACACAATGAACAACTCTAAAAGAATAATAACAATATTAACAATAATAATAAAGATAATTAATATAAATACTTTTAATTATAATAAAATAATAATAGTAATACTAATAATTATAATAAAAATAATAATAACTATAATAATAATGATAATAACAATAAATAATAACAATAATTAATAATAAATAAATAATAATAAATAATAAATACAATTTCAAAATAATAAAACTGACAATAATGATTAAAATAAAGTTCATAACAATTACCATTATACAATGAGATTAATAATACCTATGATTACAGTAATAGCAGGAAAGGTAAATCCTTTTGTGTTTACTTACCTGTTGTGAACGTGAGGTCAACGTCATTAACTGTGAAAGTATACTGCCTGCCCGGGGTGAGATCTGGAATCCTGGTACGTTGCCCCGAAACTGAACAGATAAGGTCATTAATACAAAACTGTTTAACCCATCAAGACGAACACTGGGTACACGTGCGAGGACTAGTAGGTAGAACTAGAACTGGAACTGGATATGCGTTCATAAAAGTTATGCCATCATTATTCATTCATGCAACTTTCTGTGCATGGACTTATAATAAAAGTCATTAGTACAAAAACTGTAAAACCCATCGAGATGAATAATGGATATGCGTTCATGAAAGTTATGCCATCATTATTCATTTTTGCAACCATCTGTGCACTGACTAATAAAAGTCATTCGTACAAAACTGTAAAAACCCATCAAGATAAATACTGGATAAGTGTTCATGAAAAATATGTTCCGGTAATCATTATTCAATTATGCAAGCACGATTTCATTCTACAGGAATCATAAACAGCTGGTGGTATTTTTGTCAAGAAAGCATACAAGAGGTATTTCTGAAGGACCTCTTATCATTTGTTATCAACACGGCAGTTGATCTTCTAAATGGAGAAAGCGTGACCTCTCTTATAATGTTTAAGCTTTCAGGACAAAGATTTTCATGAGGCTAAATAGATCACATTTCCTTCAACAAATTTGCAAAACATTTTCATTTTGCTTTTATTGCTTCATTGTCCAAATAAAATACCATGTCTCAGAAAACAATATGCATGGTTATGAGCTATGTTAAAAAGTTTTAAATTGGCAATTTTATAAAAAAACACTTATATTTTTAGCCTTTCAATGTGCTGCCAGTTTATGGATTTTAAGGCTCATGTTCTTTTAAATACTTCTTGGCCTCAAATGCTATGCGGTCATGCAAAAATGTGGAAATATTGTGTGTAAAAACGTTTGCCCTTTCTTTTCATGCATCTTGTACATTTATTAGGGATCTGAATAAAAAGTTATTGAGCCAAACCACAAAAAGAGCAATCTCTGTCTGTGGATATTTGGGGCCATCTACTTTCTACGAACTGGTTTATTAGCCATACCTGTAATCTGTGAACCATCCAAGTATCCCATTGTAAGAGGTGGGCTGGTCCAACCAATTTCTGCATCAGTTGATGAAACAGACAGGAGGTACACTTCATCTCCATCTCCACGGGCTGAAAATGAGGACAAAATCTTTAAAATACATGTACATGTTGGGATCAAGACCAAGACCAAGACCAAGACATAAAACATCTATACCAGGACTGGGCCCTGTTTATAAAATAAATAGTTACAATAACTGGTATAAAGAAGGCACTGAAATCCCTGCATTTGATTGATTGATAGCATATTTTTTGCAGTAATGTTACACATACAGTAGGCTTGCGGGTGCACCATGTTGGTTATCTTTCTGCTGTGCATTGTAGCAGACTACAACGTCGCCTACGTCGGGGACACACACAGCGTCTCGCCGACAGCACACCCCACTCATGGATTCGAAACTCTCCTAAGTCCACAACCCAGAGACTCCAGCCCAGACGGACAGTCAGACGGACGAGCCTACCATCCATGTCCACTCCCTGATGACTCAAGCCCACACGGTCATGTATTTTTCCCCGACGTCCGCACCCCGGTGACTTAAGCTCACGCACGCCAGATATTCTCCACTCCTGACGACGGATAGTCAACCTGTTCGAAAAGTCAAGCCACTCCCGCCACTCATCCTCTCCAAGCACTATAATTTTACTTAGAAATATAAGCTAAGAAAGATAACCAACAGTCTTTTTCAAGACTACACAAACAGTCCTTTTCAGGACTACACATCCTCAAGAAAGATCTCAATCCTCTCTCTCTCTCTCACATGGTGCACCAGCAAGCCTATACTGTATATCTACATCGCCATGCAAGCCGACACTTACAAGCAGAATGTTACACATGTTATTGATAATAAATTTTATGAAACAGAGCCCAAGAGCAGGTTTCATTAAACTTGTTATAAATAACAAGTTACAATAACTGTTATAAGCTACTGGAATCCTTGCATTTGATTGGCTGAGAGGAAAGATGTCATGGAATTTCAGCAATTAGTTACTGATAAGAATTTTAATGAAACAGGGCCCTGATCTTGAATTTGTTATTGACATCTAGGCTCTGTCTTATAAAGAGTTGCAATTAATCACAACTTATAAGCAATTGAGATCAATTGCATCTATATAAATAAGAGATAAGAGACTGCAAGCTTGCATTTATAAAAGGATTTGCGATTGATTCAAATCAATCGCAACTCTTTAAAAGACGGGCACTTGGACTCAAATTACCTGTCATGACAGTCTTTTCTGCTGTTGTACTCCTCTCTTCCAATCCTTCTTCGCCCATGATAGTTGTGACAGAAACAGTATACTCTGAATTATGCATCAGCCCCACGAAGGTAAATCCGCGTATGTCGCTACCCACTATCCTGGGCAGCTCCTGCAGGGCGGTTGGTGGTGAAATGTCGACTTCAAAGCCCCGGTATAGACCGCTTGCAGGTGAGTCCCATTCAATGCGCAGCGTGGTGATAGTTTCATCTACAACACGAAGAGACTCTGGAGGACTTGGAGCTGAAGGGTAAAGAAAGAAGAAATAGTAGGACACATTATTGCCACTTTTTTTTTTTTTTTTTTTTTTTAAACTCTTCATATGATACACAACTTAGCTTCCTGTGCCATATCGTATTTAACATATGCCAAAGGCTTCAAGATTATTTTGACCGTTTCCTGTGCAAGATGAATTCATTACCAGTGTTAAATGAGTTGTCATGGAGCTAATCAAGATTGGAAGTGGGTGATTTTACAAAGCCATTCTGTTGCACAAAGGAAGCCTTCCGTCAATTGGTGCTTATTGTCTTGTGCAAGGTTGCACATGTGGTATAGAAGTAACCATGCAGAAAGACGAAGAAAGCAAGCTAAGTGTTAATAGAATGCAGCAGAAGTAATGACATACTATAGTATGCATACGGGTGCATATAAAGATGGACGAATAAATCTACAGTGTTGGAAAGCTCTGGTTTTACCTGTTCGAACCTGCAGTTGATCCAAAGGCGCTGGGAAAGTAGTGATGGGCTGGAGGAAAAGTGAGACCTCGTAGAGTTGCCCGGGAGTCAAGTTCGATATGGATTTTTGGTACGAAGTCTCCTCGCTCTGCTTCGGTATGACCTCATTGATACTGGCGGATGTGATCAAGTAGCCTGTGAATGTCTCAGGGTTCGGCTGCTCGTCCCACAAGAAAGTAAGAGCATTTGCTGTGTTGACGACTGACAGGATTCTGGCACCTGCAATCCATACAAGTGGCAAATGGGGTATTAAAAGAACAACCATCACAATTAGGGATTTTTACGGAAGTGTTGAAGGAATAACCCCAGCGGTTTCATGGTCTAGTGGATATATTGCAGGAATGTTAATCACATTGTTTGAGGTTCAAGTCCTGCTGCGGCACTAATATCCTTTGGCAAGATAATAATCAACATTTGACACTCTTTACCCAGGTGTAGTCAACAGGTATCCTGTAGGAAGAAATTGCTTGAATGCTTGAGTGCCTTATCATGGTATCTTGGCTAAAGCCAGGCTAATTATATAATAATAATAATATTACTCAGCTTTGATATAGCGCGAGTTACGATGAAGTCTCTAAGCGCTTCCAAACTTGGATATTATTACCCCAGCTTTAGCTGTGCTGCCATTACGGAGCTCTAGCATTTCAAGGAATTAATTCCTGCCAGGTTCCCATTTACATCACCTGGGTTGAGTGTGGCAAATATAGATCAATGCCAATATGATTGCAGGGCCATCAGGGAGGACAGTTGTAATCCTGATGAGGCTACCCTGGGTAAATAAGACATATCATTATCATTAATTTTCAAGTTGGTAACACCCACAGTATGCCCTTGTATGAACTACCTGCTGAAGGCTTCATGAACTCAAAACATGAAGCACTAGCCAAAACTCACCAATAACTTATTTACTGGGATTTGAATTTCATATTTTAGATTCCAAAGATCGAATGATATACATTAGGATATGACTATGTGAAAACCAATGTAATACATACATGAACCTATGATTGTTGTACATATGATGTTGAAATATGATGTTGTAAAGTGCAATGGTCTTTTTCAATGATGATCAAAGTAAGTCTACTAAGCTTCACATTACTGTATCCTATAACAAAGAGCTCAGTGAGTACATGTAAGACTGCAAGAAGTTTGCCATTCATTTACACATTAAAGGTAAAGACCAGTATTGGAAACGCCCCAATTTCAAAAAATGAAATGGAAGCTCTTATTACCAATCATGTGAAAGAGTATGTTTTGACTAATACATGATGATACAAATTTTGCCGGGAAACCGCCTACTAATTGATATATTTGGTAAATTTGTTTATCAATTGGTGTGTGAGAGATAAACGCACGTGTCGCGCACGTGTGCGTAGTCCCATGTACATCTTTCTGTGTACAGTGCTTGTAACTTTACGAAGACTGGGCCAAATCTCTTATCATATTGATGATTCCAGTACACACCAATACTTATATGCTAGATGATTAACCTTTTCTGATCGATTCCACAACGTTTCTTTCACAATGCCATCGCATGACCATTACTGGTCTTTATCTTTAACAACTGCTGATGTTACATCTTTGTATCTGATCGAGCCTTTTGTGACTTACTTGTCCTGACGACTTCCTCCAGGGGCTCTCCTGACAAACGCTTGCCATCGCTGCCATCGCCAGCTCCTGTTCGTCCCACGCTGCTCAGCCGTACAGTATAGCTTGTATCCGCATCCAGACCATGGATGTCGTACATTCCATCATTGTCTATCCTCGCCTCCCAGGTATTGGAGGGAGATTCAGTCTCAAAGTACTCAAGGACCATCTCAGCGATGTTTGGCGGTGGAGTCCAGCGAATCTCGATCAGGCGAGAGCTGACCGCTGTGATGGTTACGGAGGATGGGGGTGAAGGCCCTGAGTGGAGACAAATTCACATGTACACATTCACATTTGTGACGAAAACACAGGTTAACACACAATAAAACACAGCACCTACAGAGGAAGGATCGAGCTTACGAAGGCAATCGTGGAGACGGCAAAATAGAAATTGAAATAAATATCATCAACACAAAAAACTTCTTTACACACAAGTTAGTACATATACATGCACATGCACGACACACGCAAATGTACTACATATACATGTACATTAGGTGCAGTAGAGACTGCGGAACATTCACCCACTGCTGCAATAGTGAATTAAAAAGGAACACTGAAATCACTGTAAGCAGGAATTTACTTACATTTGCTAGAAGACTACACTTAGAGGGTGTTAAAAATATGCTACTACGATTCTTTGGTTTCTAAGATGAAAATGAAATATTCCAAAAATTTCTCTTCTCCCTAATTGTCATGTATAATCTACCCTGGTACTCTCTCAGGTAATCCACACAACACCTATTGAAGAAAGTCTCATAGGAAAACCTGTGGAGAAGTACAAGGTTACTTTAGGGTGAACCGAGACTTGCTCCTGCGACAATTGCTCCAAACTTCATTCTGTCAAAGGTATAAGGTTAGGTTGCTAGTTGCAGCAGGGTTTTAGGTTTAGGTTCTAGGATAAAGGATAGGGCTCACGTTACGTATACAGTCGGGCCTGAACAGTTCACATGCATGCAACTGGAAGAAAAATGTTTTACTCATTACATTTATTCCTATCAGGAGTCACATTATATAAATGTCTCGGAGCAATTACAGGTGACTATACACATTAAAAGGAGGCCAAACTTGCCTGTCTTCCCGAGGTACAAAGTAGGAAGGAATGATTGAGTTGTGATAGTGTTTTTTTTTCTTTCTACCAGGTGTATGTAGTCTTTCAGGCCTGACTATACATGTAAGGGTCCAGGATCAAAATTAAGAATTCGGTTATTAGATCTATCCGTTCACATTGTTACAGCTAAAAAAAACTGTCTCAGACATAGGTACACAGACGTTAATACTCCCAGAAATATAATGATGAAGACTATTTCATTATTACTATATGCAGGAAAGTGAAGTGGAGCAATTCTACAAGCTATATCCTTTTTAGTAAGTTCCTTTTTTCACATGTAATTTCGAAATTATTTAGTGTAAATGCCATACAAACTTATGCTATATACATGTAGATGTCTTTATTGTTCACGAATATCAATATTGTAAATATGCTATGTTTTGTTAATGTATTGTTTTTGTTTTTTCATGTGACATAACAGAAACTAAACTGATATGCAATCTAGAATGTAACCTATTGCACCATTCGAGAATTCAGAAAGTACCGAATTCCTCTTTTCTTTGATATGTCAGTGTCTGAATCTAAAATCTAATTGGTGTGTCCAATCTATTTAACCTTGTAAAGTGAAACCGCATAACAAAGGCTGCTCAATGGAGACAAGAAAAGTGGTCCTTATAGGCAGGTGGTTTTTATATGTTCCTTTACTACAGGTTTCAATGGGAACCGATTTTCAAGGGAAATGAAAAGTGTGGTCTTTCTATACAGGTGGTCACTACAGCAGGTTTGACTGTACTGTATAAGGTGACAAAAAGTGCAAGCTACTGCCACTCACTTGTTCAATCTTATATAAACTTGTAAAGTGAAACCGCATAACAAAGGCTGCTAAAAGGAGACAAGAAAAGTGGTCCTAATTATAGTCAGGTGGTTTTATATGTACAGGTTCCTTAAGTATGGGTTTCAATTGGAACCGATTTTCAAGGGAAATGAAAAATGTGGTCTTTCTATACACATGCAGGTTGACTGTACATGTATAAGGTGAAAAAAGTGCATGCTACTGTCACTCACTTGTTCTCACTTTCTCCAGTTCCATAGACACTCCATAGGGGTCCATGTAGGAGACAATATAGAGCTGCCCTGGGTCTAGAGAATCAAACTCTCCCTCAATGCTGCACAAGTCAGAGTTATTAGTGAGGCACACAGGGTCATCCAGGCGCTGGCGGCAGTACTCGACCAGGCAGACGCTGTAGCCGGCTTGGCCCAGGCGCCCCCAACGAACAGCAATGCTGGTGGAAGTTAAAGAGTCAACAACCGGTGTAGACTCGTTAGCTGGACGCAGGCCCACTGAAAATCAATCACAAGAAAAGTAGCATCACCGTTCATCAATCAAGACATAACATTTATACAAATATTAAAAGGCCTTACGGTCAATACAAGGAATTATCGGACAAGATATGCCATAATGTTGGACAAGTTATAGACAGGTCCTATTTTGATTTCATATAGGATTCAATATTACCTGACAAAAGCGGGTACAGTATTATCATTACCCTGGTGACTGGATTTAATTACTATTCTGCATATTACAGTGCACATTCTTCACTCCCAGGGAAGCATTCCAGCTACTTGCCTTTTTACGGGTGCGCACATGCTATTCCAATCACATTGACATTCCCATCCTACCAGGTACCCATTTAACACCTGGGTGGAGAGGAGCAACTTGGATAAAATACCTTGCTTAAGCATACATGTCATTGCAGTGCCTGGGCCACTACAACATCTTTTGGTTTGCAGATCTCTTGACTTGCATCCTGCATCATGGCTGACTGTAACCAAATTGTAATCTTTGCTATTCCACTATGCATGCTCTGTGAATAATACAGTTATCAAAATTGCAGCGCATTTCCATACATGTATACATATGCTTGTGTGTTGGGCACTTCGTTGATCGATGTATTGAGCGCTATATTAACACAGAATATTATTATTATTATTATGCATATATAGGGTGAAAACTCATTCCTAAACACATGGCAAAACCTGAATGATTTCTTTCAAGAATATACATGTACCTGTTGAATTTGTGGCAGTTGGTGGTGTTTCGGTTGCGTATTGTTTTTCAAACGATCCGCTCTCCTGCAGCAGGGAGACGAGTTCTACTGTGTATTCCGTTTCTGGCTCAAGACACTTGAAAACAAATTCAGTGACATTTCCTGAAACATTGACAGATCGCACCTCCGTGCTGTTTGTTGAGAGTGTAAGCAGAATCTCATTGGAGCTTGTGACAACGTCGGGTGGGTCCCAAGATGCAATGAGTGTGATCTCGTCGAGAGATGTCAGGAAGACATTACTGACCAAATCAGGATCTGCGAAAGAATATGAAAAGTTAATCAAAAAATTGCACAGACGAACATGCAAAGGGCAGCTATACAATACGTCTGCACTTCATTTAATTTAATTTATTTAATTTTAATTGAGGAACTTTACATAACTATCTTGATCTAAGGAGACTGGAATGAACGGCAACAAATTTCACTTGAAACTGACAATAATTTTCTATGACACATGTATTCTTCGTATGCTGGATATCCTATTATTCCTTGCATGCTAGTCAGTACGCTTACCAAATATCCCATAACATTTCAAGCAAAAATGACGTTCATTTCATAAGAAAAGGGGGCCGAGTCATTTAGACAGTGCAAAAACTCTTAGACGAATAGTGCAGTGGGTTCTTAACATGCAGAGGTAGTGACTCTCTTCTACAGGGTCTCCATTCAACATCCTCTCCACGGGAGAGAGTGTTTCCAAGTCATAGCCTGCATTTATGATATAGGGGAGGGGCACATTAACACACAACACAAACTTCAGTCATCCACCTTGGTTGATGCTTTACCGACTGAACAATTTCGTCTCCTAGAAATAAATGGTAGACGCAACAGAGTACTTTTATTAAATGACATCTTTCCCAGTATGCTACTGCCGATTAGAAGCATATGAAGGGGAGCACTACATGTATTTCTGCGCAGACATGGCACTTTAGCCATACAACGTACATGTACATGTATGTCCTGATGATCTCAGAAGTAAGCTGTGATTGTGCAACACATGCTCCTGCGATAATTGCTCTGTGGTAGTTTTGTACACTAAATGAATTCCTTACTTGATTCCCCGGATCCAAAACTATATACACGTAATCTGAACCCTAATCCTAACCTAAAAGCCAATTGCAATCTAACCCTGACCCTATACTTTTGACAGAATATACCCTGGAACAATTGTTGCCGGAGCAAATGTGGAATCACCATAAGTTGTAAATGTGTAAACTTACCAGTTCTCACACTTCCCGCTGCTACAGGACCAGACGGGCCGGTCTCAACCAAGACATTGTAAACTGTCGAGGAAAGCACGCCCTCAAAGTCAGCGAATGGTATCGAGTCATGTGACATCAGCATTTGCTGGTCACTGGGCGGGGCCGTGATGTTGTAATTCCCGGTGAAATTGCGATCGCGGTTCCACCATACTCTAAACGCTGTTGAGTTGACCATCGTGAAGACAAGTTCAGTCTCTCCTATCATCACTAGGAAAGTCAAGAAAATAGGCTACTGTTCATATCTAATACACACATGTACATTGTTAATGGTACTTCCTAATAATAAATAGTAGTAACAGGGATGCCAGTTAGAATTGGTCAGAGCTAGGGCCTGAAAATCACCTAGCGTGAGCTATGTTGTACACAAAAAAGCCTAAACTATGGCCTGAAAATAACTCGCCATCCCTGTAGTAATAATAATTACAATAAACTTTTTTTAACCCAGGGAAGGCTCATCAGCGTCAATGCTGGGTTCTGTTTCATAAAACTTGTTATCAATAACCACTGCCACAGATCTATGACAAATTTGCCCAGAGTCAATCAAAAGCAAGGATTTCAGTAAAAATATATTTCATTAAAAAAATTATGAAACAGGGCCCTGTTCTTACAGAGGGGCCTGAAATAACTAATACCCTATTAATTGACAGGTTCCCATTTACAGCTACAGGTAGGTGGAGAGTGGTAGAGGTCAATTAATGTTTTGCCAAAGAATGTTTAATTAGTGCCAGGTTGGGATTTGAACCCTCAACCCTGGGATTGAGTTAAGTGAATGAATCCCTCTCCCTCAACACCTCCACTTCAGTTGTTATAAGCAATCCTAAAGCTTGCTGCTTAGCCCAAGCGGCAACAGGAATACATAAGTTGCCTTTTTGTAAATATTATGTTATATAATTCTTTATCTTGTTATTTAGTGTAGAAAATCAAAGCTGTGTATTTAATCACAGGACATATTTTAGCCTAGATGAAAAATAGTTTGTAGCTTAAGTATGTATTCAAAAGTTATTCATATTTATTCATTACATTCTCATTCATTGTTGTGATACTGTTGTGTGTTAGTGGTAGCAGATTTAATAGCATATAATGGTATTTCCTGGCCCCATTATTCCTTTCAATGTTAAAAAATCACTTTTGATTGTTATATTGATCTACTTTTTGTTTGGGCAATAAAACTTCACACTCAAACTCAAACTCAAAACATACATTTCATCTCATTCCTAACACAGTTCCCCCAATACTCTAAATGTTGTCCCTAATGAAGAGGAGTTCAGTCGCTCCCATCACCACAAGGAAAGTCAAGAAAAATAGGTCACAGCTCACATTTTATGTACATCATATTTCTTACCGAGTGTAATAATCGCTATTTTGTTCTGTATGTTCTGGGTCCCTGTGGCTGGACTTCATTAAAAAATATGAATGTCAAATATTACTATTCTCATAAAGGGATATTGCTAGTTTAAATAGACTTTCAAAGCATATAAGAGCAACTAGTGAGATCGCTAATCGACTGAACCTTACACGCTTGCATATTAATGCGATTTGGGTTCCTTGCCTGATGTTTTCTGTTATTCTTTATTTTCTTCATACCGGTACTCATTATCTTGTCGCCCATAGAATGCAGGGTGAAGTTTTTTTAATGTTGATTTCATACAATTTATTGTGACACTTAACATCATTTTCCCTATTTTTTGCATAAATTTTTCTGTATATAGCCCATAGCCAATTCATAGACACACATGTACACTGTTCCTAATGAGGTTGGAACATGTTTTTGCTCACCTCTTTTTCACGTAAACATTCTTGTTAATAGATCAAGTTTATGTCTTCTCGAAACTTTATTGATCAATCCCTGTGACTCTTTTAGAAAGATCAATAAAGTTATGAGAATACTGTATATATCTATCAAGATCAATCATATTGTCACAGTTATTCTATGAAGAGAGGTAAGAAAAGATCATTACAACTTTATGTGCAACAGTGTACATGTGCCAAATTATGTATATGCATTCTTTACCAAACCAAACCAAAATTTTACTTACAAGTTCTGCCGATAGTTTCAACCGGTGCGCTACATTCCTCATTCATACTTCCTGCACCGCTAACGGTCACAGCCTGCACAGTGTAACCTGTGTCTGGCACCAAATCATCAAGGACAGTCTCAAGTTCGTTTCCTCCCAATCTTTTCGCCAAATCAAAGCCAAATTCTTGCAGGGACCTCTTTCTTCGCTCCTGTACTGCCTGGAAGTCGTCCATGGTGAGTACGTAGAAGGCATTGTAGTCGCCTGTTGGTGGAGTGAGCCTCACGCAGAACGAGAAGAAGGTCTCGCCGACATCTGGACAGATCGAGACGTTGTATGGAGGAAGAGGCTCTGCGAACAAAGATACAATGATATAATGATGGTGGCTTCTTATATAGCGCACATGTCTGTCACATTGTGACGCTCCTGGCGCTGCCCCGATTATGAACTTATATTGTGCAACACATCAGCTATGCAAAATTATCCAATTCAGGTCTTGACTAGCTCCATGACAACCCTATTAATACCAATAAGCTTGCCTGAAAACAGTCAAACAATTTTGAAGCTTTTGGTATATATATCGAATGATGAATACATTGTGGCACAGGGAGATTATTTGTGTGGCAGAAAGAAAGTTAAATAATTCTATCCTGAATAGACATGTATATGTATATGTAAGGCATCACTGCAAAAATGCTGTATTGCCTGTCCTGGGGAGTGTTTCACAAAGACTAAGATCGACTTTAAGTTGGACTGAACTATGGCAGGCCATTCATGCCACTGGTTGCTCTCACCATTGGTCTCTCAATCATGATCTTTAGATAATACTTTTTCCTTCATTGATGAACTATTAAGAAAGGTAAATTCTGTAGATTTGCGACAACGATTTGTACTGACCTCACTACGATTCTTTGCATGTTCATATAAAATGCTGTTGCAAATTGAAATTGGATTGTAGCAGAGAGCTTCCTTACTTGTTCTTTGAAAGATGGTTTCAAATGGTAGGACGCTGATATTATAGAGTCTCCCAGGAACAAGGCCAGTAACCTGAGCGCTTCTGTTACCGATGTTCAAGTCAAGGGCGCCATCGTTGGGTATGATGGAGATGCTAACGTTGAGGTCAGAGGTCATGTTCGGCCAGGTAAACATGATGCTGGTCGTGTCATATTCAAAGACTGTAACTGTCCCATTGGCCTCAGCTGGATAAAATTAAATGAGATGTTAATGATTCATAGATTTATTGAATTAATTCAGCAACAATAACAACGTGTTTGATAATTCATATCTTTATATTTCTCATATCCGCCCGATAGCGTGGAAATGGCTCATAACATTAATGTGAAATCCCCCGAAAAGAGGAATTATTCCTCAAAAAAAGGAAGGATTGACACGTATGTTAATGAACAACGTAGCAAATTATATTCTAATGTATGCAGAAAACAATTCCCAATCATTGAAAGCCTGGGAAATTCCCTTGCCGTTTATTTACAGATGCATGTATGTTTTAGTAGTTTCTCATAATTACCATTATATGGAAATATATATCAGTGTACAACTGTACATGTATGAATGTAGAATACAATCTCCCATCTGTGACAGAATTTTTGTTTACAGGTGCATGATTGCTTTAATAGAAATTTCTCATGATTAAACGAACAACAGCTTACCAGTGTATGCAGAATACAATTCCCCGTCGCTGAAAGCCTGGGCTTTTCCCTCGCCCACGACCGTAGACACATTGAATAGGTATTCTGTGCGTGGCGTTAGTCCTTCCAGGAAGATAGAGGTCACATTGGGATAGAGGTAACCCACCTCTGTGAAGTTACCAAGCTCATCCGCTCTCTCGTAGGCGACGTAGTACCGGTCAAACATGGTCTCGTTGCCTGGGTCGGACCAGGCGATTAAGAGCGAGGTAAGTTGGCTGTCGGCAGTCTCTATGTTGACTGGTGGTAACGGACCTGAAGGATAATCATATCGTTCACACATGGTTACATTCATTGCACTGTCTTCACTGCCAAATCATACTGACACATGTTTCTTGCAGAATTAAAAACAAAATTACAAAGTGAATAGGAAGTTCTATAGATGCATAGTTTTTGTGACATGTAACTTTCACATGTTGTAAACATAAGATATTTTCATAGCAAGCAGAAATATGAGGCCATATTAATTCAGCTAATCATTATCATCATCAAGCAAATTTAGAGAATTCCTCTCCAAAATTTTGTGTTATGCCAGTTTTTATTCAAATATTTGGGGAATAAAACAAAACTTTTGCAAATCTGAACAACTCAAGAAATTCGCTGACATTTTATATGCACTAAAATTTCAGGTCTTAATCTAATCTCTTACGTGTGTACTGCTGAAGGGTTCCACACACACCATCCTGATCAATGAAGACGTGGTATTTCCGACCAGATTGGAGGTCATTGATGTTAAAAAACTCGCTGCCGTTGCCAACAGCACAGATAAATTCGTTCTCGCACACAGTCTGGTTCTCGCCGTCCAGGTTGAATCGTATGTTAACATAATCCTGAGTGTTGTTGCCCCATCCGACCTGAATGGAATCCGCAGACAGCGCAGTAACTGCTACACTGCCATTTGCAGGAGACTCTAGAACATTTATAAAAGAAGGACAAGGTAAGATAATGGAAAATCATGTATTAACAGCATTCCAAACAAACTGCATTTACTACTCGGGTATAAAGATCTAAAGGTTAGATCTAGATGTTGCACTGACAGGTGGGTAGATGGTTTGTTTTACCTGACTGATAAGAAAGCAGGAGTATGATTATATGTTAGCAATCAGGGTACCAACAGATTTCAGTCTTCTCTGAGAGACAAATGGTGCGTCACATTTTCAAGAAGATGGCTGCGCCCATGTCATGCTAAAAGGCATAACATCATACCAAGAATATCTTTATTATATATCTCTTGTATACTTTTGTAAGGAATTTTTTACATCTAAGGGTAAGAATACATCTCATTTTTCAGAATACCTCTACTTGTTTTGTAGAGTGAGGCTTCCTTTAGGTCTTCTCTGAGGGACAATTCACTAACCTGTTCTGAAAGAGATGTACGAGGGCTCACTCCTCACATCGAGGGCCCCCACGACCGTGACCACTGTGACGTTGTAATTGGTGTCCGGCAGAATGCCGATGAAAGAAAATTCAACCCTTGTTTGGTTCTCATTGATGTCCATGCGGTAGATGGGAGCTGGAGAGTTGGTGAAGCCATGGTCTGGACTGTAGGTCACTTCAAAGAAATCGTACTCACTTTCAGGGATATCCCACGTCACTTGACCTGCGCAAGAGGAGATGCTGCCCAAAGACAGATTGGCAGGACTTATGGGTACTAGATGGGTACGAGAAGAGAGAGAATACATGTTCCTTTTCTGTTTGCTTATATAAAATAGGCATAGGGGTAATATTAGTATAGCACTTAAAAACATTAATTTTAAGCACTATGTAAATGTTATTATCTACCATGTATGAAGGTTCTAGTCTCTATATGATCAAACTGCAGGCATGAAATACGCTACTGACTACTGGACAGTATACAGCCAAATAATATTGACCTGGCATAGCTGTACTTGTGCGTACAATGTAAACAAACAATGATCGCGCATGAAGTTAACAATGGTTACGTGCAGTGAGACATGCGTAATACTGATAGACAGGTATTATCTCCTTGCACTCAACAAATAAATACACTTTATTAAACAGATATATTTGTTAAAATAAATAATGAAACAATAAACATATACGTTAAGATTTATAAACTACATTGTTGGGTAAACATTCTTCTTGGTCAAGTATTTCAGGATTTTGTTGAATCATCTTTTTCTCTCTCTAATATTCTTTTAATACTGACTCTATAAAACAGATGAAAAACACTGATATAATTTGCCTTATGTAAACAAAGGTGAAACCGACGCCTGCATGCTTATGCCATTCATACTGCCGAAGAATTGACTCGCTTGGACGAACCTCGACCTGAAGTGAAGAATAATTGCGCAATCGCTTGGTAGCTGGGCATGCGCTTTGACTTTGGATTTGATTGGCAGGGCAGCTAGCTAGCGCTATAGCTCAATGCAGCTCAGCGATTTCGGCCATCAATTACATTTACAAGAGCTAGATCATCTTGCGCTGGTGGAACACAACCATTGATCTACGGTGGCTGCTTCTATTTCCTTTATTTCGGACATTACAGTCCAAACAAGCATTTTTTTAATGCAATTCATCTGGCTGCCAAATGAGTATGAAGCTAAATTACGCAGGAGGCAGCAGTTTTGCCGATCTCGAGCATGGACGTTGTGGCTATTCAGCACCGCAAATAATTGCAGCAAAATGTAACCAACACAGCTGGGTTCCAAAAAAAGCGAGCGTACACTACAGTACCCGGAACAAGATAATGACGTTCGACCTATTCCCCTGTGTTTTTTCTCCATCGAATGCGTTTCATCGAAGTCGCACTGATAGAAAGAGAATTTCTCCTGCTCTTGTGCAGGAGAAATTTATAAGCTAAATTGCCCGGATATTTCTCCTCTACCCCTTTCACAGTGGCCGTTTCCTCGGATGCGTCCCGATGCATCCAATGGAAATCAGGCCACTATGAAAGGGGTAAAGGTTCCTAATTTTCTTATCTTGCACAAGAGAGACAGCACTGTGATAACAGAAACAAGACCATTACAATTACCAGTGTTGAAGGTGAGGGTTACTCCACACGCAGACTCCCACCCTAGTGAAAATGTGTAGGCTGCACCAGGGAAAAGGTCACTAAATTCCGTCGTCTTCTCAGTCACGTTACGGCAAGTGGCATTCCCCATAATCTGCTGAATGCAGACATCATACTCGGATGCGTCTGGAAGGTCATACCATCCAAACGCGATGCTGGTTGATGTCACCGTTGTAATGTTGAAGGCACTGCCAAGGGAACCTAGTATATTTCAGAAATATATTGGAATGTGAAGACAGTAGAAGAAGTAATCTTGAGGAGAACAAAAAGGGCCATGACACGTTTGCTTGGATGATTTATTTCCCTTATTGCCCTTCTCCAAGTTTTCCGATCTTCAGCAAGTTTTGCAAGGTCTGCGGTTTGTGATAAATATTTTAATTGATTATCTTTTTTTGTTCCCATCTATGCTTCAAGGCTGCATAATAATAATAGTAATGCAGACACTTACAATGCCCAACAAATCCGTCCAGATGGTGCTCATGGCCCTTATAATAGAACAGAACAAAAGTTACTTAGGGGAAAACACTTGTCATTCTGTAGAGGTGTCATGATCGAGTGGATATGTTACCGGACTGTGGATCACAAGTCCTGCCGCGGCACTAGTGCCCTTTACCAGAACATTAATCCACATTTGCCACACTTGTCCCAGGTGGGTTACATGGGTCCCTGGCAGGAATTAATTCTAATGAAATGCTAGAGCACCTTAATGGCAGCCATGCTAAACCCTAGGTAATAATTTCCATAGCTCTTTGGGAGTACATAGAGACCTTAAAATGTGATATGCGCTATACAAAAACCCAAAATATAATCATTATTATTAGATGTGTTTTTCTCTGAAAGTGATCTACAGTTTTACAATTTTTTCACTGATTTTGGAAGTCTGTTCCCCAACAGGGAGCTGCAGAGATTATCACTCCCCCGTTATCGTTTAGTTTGGGCTTGTGAAGGTTGATAAGAGAAGAGATGTATTGTGGTTAGGCTAATTAAAGCTAACATAGTAGTTACTCACTTGGACTGATCTTGACGGGGTTGCTTCTGGTCTGGGTCATTCCTGCACCAGCGAGCGTGGTGATGTTCACCTCAACACCTGGTCCGTCCATCAAACCCATGATTGTTCTCTCCAACTGCAAAGAGTTCCTGTCGAACACATTGATAGGACTGTATGGACCACTGCCGTCGTCATACATGATCTCGTAACCGAAGAGCTGGCTTTCAGGACGAGACCACTGCAGGGTGACAGAGTCTTCGGTGACCCAAGTAAAGACGGCGCACACCGGCTCAAGAGGTACTGTAAAAGATAATATAATAATAATAAAAACAATAATAATAATAATAATATTGATGATGATGATCTACAGCACTTGTATGGTGCCATTTATCTGTTTCAAACATTCAAAGGCACCCGCTCTTCCAATAGTCATGGACTACGCATTTGCTTGAATAAAAAAATTAAAAAAAAAAAAAAATTGGTTTTGAGGCCTGACTTCAAATCTTTCTAGCTTGTTGGTGTCGCGAAGAACAGGAGGGAGGGAGTTCCCGAGGCCTACACTAACGATGAAAATACTAATGATAATGATAATAACAACAACTATTATTCTTGTGTCACATGATATTACGTGCTTCCAAAGGACTTTGATATCATTACCCTGGCTTAGCTCCAGCACCCGCGGTGCTCATTCTATTCATGGATCAAATCCTACCAGGTATCCACTTTCTACATCTTGGTCAAGTGTGGCAAATGTGGAATAATATCTTGCCAAAGGATGATATAGTGCAGCGGCAGGGATTCGAACCTTGGACCTGGTGGTTCACAGTACAGAGACTTATCCACTAGACCACAATACCTCTCTAGACATGGAAGATAATTGGAGCACCAAGAATGTCAAGTCTGACAGACATGAATGGTATACAAGAACCGACAATAATAGGAGTGATAGATGTCACTTTCGTCTTACAGATGAAGGTGTACATGTACAGAGTATCAAAGGTACACATGTAATGTTTAATGCTTTAACTAGAATAGTGAACTATAAGGAATCCTCGTACAAATGTCATTCGTGTCATAATACCATGCAACACACATTTATATCTCTGTGTGTGGCATAATTGGCAGACAGGGAACAACGCCCTGTGTGCATTGATATGGTAAAAGGGTTAATTAATTTTGGTATTAAAGCCCTCGTAAAACTATTGTCAAATTTCTTTGATTTTAGATGATAAATAGCAAGATACTAGCTAAGCTGCTGTGAATTTGTTTCCACCTCAAGTGAAATAGAAAAATAAAAAATAATAATAACATCTTTGAATGTAAATTCTCACAACATTATCCTGCACTACTCGCATGCAAAGCCTATGAGGATTGTGTGTATATATGCTACAGTCAACACACACACTGTCTCTAAGTGAAGTGCTCGGATTGATATGCCAGGAACCTTTGGGAGGAAGGGTCCTATCGTAAGGGTGTGTATATAGCTATTATCTATCCATTCCTTGTAGATATTCCACTACAATTCACCTGATATCATAGATAGAATACCAAATCATCTTGTATATACACATGTATGCTTTGATACAAGGAGAATTACATGAGACAGTCATCAAATTAAAACAAAATTGATCCAGTTTCTATTTTGATACCAAACATGCATGCTCATTGTACATGAGCTTCGACTACCGACTTACATGTATACTGTCGAAGAGAGAGAACTTCTCCGGCGCACTGTAACCCAATTTTGATGATGTACTCCTCTCCCGGCATCAGTCCTGAGAAGCTGGCCTTGAGGGAACTTCTGATGACTCCCGAGAACAGCTCAGTGTTGTTGCTGGCCAGGGTGAGGTTGACAATATAGTCGGTGATTCCTGCAATCTCGGTCCACGTGATTGAGATGGATGTCGAGGTCAACTCTTCCACGTCAATAGTCCCAGGTTCCCTTGGGTCTGTGGGTGCATGGATGGAACACATGATATAAATATGCATGCTCAGGCATTCAATATAACAAAATATATGAACCAACAAATTCAGAATTTCCTGGAAGATTTCATTAGGCCGCAGACCGAGGTTTAAATATAATGGTGCTGACCCCAAAACTGTACAATCTGCAGCTAGATCCCCTCTGCATGTCATCCGCAGAATATGCTTGCCCAGTTTGGAACAGATCAGCCCATGTGAAGAAGCTTGATACTACACTCAATAACACATGCAAAATAACAAAATGACCTGAAACGAATGCACAATAAATTTGAGACGATTTTGAGCATTTAAATTTTTTGCGCGCGCACTGACGCGCGGACGTACGCGCATGCGCGCGTTTTTTGACCTGAAATTGACCAAACTGATATTGACCTTGATCATGATAAATATGAATGAGAAATTATTTTTGGTTATGAAGATATGATCATGAGTTGATTTTCAGAAAATTTCACAAAATGGCACCTAGATGACGTCATCAGTCAAGGTCAAGGTTGAAAACGTTATTGTGATTTCTCTATATGCCTATACATATGTGTGCCAAATTTCAAGTTATTTGATTAAGACAATTTCAAGTTATCTTGCTAACAAAACAGTGGCGAGAATTAAGAAAAACTAGACATAATACTTGTTTGGAACAAGTATAGGTGGGCTGGTCAACTAAAATTTGAGACAAAATTTAGCAAAAATAAGCGAGATACTGCTAAAAAACAATGTCATTGATGTAATGATGTAAACGAAATTCACCTTCCATAGGCATAACACGCAACGTAAGAAATTTCTGATATGTGCCCTTTAATCGTAATTTTCACTATGATGAAGTGATCAAAATGAAAAATGGTGATGACTGCGCTTGTAGAGAATTGTCTTAGCTACATCATATCGAAATTTGGAAGAAAATCGATCAATATTTACAGAGATACAATCAATGTTACATAAATATGCTGACGTCATTATATGCAAATTCGTATTTTGAGTTCCAAGGCCATTATGATGATGTCAGGATACACTTAATGGCCAAATGAGACATGGAATCATATCTCCGACTCATACTATCTAAATATGAAAAAACATTGAAGGTCACGGTTCATTCCAAAGAGCTATAATGGATTTTGCATAGGCATGTTTTTGCCCATATATGCTATGTAATAAAAGAGCTCGCGCGCACGGACATATATCTTGAATTGACGCTCATCTTGTTATTAATGGTCATAAAGAGATAAACATGGTATCAAATTCCTCGAAAAAATATGAGAAATATCATGAAAGAAAAAAAAATGGCGATCCCATGTTGTGTAATGGTGTTGCGCGCGCGCGATTTTTTTATAAAATGCTTAAAATGACCTGAAACGTATGCAAAAAAAATTTGAGACGATTCTGAGCATTTTCAAATTTTGCGCGCGCACTGGCGCGCGGACGTACGCGCACGCGCATGTTTTTTTACCTGATATTGACCTTGATCATGATAAATATGAATGAGAAATACTTTTTGGTTATGAAGATATGATCATGAGTTTATCTTCAGAAAATTTTACAAAATGGTGCCTAGATGACGTCATCGGCCAAGGTCAAGGTTGAAAACCTTACCGTGTCTTGTCCATATGCCTATACATATGTGTGCCAAATATCAAAGCATTTGATTGAACCATTTCAAAGTTATCTTGCTAACAAAAAAGTGGGTCAAAATAAGAAAAATAAATAAATAATAAATAAATAAACTAGACATAATACTTGTTTGGAACAAGTATAGGTGGGCTGGTCAACTAAAATTTAAGACAAAATAGAGCAAAAATAAGCGAGATACTGCTAAAAAACAATGTCATTGATGTAATGATGTAAACGAAATTCACCTTCCATAGGCATAACACGCAACTTCAGAAATTTCTGATATGTGCCCTTTAATTGAAATTTTTACTCTGATGACGTCATCAAAATGAAAAATTATTAGTATTGAACTTGTAGAGAATTATCTTAGCTACAATATATCGAAATTTTGAAGAAAATCAATCAATATATACAGAGATACAATCAATTTTACATAAATATGCTGACTTCATAATATGCAAATTCGTATTTTGAGTTCCAAGGCCATTATGATGATGTCACGATACACTTAATGGCCAAATGAGACATGGAATCATATTTCCGACTCATACTCTATCTAAATATGAAAAAACATTGAAGGTCACGGTTCATTCCAAAGAGCTATAATGGATTTTGTAAAGGCATGTTTTTGCCCATATATGCTATGTAATAAAAGAGCTCGCGCGCACGGACATTTATCTTGAATTGACGCTCTTCTTGTTATTAATGGTCATAAAGAGATAAACATGGTATCAAATTCCTCGAAAAAATATGAGAAATATCATGAAAGAAAAAAAAATGGTGATTCTATGTTGTGTAATGGTGTTACGCGCGAAAACGCGCGCGCATGCGCGTGTGCGCGATTTTTTATAAAATGCTTAAAATGACCTGAAACGTATGCAAAATAAATTTGAGACGATTTTGAGCATTTAAAATTTTTGCGCGCGCACTAATGCGCGGACGTACGCGCACGCGCGTGTTTTTTGACCGGAAATTGACCGGACTGATAATGACCTTGATCATGATAAATATGAATGAGAAATGAATTTTGGTTATGAAGATATGATCATGAGTTGATTTTCAGAAAATTTCACAAAATGGCGCCTAGATGACGTCATCAGTCAAGGTCAAGGTTGAAAACCTTACCGTGTTTTGTCCATATGCCTATACATATGTGTGCCAAATATCAAAGCATTTGATTGAACCATTACAAAGTTATCTTGCTAACAAAAAAGTGGGTCAAAATAAGAAAAATAAACTAGACATAATACTTGTTTGGAACAAGTATAGGTGGGCTGGTAAGCTTAAATTTGACACAAAATGGAGCAAAAATAAGCGAGATACTGCTTAAAAATTCTTAAAAAACAATATTATGTAGATACATGACGTGAACGAAATTCACCTTCTATAGGCATAACACGCAAATTATGAAATTTCTGACGAGGCCTTTAATCTAAATTTTCACTATAATGACGTCATCCAAATGAAAAAGAATGACTACTGAGCTCGTAGAAAATTGTCTTAGCTACAACTTATCGAAATTTGAAAGAAAATCGATCAATATTTTTCAGAGATACAATCAATTTTACATAAATATGCTGACTTCATAATATGCAAATTCGTATTTTGAGTTCCAAGGCCATTATGATGATGTCGCGATACACTTAATGGCCTAATGAGACATGGAATCATATCTCCGACTCATACTCTATCTAGATATGAAAAAACATTGAAGGTCACGGTTCATTCCAAAGAGCTATAATGGATTTTGTATAGGCATGTTTTTGCCCATATATGCTATGTAATAAAAGAGCTTGCGCGCACGGTCATTTATCTTGAATTGACGCTCATCTTGTTATTAATGGTCATAAAGAGATAAACATGGTATCCAATTCCTCGAAAAAATATGAGAATTATCATGAAAGAAAAAAAAATGACGATTCTATGTTGTGTAATGGTGTTACGCGCGAAAACGCGGGCGCATGCGCATGTGCGCGATTTTTTATAAAATGCTTAAAATGACCTGAAACGTATGCAAAATAAATTTGAGACGATTTTGAGCATTTAAATTTTTTACGCGCGCACGCGCGCGTTTTTTGACCTGAAATTAACCGCACTGATATTGACCTTGGTCATGATAAATATGAATGAGAAATACCTTTTAGTTATGAGGATATGATCATGAGATGATTTTTAGAAAATTTCACAAATTTGCGCCTAGATGACGTCATCAGTCAAGGTCAAGGTTGAAAACCTTACCGTGTCTTGTCCATATGCCTATACATATGTGTGCCAAATATCAAAGCATTTGATTGAACCATTTCAAAGTTATCTTGCTAACAAAAAAGTGGGTCAAAATAAGAAAAATAAACTAGACATGTAATACTTGTTTGGAACAAGTATAGGTGGGCTGGTCAACCAAAATTTGAGACAAAATAGAGCAAAAATAAGCGACATACTGCTTACAAATTCTTAAAAAACAATATCATGTAGATTCATAACGTGAACTAAATTCACCTTCTATAGGCATAACACGCAAATTATGAAATTTTTGACATGAGGCCTTTAATCAAAATTTTCACTATGATGACGTCATCGAAATGAAAAATGGTTACTACTGCGCTTGTAGAGAATTGTCTTAGCTACAACATATCGAAATTTTGAAGAAAATTGATCAATATTTACAGAGATACAATCAATTTTACATAAATATGCTGACGTCATAATATGCAAATTCGTATTTTGAGTTCCAAGGCCATTGTGATGATGTCACGATACACTTAATGGCCAAATGAGACATGGAATCATATTTACGACTCATACTCTATCTAAATATGAAAAAAAATTGAGGATCCCGGTGCATTCCAAAGAGCTATAACGGATTTTGTATAGGCATGTTTTTGCCCATATATGCTATGTATTAAAAGAGCTCGCGCGCACTGACATTTATCTTGAATTTACGCTCATCTTGTTAATAATGGTCATAAAGAGATAAACATGGTATCAAATTCCTTGAAAAAATATTAGAAATATCATGAAAGAAAAAAAAATGGCGATTCTATGTTTTGTAATGGTGTTACGCGCGAAAACGCGCGCGCATGCTCGTACGCGCGATTTTTTATAAAATGCTTAAAATGACCTAAAACGTATGCAAAATAAATTTGAGACGATTTTGAGCATTTAAAAATTTTGCGCGCGCACTGACGCGCGGACGTACGCGCACGCGCGCGTTTTTTGACCTGAAATTGACTGGACTGATATTGACCTTGATCATAATAAATATGAATGAGAAATACCTTTTGGTTATGAAGATATGATCATGAGTTTATTTTCAGAAAATTTCACAAAATGGCGCCTAGATGACGTCATCAGTCAAGGTCAAGGTTGAAAACCTTACTGTGTTTTGTCCATATGCCTATACATATGTGTGCCAAATATCAAAGCATTTCATTGAACCATTTCAAAGTAATTTTGCTAACAAAAAAGTGGGTCGAAATAAGAAAAATAAATAAATAAATAATAAATAAATAAAAATAAAGGCAATTTTAACAAAAATATAAGGTGGTCTGTATTAGATACAGCCCACCTGATAAATAATAATAAATAAACTTGACATAATACTTGTTTAGAACAAGTATAGGTGGGCTGGTCAACTAAAATTTGAGACCAAATAGAGCAAAAATAAGCGAGATACTGTTAAAAAAAAACAATGTCTTTGATGTAATGATGTAAACGAAATTTACCTTCCATAGGCATAACACGCAACGTAAGAAATTCGTGATATGTGCCCTTTAATCGTAATTTTCACTATGATGAAGTGATCAAAATGAAAAATGATTGTTATTGAACTTGTAGAGAATTATCTTAGCTACAACATATCAATATTTTGAAGAAAATCGATGAATATACACAGAGATACAATCAATTTTACATAAATATGCTGACTTAATAATATGCAAATTCGTATTTTGAGTTCCAAGGCCATTATGATGATGTCACGATACACTTAATGGCCAAATGAGACATGGAATCATATCTATGACTCATACTTTATCTGAATATGAAAACAAATTGAAGGTCACGGTTCATTCCAAAGAGCTATAATGGATTTTGTATAGGCATGATTTTGCCCATATATGCTATGTATTAAAAGAGCTCGCGCACACGGACATTTATCTTGAATTGACCCTCATCTTGTTATTAATGGTCATAAAGAGATAAACATGGTATCAATTTCTCGAAAAAAATACGAGAAATATCATAAAAGAAAAAACTAGATGGAATTTTGACTGCGCGCAGTCGAAAATGATGCCTCCGCCATAGAGCAATTTAAACAAGTTTGGAGTTTAAATCTCCAGTGGTTCTTGAGATATCATGATAACAATCTCAATGTATGGAATTTCATAAGTTGACCTCTGTGACCCTTGACCTTTGACCTACGTGCTCCAAAATCTAATCAGATTGTCTTCCTATGGTGATACACACTATCATTAAGTTTGAAGTTTAAATCTCCAGTGGTTCTTGAGATATTATGATATGGTTATACATACTATCATTAAGTTTGAAGTGAAAATTCTCCAGTGGTTCTTGAGATATCGCGATAACGATCTCAATGTATGGAATTTCATAAGTTGACCTCTGTGACCCTTGACCTTTGACCTACGTGCTCCAAAATCTAATCAGATTGTCTTCCTATGGTGATACACGCTATCATTAAGTTTGAAGTTTAAATCTCCAGTGGTTCTTGAGATATTATGATAACAATCTCAATGTATGGAATTTCATAAGTTGACCTCTGTGACCCTTGACCTTTGACCTACGTGCTCCAAAATCTAATCAGATCGTCTTCCTATGGTGATACATACTATCCTTAAGTTTAAAGTTTTTACATCTCCAGTGGTTCTTGAGATATCATGATAACAATCTCAATGTATGGAATTTCATAAGTTGACCTCTATGACCCTTGACCTTTGACCTACGTGCTCCAAAATGTAATCAGATTGTTTTCCTATAGTGATACACACTATCACTAAGTTTGAAGTTTAAATCTCCAATGGTTCTTGAGATATCATGATAACAATCTCAATGTATGGAATTTCATAAGTTGACCTCTGTGACCCTTGACCTTTGACATACGTGCTCCAAAATCTAATCAGATCGTCTTCCTATGGTGATACATACTATCCTTAAGTTTGAAGTTTAAATCTCAAATGGTTCTTGAGATATCGCGCTAACAAACTCAATACAAGGAATTTCATAAGTTGACCTCTGTGACCTGTGACCTTTGACCTACGTACTCCAAAATCTAATCAGATCGTCTTCCTATGGTGATAAATACTATTCCCGAGTCTTAAGTTTAAATCTTAAATGGTTCTTGAGATATTGTGATAACGGTCAAACGGGACGGACGTACGGACGGACGGACGTACGGACGGACAACCCGAAAACATGATGCCTCCGGCACCATCTTCGGTGGCGGAGGCATAAAAATTGCGATTCTATGTTTTGTAAAGGTGTTACGCGCGAAAACGCGCGGCATTGGGAAAGTCTGGCAAATTATGTCACCCTGTTGTTAATAGGATATTTTTTTAAGAAAAATAGTGTGGCTCAATTAACTTCAAAATCCTTGAATGGTTAGTTGGACTGTAGATAACAAGGTTTGGAGTTTGAGTCCCACTCCGATAATAGTGTAATAGTGGGAAAGCAAGATCTACATGAACATTGCCACTCTACAACCAGGTGAAGTATAAAATGGGTACCTGGTAGGATTTAATTTACTCCTTGAATGTTTAAGGCGCCTTAGGTCAGCTGGGATAAATCTACTGTAATGATAGTACTTAATAGGTGCCTTGTTCGTCCTCTTGGATGGATACCTGCACAATATACAAATGCAGCTATTGTTATCATTATCAAGATAACATTTAAATGGCAACTATTTGAAATAATTGATTGTATCCACAGCATTGTTTCCCAAAAATAAATACAAGTATCAAGAAGAGGTTCACTTTACCAGATTTCCCCCTTGCCTTTCGAACATGATGTCTCATATTGAGCGATGAGGGCTCTACCTTCCTGCACACTATTCACTGTTTTTGAAGAGTTTACCTATTCTTGGTTTTCCAAAGTTGTGTCTGCCTGACCACACAATTTTTTGGTAGTTTGAACGTGGCGCTGGGCCACAAACTCACCTATGATGACATTCAGTGTTGAAGGCTCACTAGACCAAGGTCCGGCATAGGTGTAGATTGAGGCTAGGAACTCTTTATTTGTGTTGACCTGTATGGTAATCTCCTTCTCATCGAGAGATATCCTGTAATCGACGATTGGTGGTGCGATAGCCAGACCATATCTATCAAAGTCTGAGGATGGGCCACTCCAAACAAAAGTGACGTTGTTGTCAATAATTTCCTTCACTTCAAAGAACAAGACTGGTTCTGGTACTGCAGGTAAAGAATTTGAAATTTACTTTATAGAAATGAAAATGCTTTGTTTTAGAGTCCCACAATTACGCATATGTGCAGACAAGGATGCTGTGAAGACTTGGGATTGCTAGCTATAACAATGCTGTCACAATGACAATCGTTAGGCAATATAAAGCACAATTTGAGCTCAAGCCCATTTTCACTTGGAGGTGATTTTTTAGCTGCTTTCCAAGAAACTGTACTGCATTTCTATGCCAATAAATCAATAGAGCTGTTGCTATAATAATCACACTGAAGATTACTTTTCCTAGTTCTGGTACAGTAATATTCCAATAAATTAATAATATCTCATAATAATTAACCCTATGTTATGGGGGGGGGGGTAAGTTTGACCCCTCCCCCCCCCCCTGTAGTTATTTAGCGACTACTCCGGAACCACGGCAGATATAAAGTTTTCCTTTCATGACTTTTTTCTTCCGAGTCTTACACATCTTTTAAAACAATTCTTTTGAAAATCAGACGTATAGTTACAAAGTCATGTGACCTTTTGTTTTTGCATGTCAGCCCAAAAATCGCTCATTTTTGTGATTTGTGTACAAAACATATGGAAATAGCATTTTTCCTAAAAAGAGATAAAACATTGGATATTTGGTCTCGTTTAAAGTTTAGGTGTTTGTTTTGGGGTCAAATAATTGAATTGTAGTTAGAAATGAAATAAAATAACAAAAACAATAAAATACATAAGTTAACAAAACAATGAAATACATAAGAAATTATCAAAACAAGAGATAACATAAAGAATAATCTGGCTCTTACTTTAATTTTGTCGTAGTATTATTCTAAATGGTCTAATGAATATATGAAGTGAAAAAGAAAGCTTAAAGAGAAGGTTGAGTTCTGGGAAGAGATGAAAAATAATTTGTGAGAGTTATCATGATTGTTTTTATGCAAGGGCGGAAGAACATCAGATAAAACATGTTCCCTGAAAAGTAAGGCTCTTCAAATGCCTTCATATTCTAAATATGGCATGTAAAAGCGAAGAAATCGGGACGGATTTTTACGTCACGTGTTCGTGTAGTCCCATATACATCCTTCTGTGCACAGTGCTCGAACTTTACCAAGACTCGGCCAAATTTCTTATCATTTTGATGATTCCAGAACCTTGCAATACACACAAATACTTATATGCTAGATGGTCAACCTTTTCTGATCGATTCCACACCGTTTCTTTCACAATAATAATAATAAACAATATTTATAAGGCGCTTAATACTGGTGTCTCTAAGCGCACCATATTCTGACCAGAACTGAACTGTATTTTATACACTTTACTTGACATGCATGCAAATTCTCGCGGCAATCGGCTGTGAAACGGCAGAGATCTTAGGGGGGGGGGTCAAATTGACCCCCCTCCCCCAGTAAAAACCTGATCTGAAATAGCCCAGTTAAAATAGGGTTAAGTCACTATTGTAAGCCCATTCAATCAAAAGTATTAGGTCTTTTTTCTTTTCTTGGTTCCATATCAAATTAAAGAAGATGGATGTGACTATGCTCTCAAATATCTCAGTCTACAAGTACAGCATGGTCATTGACCAATTCTCCTAAGAACTTTTACATCTGACTTCAGCAACTAAAAAATCTTTTCAATTAAAAAAACAAATATTATTCTGATTATTTCAGGTTAAAATAGGTGCAATGGTTCTCAAATTATGGTGGTAACAGAAAGCAGGATGAAAGGAAAAACAGACAGATGACCTAAAATCATAATGCCATCTTAAATTCCTTGATGCGCTACTCATGGTAATTAAAAAAAATGACTCTACATCAAGAGCCAAGATTTAATTTCACTATTTACTCACATGTATAAATAGCGGCAGTATCTACATTATCTAATTCAGTCATCCCCGTCTTCCTGACCAAAAGAGTAGGGGAATACTCGGTACCAGCCTTTAAACCAGTCAGTACATATGAAGTCTCAAGAGTGAAGAATAACCTGTCGTCGAGTTGAATGGCATATGTGTCTGTGTCAGGAATCTCTTCCCAGACAAGTCGAATAGAATCGGTTGTCTCCTCATCTGAATAAAGTCGGCCGTTTATAAGAGGATCTGTAGGAATATTGATGAGATGATTGAGAACTGATCAATATTCAAATAATGTTGAATGGCTTTGGGGAGGATACAGAGACATATCGCATTAGCTGACAAGCATATTTTACGAGTCTGCGAGATGAGTGAAATATTTTCAAAACCAGTGCAATATAATGCTGAAACCTTGAGGAAGATATAAAGGCATATTCTACGACATTAGGAAAATTGTCAGTTTCAATGAAACAGCATGTCAATCACTTCTCACTACATGAGGGCTCAATTATAGATGCAGTTATGCTGCAAGCTAAAGACCTTTGGTTTTTCTCACATACCAGTGTTTTCTCAGAAATTGCCAGGCAACTACCCATGAGCAACCCCCAAAACCCACCTGTGATATGAATTCATATAAAACTTGAACAATATTTGCTGTATAAATAGGCCTTATGTTAACCCTAATCAGGCCTGAAAATCGGACCTACTGTTACAAAGTCACATGACCCTTTTGTCTTTGTATGTCAGCCCGAAAATTGCTCATTTTCGTGATCTGTGTACCAAACATATCATTTTTCCCCAAAAGAGATACAAGTAAAACATTGGTTATTTGGTGTTTTTTAAAATCCTTCAAACATCACTAAATTTAAGTTATCAAAAACATACTCCGAAATCGAACTTAGGCTGTGTTGTGATACCATGTACCTTCATATCAAATTTGATTAAAATCTGTCAAACATTACTAAAGTTATCGAACAGAAACCAGATTTGTTACGGAAGGACGGACGGACAGAAGGACAGACGGCAGCGTTACTATATACCCTCCGACTTCGTTGCTGAGTGGATAATAAAACAGAAACCATAAAATATCTAAGATTAAAAAACAAAGAAATACATAAGAAATTATCAAAATACATAACATAATGAATAACCTGGCTCTTCCCAATCTTTTTTGTTGTATTATTATTCCAAATGGATATATGTAGTGCAAACAAATTTCCGATTATGAAGAATATTGATTTTGGGGTAAAAAAAAGAAATTATGACCTTATTTGCATAAATAACCATAAATATATACAAATGATTGAATTTGTCAAAAAATTGAAATTACCATAGTATTCTACACACTTCACTTGACATGCATGCAAACTTTGGCGGCGATCAGCCTTAGATCTTGAAGTGGGGGCATAATGCCCCCCCCCCCCTTCGGTCGTAGAAAGACCTCAAATACCCAGCTTACATTCCAGAAGATCCTGATGAGAACAGGGATTAAGAGGCAGCGGCCAATTCAAACCTTGTTTTCAGACCTTGTAACAAGTTCTGCTTGACAAACTTTAAATAATTTCTTTATTTTTCCAAACAAACAGATGAAAAGTAGAAAGAGACATTTTTCTTGTTTTAGTTCATCTTTTCAAATGCTATAGAGTAATAATGTATGATAATCCCCACAGAGACACGTAAAACTAGGATCAGATGCAGTTTCAAAATCTCTGTTTGAAAGACAAAGTGGGGTGAAATGCAGTCTCTAGATCGGAGCATTTCTTTTTCAGAAAATTGGTTTTCCTGCATCAATTTTGTTTGTTCAATGTTCTTTTTGCAGGTCTCTGTAACAAGACTGAGAAGATGAAAGCAGAAAATATGAAAAATATGATAGTCTAGTAATAATGACTGCTATGAGAGACATAGTTGTTTTTATACGCTTAAGTGTCAATCAATGCTTCTAGCAATCGGAGTACAAATGTAGAAACTATCATAGTTTTGTATAATTCTTTGCCAAATTTTCATGATGCAATATTCATTTTGGGACTATACTTCAAGAGTAAACTAGATGGAACTTCGACTGCGCGCAGTCGAAAATGATGCCTCCGTCATAGAGCAATTTTACAAACCAAAACAGAAGAAATTTTTCAAATTCAAGTTCAATTGTAATCCATTAACAGGTTCTCAGAATATCGTGATTACAAGCAATTTCTCATATACATATATGACCCTTTTATCTTTGACCTCATGACCCTAAAATCTACTCAGTTCATTGGCTCTGCAAGATGTCCTGAGTTAAATAGTAATCCATCTGTCAGTTCTAATGAGAATTCGTTGACAAGCTATTTTTGCATACATAATGAGCCCATGACCTTTGACCTTTAACCTTATGAACCAAGAATCTAATCAGTTCATTGGCTCTGCAAGATACATAAATGATCTAAGTTTGACAGGAATCCATCAATCTGTTCTAATGATAATACGATCACAAGCTATTCTTGCATACATAATGATCCCTGTGACCTTTGACCTCGTGACCCCAAAATCTAATCAGTTCATCGGCTCTGCAAGTAACATACATGACCAAAGTTTAGCAGGAATCCATCAATTGGTTCTTCAGATAACGCAATCACGAGAACGGGACGTACGTACGTACATGTACGTTCAGACGTACGGACGGACAACCCAAAAACATAATTACCTCCGGCTACTTCGTAACGGAGGCATAAAAAATAAGCTGGTGTTTGCTATGACCCTCCCAACCCGACGGCTCCTGGTACATTCATTTCAGCGCTTCGCTTAGAGACGGAATGTGGGTAGACTGTAAGATATTTACACAGGTTTTACACACATGTAGTGCAGGACGCTGTTGTTAGAAATTACATCCTAGGATGTTATCTTCTACCGCTCATTTGTTTAATATTTCACTTGATGAGGAAAAACTTCACAGCAGCTTATTAAAGCTATTATCTTCCTATTTATCATCTAAAATTAAAGAAATCATCTTTAAAGGGGAAGTGTTCCTCTGGGTTTTCTGCTGCTATTGTAACCAACTTTTTATCAGGGTGGCCTTCCCCTTTAACTATATTAGAAGAAAAAGTTCTTAGCAAGATGCATACTTGTTTCAAATTCATAGTCCGCTTCTGCTTCTTCATCACCGGTCTTGAAAGTAACAGTGGCTATGTAGTCTGTGTCGGGTTCAAGCCCTGATATGTACTGAAAGATCAATGCTGCCCGGTCACCCTGGAGAGTTCTGCCTGATGGACTTATACTAATCTTGTACGTTTCATACACTCCTTCCTGTGCTGTTACGGCCATTGCAGCAATAGTTACAGAAGACATTACGCCAAGGATTAATGGCCTCTCTGGTCCTGTGGGTACAAGAAAATATGTTTGTTTGCATTTACCAAAATAGTTCAGATTCTTCTTATTTTCTAAAATAAATAGTTTTCCCTCATCCAATTGGCCACAATTAAACTTATTCTCCACTCATTCTTAGTTTAAAAAGAAGAAAAATGAAATGTTTATTACACGAACCAAAGTGAAACAAAAATTGCCAATTTGTACACAAAAATAGTTATTTTATATTTAACACTATGTTGCAAATAAAGAGACTTTATTGACTAGTTACAGTTGAATTGCTCTTAATCGAGATTGGCATAGTGTACTGCATTGGAAAGACACTCAAAATTTGTAGTGATTTTCAGCTCAAGTATAATGTATAATTCAGGGCATTTTGGATCAAATCATGATGCAAAAACGTCACTAAAAGGAGACACTGTTCTGCTATGGGTTAAAGTGTACCAATTTCCTAAATAATATTATTTTTTTTTTGTTTGATTGATTTTGTTTCTGCATTCAAAATATACAACAATTCATAACAATTTGAACAATAACAAATACAATGAATAAAATGTTTATAAAAGAAATTAAATAGAAAATCATGTACAATTATATCATACGATAAACATGTACGAAGCATACAAGTAAGAAAAGAAGTACAAAATATATTTCAATAAACTAGAGAGGTAATTTAGAACGCAGGAGACCAACATCGTGAGCACCATTGTGTACAGATAGAAAGTATAAAATCAACATTTCAAAAAAGCTTTCAACTGCACTCTATGGGCTAATGGATAAGAAGTATGAAGAAAATAAAGAATAACCTAAAAACTGTGCACATGGAACCAAAGTCGGGCTTGGGCTCCATGCTGGCCCTATCTTAATACTTTTCAAGTTATCGCAACAACAAGATATTTTCTGGGATTTTTCAACACTTTTCTGACCCTATGACCATTGAACTTTTCTGCCCAAAATCTAATCATTTCATCCTCGTATGTTCATTCATAATTCATCCAAGTTAGGTTTGGATTGCTTTAACGTTTTTCAAATGATTATGGTAACAAGATATTTTCTGTTTCTTTATAACATTTTTTGACCAAGTAACCTTTGGCCTTTGAAATATTTGATTCAATGAGCCATTCAAAATACTCTGCCAAAGTTTGTGCTGTGTACATGTTTTTAAAGCCTACGGGAAACTTCGATGATTGTTTTCTTTCTCACTTATCTTCTTTGAGAAGTGACTAACTTTTGTTTATAAGTGGCCCAAACATTGTAGAGCGGTGTGTGCAGCACTTTATAACCGCAAGGAATAGGCGCCATATAAAATATCTTTTGGATTGGATTACGTGTTTCTGGCCATGGTAAAAAAATTGGTGCTGTCCTTTCCTATCCCTTAAAAAATAACATTGTCAGTCTTGTCAGATGTTTTGACACAAGAAACTCTGACAATCCTTTTTACTTTGTCATGCTATAAATCTGCCCTTTATAAACTAACTGTTGCTGCCCCTCCCTATATACTCCCTGGAAAATAATCCTGGACCCACCACTGAAGCTACCGACTTACTGAGAGTATATGAAGTCTGCGCCAGCAAAGCGCTTTGTCCATCCATGTCGTGAACAGACAGAATAAAGACATATCTCTTGCCAGGTGTCAGGCTACCGATGGTCACCGAGAGGTCAGTGAGGTTGGTCAAATCACTATTGGCCATGTCGCCGTTATCTGGAATGTACACCAGGTTGAAGTAGTCAGCGCCATCAGGTCTCTGCCAAGAGACTGTCACAGCCTGGCTATCACCAGCCACGGTTGAGGTCATCACAAGATTATCAGCTGAAAGGAAATAGTATAGAAGAAGATTACATTAATTCTTAATGTGCCAAGGGGTTTTCTTGTTTCAAGATTTTACCAAAACACCCAAGAGATTCTGCTTCAAATGCCTGTACTCATAAACCATGTTTTATATAACAAAATGTGGTCTATACAAAAGTGTTTGAATGTGGTTTTGCTCAAAAACTTTTGATTCAGAGCCCTAAATAATTTACCAGATTTAGGAGTACAAAAGGCACAAGATTCTGCGTACACTATCTATTTTTGTTGTATGACCACACTGCCTTCCACACCAGGAATTTAAAAAAGGAAAATATGCTTTTAAATCCTTTCATTGGCAATACGTTTTCAGATACAGATCAACATGTGATCAATTTAGCCTATACAAATTCCTGTCCTGAAAGGTGTAGGACTAATTTTTAATTTTGTATTAATTGTTATTATTCAATACCCCAACAACTTTGTTTTACCTGACATTTTCTCTTCTTCCAAAATATTAAGGTTTAAAACTTGCCCATTCTTGGGCCCATCAGCCTGTAAAACCTCAATAAGCTTTCAATAGGGACTTTTTTTAGATTTGAACGTCGACATAGGGGGCTGATACGTGTGACGTCCTTTTCAGGCACTGCCATGCAGTGCCTTAATGATGGTCCTTTTATTCTTATTTATGCTTTGTATATATTGTACTGTTACCCATACAAGGCATTTTAGCTGTAGAATAAAAAGTCATAGTTTGCACGCTACTCCAAATACGAAACCGGAGCAGGCAATATTTGCCATATTGCCCTCTTCCAGGTTTTCCCCGTAGACCACTGTACTAAATCAGATGGCAACATTCCACTCTTTCTTGTCAATGCGCTTTTATTAAAGTGCATATGTGCAGTATCGTGTACACGTTAAAGTGCACTCGCGGTAACAATTTAAGTCACAATGACATTTTCATATACATTTTCATCTCTGGACATGAGTAAGGGAAATACATGCATACAAGGTGAGAACATACATGTATCATGCTTATTACCAAAGTTGTTTATCATTTGTAAAAAAATGCCTTGTATAGGTAACAATGATTATATTGACAGGGCTTCTTTCGGGGTAAGACCACATTGCCCTCGTCTTCGACTTGGGGCAACATGATTTAAGCTTTGTCAATATGTCTGATGTACCACTCAAGCCCATATATAATATAAATGTTGCATGTCTTTTAAACTGAAGCATGAATAAAAACAGAACTTGATTAATTCACACAAGATACACAAGTCTTTTTGTTTGTTTTTTACATGCAAAAGAATAGCATGTAGGGAGGGGAATAAAGTGGCTGCGTGCAACAAATATCCTACATGTCCATGTACTCATTTGTTTGCATTTTATGAGAAACAGAAATGTAAAGAGCATTACACTTTAATACATTTATGTCATAAAAAACACTGTAGTTTACCCCATCATATTTTGAACGAGCCTTAAAAGGGCTCCCCAGATCTTTGGAATAAGAAGATTAAAATGATTACTTGTTCGCTGAATGGCGAGGGCGGGCATCCCCTTAAATCCGTCAACAACGGTGACCACACCGATGGTGTAGAGTGTGCTGGCATCGAGGTTCTCTACCAACACATTCAGATCATCATCTGGATAAACAGTCCGCTCTAAGACAAACACTGGAGGATTGCCATGTCTGACAAAAACCTCATAGCTGCGTTCAATCAGAATTTGAAAAAAACGATAATTATTATACACATACAAGGACGGTGTCCACAATTGCAAAGGCAACAATTGCTCCTGGTTTGATACCTTTACAAGTATGGGGTTAGGGTTAGGATTGCAATTGGGTTTTAGGTTTATAGGTTTAGGGTGAGGATTAGTGTTAGGTATAGTGTTGAAGTTAATACTGAAGTGGTGAATACCTAATACTGACCTAAACGCGAAGAGTTGCTTGGAGCTTGGATATAGTAAAATGTACAATTATATTCCTTTGCCTAAATAATCAATATAAATATCGAAATTGGAAGGGGAAAAATATGTTAATTATGATCATCGCAACTGATATTATGTGACATGTTGACCAATCGCACCCTTCTATCTGTAAGTAATATAACAGATAGTAACTCAAAGGGAGTGTTATATACATGCTTTGGACTGCAAGGGAGTTAGTTTTCCCTCGTTATCAAATTACATGACTAGCCCCTTGTAAAAATATAACTCCCTTCGGTGGTCAAAATTTGACCAAGCACCATACAACCACCAAACAGTCAAATGGTGTGATTTTCAATTAGAGCTCAATACAGGTGCATTAGGTGAGCACTGTAAAATTTCACTTTTTAACATTTTCTTAAAGATTATTCATTCCTATATCAAATTTTGAAAGCACCCAATAATCTACAAGATGAATTTTTTTGAGTTTTGTACACTTATGTTTGTCTGATCTTGAGGTTATTGTAGTACATTCTTTATGACCTTAGCTACTGGTCTCATAATCATTTTGATCCATAACTTCTGTGGAGCTGGATCACATATATAGATGTATACTACACTCAGCAACAAAAGAAAGTTGGCACTTTTCATTATTCAGATTTTCAAATAAATATTGCAATTTAACAATGAGTCTCTGAAAAAATACCAAAACTGATGAGCATTTCCATCTAGCTAAGTCAAGCTAAAACGATGAAAAATAAAAAAAAACAATCACAAGAAACAGGAAAGGAGTGGCATCCTGACCATGCTTATTAAACCATGCAGTCCTGACACTACAGCTGACATCCAGAGCTCAATTCTCCTTATTATTTCTCAATCTTTGTTTTCATTGTTGAACAAGAAAGTCTTACAGATGACATGTCGATTAACATTTGAACGGCTACATGCTCTCTTTTTGCAATGTGCTTCAGACCTTATAACGGTTAAATGAATGTGTCCATCCAAGCATGACAATTAAAAACTTCATCTTAATATTGTTGGTAGGGATTTAATTTTGCTTTCATTCGCTATATATTTATCATATTTTATTGATGTTTTTATGTGAACATTTTTGTAACAATAAAGATTGTCAACCTTTTTTTTTTAACACACCTGTGAAAGTTCCCCTCTGGTGGAAGCCAAGCGAAGGTCAGGCAAGTTTGGGTAGAGAAGATTACAGTCACATTCTGGGCTTCACTTGGACCTGGAAAAAATGGAGTTCATGATTTGTCAAAACTTATCTCCATACCACATTTGTTCTTTACAGCCCTACATGTATTACCCATTACATTTGTATTTCTATTTCCGGCAATCTGTTTATTACTTTGTTACTTTCACTCTTTCTCTCCTTCTCTAAGGCCTAAAAAACAAATTTGTATTACCCTTTAGGTGCCAAAACGTGGGTTGGTCGGTCAGAAACTTTCTTCTTTTTTTTTAACCTTTTTTTTTCCTCTCCCTCTTCGGGCTGATATTTCTCAGTTTTGAATGCTTTAATATTCTTTTCTCTCTAAAACACGGTAAAAAAAAATATAAAAAAATTAAAAGCCAACCGTAGAATTCAAGATTTTAGGGTTGGTCGCAAAGGGCAAAATTAGGCCTAGTTATAAAGCACTTTAGCCTTTAAAGAAAAATCCAACCTTAATAGACGTCTACCCAGAGAGAAACCAGGATTAGAAGAGAAGCATACGGGTAAAGGAAATCAGACAAATAATTAAAAAGTAATAAGTTTTAGAAAGTTGTAATCATTATGTATGGGCACTTTAAATTGGCTGAATCAATCACTGTGATGGAGTGTCAGAAAACTTTCTTATTCGTTTCAACACAATTACTACAATGTGAATTTTTCAAAATATATGAGAGTTATTTTCTTTTTAAAGGACCTAAACAAACATTCTACTCATAATAAATTTTGAGTAGTGCTCCAAGTGAATAGAAATGTAATGATATTTTTGTACATGACAAATGGAGGAGTTGTTCCTGACTGTATCCCAATCAAATGACCAAATAGCCAATTTGGGATTTGCATAGATTTAGTGATCACAAATTGTTCAAACATTCATAGCACCCTCATTATTAGTCAGATTTATTTCAAACTTTTGTCAATCTGTTTCTCTTACATTTAAGCTTTCATAGATATGGAGTTATTACAAATGTTGGACTGCCATTTAACTGACCAAAGTGCTTACAGTATTATTATCCTGGTCAGTGGAATCAATTACTTTTCTATACATTACAGTACACATTCTCCACTCCCTTGGAGGGCACTCCAGCTAGTCGCCTTTTTACGGGCACGCATAATATGCCAATCTAACCACAATAGGCGCGTCTTCATCATCTCGAGATTACCAAATAGCCCGCTATTTCTGATTTGGGAAATAATCCCGAAGTTACAAATTGCGTCTTCATCAGCTTGAGATTCGACCTCAAAACTTGAAACTCGTTCTGGTGAAGACGCACGGCACAAATAGCTGGATATTTTGCCAAATAGTGGGATATTTTGCAAACTATCCCAAGATATCTTGGGATGACAATCTCGACCAAATATCTCACTTATTGCTACTTCGGTCTATTGAAGAGGCAAATTAGCTGGATAGTTTGCGATCGGGATAGTTCAAACAGCTGGATCTCGAGATAATGAAGACAGGCCAAATAATGGCCTGCACATCCTCCTGGGTACCCAAATAACACATGAGTGGAGAGGAACAATGTAGATATGGGTCCAACCTTGCATTTCCAGTCAAGTGATTAAACCACTCAACTACAACACCTCTACGATAATTCAGGCTCGTTCAGATATGACGCAGCGAAATCACAGCAGTATTTTCATGACGACATGAAGTGTAATACACTTCACATTTCTGTGTCTTACAACACAGAGCTCAGTGAATATGTACAAATCCTTTGTTGCACACGATTGCCAGTCATTTACACGTTAAAAAAAAAAGCAGCATTTTTTGCGACAGTTTGCCGCGCCAAAACTGAACAAGCCATTATTGAGGATAAATGTTTGCAATCACAGTGGTAAACAGTGGTATCGACATTACTACATAAACTCTTTTGTGCGATTCTAAAAATTGAAAAATGCATTTACTCACACGTAGTCTGTGTAACACTATCAGTGATTGCGGTGCCGTTCACATAGAGCACTACAGTGTACTCCACTCCACTCATCAATCCATCGAATGTGTATTCTAACACAGACAGATCCAGCTCCCTGATGATGGGGGTGGAAGATTCGGGCGTGGCCACAAGTGTGAAACCGGTTGCAGTGGCCTGGGTAGTGTTTCCCCAGGTGAGGGAAATGCTGTCTGCCTGTACAGAGCCCACATTGAGTTTCTCCTTTTCAGGGCATGCTAAAATGAACAAAGAGAATAGATAATAATAATAATAATAATAATAGTAATTAGAAATATCGCAATTTGTATTGCAATGCACGCGGCGGTGGACGTGGCGTAACGCTGCTGAATCCAAAGTACCCCACCGGCATGTTGCCGGGGGATACAATAATAGTCTGAGGTTATACAAGACTTACTACATCCATGATGTCTCTAGTGCTTCACGGATATATGATTACCCCGGTATAGGATTCAGGCTTGCCGACACACAATGTATGCACATTCTTCACTCCCTGGGAGGCATTCCTGCCAGGTCCTATTTTACCAATGCTTACATCCTACTAGGTACCAGTTAAAACACCCGAGTGGAAAAAAGCAATGTAGGTACAAAGATGGAAATTATACTTCCTGAATTTCTAATTACAACAGTGTATTTTTTTCATTTTGAAATACAGAAGAAGGGTTTTCACATTGCCCACTGATAGCTCGATAGCTCAGTGGTCTTAAAATCAGGAATTCTTGTGTTCGATACCACGTCTACATGTACAAGCGCCCTTTGGGTAAGGCATTAATCCTCATTACCAAATCTCCCAGAGAGGACTTAAAGGCATCAGTCTATGCTTTCTTAGCAGTCAGGAAAAACCAATCAACCAAGATATTATACAAATAATGCACTGTTTTCAGTGTGTTAGCGCAAGGCCAGTGCACAAAGTTTAGTCAGTGTACATAGGTGATAATCAATGCATGCGCCCGCAGGGCAAGTGCGTTATCGATATCGCACTGACTAAACTGAGTGCACTAGAACTGCGCTAACACACGAGCGAAACAGTGCATTATTTGTTTATACTTTCATACAATATAGTCTAGACCTAGAGTATAATTAGATAAAGATCTAGGTTATATCTAACTAGATCTAGGTCTCTAATATTCTAGATCTAGATCTAGATATTGAAAATCATGCAAAAAATAAATTTGGCTGAATTGCGCGAAAGCAATATCAGCAGGTATCGAGCGTGTGTTATCAATTTTTGATGGGAGATGTTTTGCACGATGAGAAGAACTAATACACGCCCACGTGATGTCAATTGACCAATCGGATTGCTTACATTCGAGAACCCATCTTATAAAATCGTCTGATAACAATTCCTTCAAATTCTTTCAACTCAACATTCTAAACAGATGTGAAATATCCTGCTGTACTCACTTGTGCGTACGCTGGCTACATAGGGCTCGCTCCTGGCTGTCATTTGAAGAGTAACAAAGGATAACTGATATTCCTCGTTGGCTTGTAGAAGAGTCAGAGTGTACTCATTGCCTTCATCATGATTGAGCACAATTGGTGACGGGTTGGTGCAGGTGTCTGGGGCGTAACTGATCTCTATCCGGTCGTAGCAGCCAGAGGGCGCCGTCCAGCTAAAGGTGACCGCACTAGAGTTGATGAATTTCACGACGATGTTGCTTACTTGGTCAGGCACTGTTTGAAATTTTGGACAAAAACACAAACTTTGCAATAAATTATCTGCGATTGTCTACCTGTAGCAACACCTAATGGTGTCTGCTTGTTAGTCTCTGAATTGAATGGAATCAAATACATTGGGAAGTAATCAAATTTAAATGAGTGGAATGAAAATGGATAGAATTCAATCAAAGTGAATTGAATGAAATTAAATTGAAACTGAATTGACTCAAATTAAATTGAAACTGAATTGACTCAAAATGAAATTAATGAAGCCTCTTTTAATTGGATGGAATCAAACTGAAAAGAATGGAATCAATCTATTATTACCATCAATATTATATTTCAATTATTATCATTATTAATACTATGACTACTGTTTTATCATCATCAACTTTATTACTAGTATTATTATCATTATCATCATTATTAATATTATCATTGTTAGTAGTATAATATCATTATTATTATAATATTATTATTATTACTAGCAGGACCCGCGGAAATCCGCGGGATTCTAGAGGGGGGCGGGAGGTGTAAATAGATATATAGAGACTGTCTAAATTAAAACCACTTAGAACTTTATTTGCCATTCAGGCCATTGAAAAAATATACATGTTTAGCGTCCCCGCCCGCTTCCTTTTTGGGGGCCGCCTCCTATTTTTTTTTTTTGAAATTTTTTTGAAATTTTTTATTTTTTAATTTTTTTTTGAAAGAAAAAAAACAGCGTCCCCGCCCGCTTCCTTTTTTGGGGCCGCCTCCTATTCTTTTTTTTTGTTTTTTGTTTTTTTTTAAAGAAAGAAAAAAAAACATGAAAAGCACTGCTAAAATGTATTTCTGATTTTAAATAGGAAAAAAAAAATTGTCGGCCACCATCTTGAAAAATAGCCCGATAGCAGGAAAAATGTACGGAGCGGCCATTTTGAAAGAAAAAAAAAAGAAAAAGGCCTCCTCCTTCCCATTTTTCGAAAAAACAGGACGCTAAACATGTTTTGTTTTTTAATTTGGCCATATATAAAAAAAATTTAAAAAAACGATCCAACTGTACCGGTAGTTATTCTTTAAGCCACTGGAACTGCGTAGAGTTCCGTAGTGTGGCGTACCGACTACGCAGAAATTAGGCTGCGTATTAATGGGAAAATAGTCCCTGCGTAGGTTATGTGTAGGATGGCGTACAGGTTTGCTTATGGTTGCTTACTGTGTGGAAAGCTTTTACTGCTTTGTCGATCTGGCGTAGGGTAGCGTACTGTTGCGTAGGCATGTAGCGTAGTGTTGCGTAAAAAGGCGTACTTTCTGCGTCAAGTTTCTACGCCGAAAGTACGCAAAAAAAATAAACATGTTGAATTGTTTTCGTTCATCTTGCGTACCCCTTTTCGTCCCTCAGCATATAGTAACGTAGGCCAGCGTAGTTGGTACGCAACACTACGCAACTCTACGTATTGACCCCACGCCAATTAGTGACCCGCAAGTGTCACAAATAAAGTATTAAAAATATGCTCATCTGACCCTAATTAAACGCCTAAACCCCCTGAGCTTTCGGGGTTTATGGCCCCTTGAAACCCGTGGACCCCACACCTATATTATATATACACTCAACTCGCTGCGATCTGATCTCTCCCCCCCCCCCCCCCCCCCCAACTTTGAAGAACGTAACCCCCGAGCTTTTGGGGGTTTATGGCCCCTTGAAACCTGTGGACCCCTCGCCTATATTAATATATACACTCAACTCAGGACCCACGGAAATCCGCAAGATTCTAGAGGGGGGCGCAGGCAAAAAATTAAGTTTTTCATCTCGGGGGCTCTATTTCAAATTTTCGAGAAATTTTCGGGGGCTACTTTTTCAACTTTCGGGGGCTCTTTTTTCTGGGCTACTTTTTCATTAATTCATTAAGGGATAGGCCTAGATCTACACTTTGTTGAGATTTGTTTAGTAGGCTAATGTTTCAGGCTTCCTACTTCATAATTGCCTTAATAAAAAAACATTTTTCTAGTTCAATAACTAAGTTTTCATGCATTGATTTGATGCAAGAACTGTAACATAATAGACCCTAGATTGTGATTATTTCTGACCATGAATTTCGATAATTTTTTTTTAAAGTAAAATTTTCACAAGAAAATCAGATGTACAGTCGTTTAAAAACGTAGACATTAGTAATAGACTACTAATTCTAAGCTCAGGTTTCGTAAATCTATTCACGAAACTATATTGAAATCGCGGCAATAATGATGCAAAAACCAACAGATAACAATTTCAAAGTGTCAAATCTCTTCAACTCGAATTCAACTCACACACTGGTGCATAACTGCAGCGTAACTCAGCTCATCTCACACACACTACACAGTGGCAATGCATATGCGTGTCAGTTGCGGTGATTTTGTCTGATTTTCTTTATTAATTTGAAGAAATGATTATCAAAATTACGTAAACATGGCGAGAACATCACAAAATAGGCTTTAATTTCATACCTCTATTTATGGAAACTTTATAATATTGCAGCAATCGTGAATTCGTGATGGAAATTGATTGCAGTTTCGCGATGTTTAGTGGTTCATGGTCTAGATTCAGCTTCTACCAAAACAAAATCGACCGCCAAAAACTCGAGCCCTACGCTCCGTCTCGATCTCGCAACTGCGAAAATGTACGTGTTTTGGCGTACTTGCGTGCGACATGGTAAGTCAGGTAAGGTATGGAATATGGTTCGAGTTTTTTTACGACCAATTTTTGTGTATACAATTTTATATGGATAGTCATCGGTCGTGTGTCTACGGATGTCATGTTGAATATCCATGAGGTATCTCTGTCGTCACGCATATCTTGCATTATGCATATCGCGTCTGTTTTCGCCCTGGACGTCGACACGGAGGAGGACCTGGGGCGGAGTATAGCCAATTCCACAGAGTAGACTCTCCCGCGGACGATGGCACCGGTCACCGGATCCCGAGGGCAGGGTTCAGGAGGAGATAGCCGCACCAACTTGGGTCGGCGATCTCATTAAAAAACAATAGAATACAAAGGCCGGCGGAGACGTCATGCCCCCCGCGGAGCCTTAGCGTATTATTATTATAGATAATATTATTATTATTGTAATATTATCACTATTGTAATATAATTATTATTATAATATTTTCATTATTATTATTATCATTACTAGTACTACTTCTACTACTATTTACTACTACTATCATTATTATGAAGTTAAACGCACCTGCTATAAACTCTGCATTATCTCCACCAATGCCGGAAATAGCATATCTGGCACCAGGCATAAGGTCATCAAATGTCGCCGCTCTAGAAGTCACTTCCTGTTCAGGTGGTTCTTCCGCCATGCAGCTTCCGATGGGCATGAGTCCGATGGGGGATTCAACCGATCCAGTCCCCCACCAGGTGAAGGATACAGACGTTGAAGTAAGGTCGCGGATATTGACCTCGTTTTCTTCGCCCTCGCCTTGTGGACATAGAAAGAATATACAGTTAAGAACTAAATTAGTCAATCCTTACAAAGCTTTGTCATTGAAAAATTGATTTTTCCCAATTCATGTTTCTTGAGAATGTGAGATATCAATGCTTACATCTAAAAGTATTCAAAAAAGGCCCTAATTCAACCAGTTCACCTTTCATTCTTGAGATACCAAAAACGAAAAAAAATATCAAATTTACAACAGGTATAAATAATTTAGTAATTTAGCTGTATGTACATGAATAAAGTACATCATGAATCAGGTTTAAATCTTTATAATAATAATAAAATACTTTTCTTGTAATCAGCATATCACATTATGATATAACTTCTCTATGCACTTCCAAAGGACATTGGATATTATTACCCTGGCTTTGGCTACGGCAACCATAGTGCTATGTGTATTCAAGATACATGGACGTAGTAGTATAACGCAGTGGAATTTTTGTTTATTTAAAGTATATTATGCTTCACATTTCCATATTTTATAACACATACCAGTAGCAGAGGTAACAAGTAGGACCTTCGTTGCACATTTGCCATGCATTTACAGGAAGAAAAAAGTCTTTGGGGGCTTGTTTTGGGCGGTTTTACTGCATCATATCCTTCACTGTTACTAAAACCTTGGTAGCAGAGAGGCTTGCCAAAAAGCGAAGCTCAGAGAGGACCTGTTTTTTTTAATTGTTATTTAGAGGAGCTCTGTTTTGGAGAGAACAAGTTTGAAATTCATCTAAGTACTGTTTTTCTGTTTCCTAGCTGGAATTCTGCTCATTGCCCTCCAGATAATAGCAAATTGGGACTACAAAATCATTGGAATATTCAACAAATTTTTAGACTTGATGGAAAGTCTATTAAAAAAAATGTACAGGTTAGGGGCTTCTTTTTTGCGGTTTACTGCATCTTATCTGAATGAGGCTTCACTGTTAATTAAAAAAAGAGCTAAATGTACAGAACATGTACCTGTTGTAACATTGGCAGATTCTGGGTCACTCTCAATGTAGGTGCCTTCTTTCCCCATGATCGACCTAATACTGACATTATACATCTGGTTAAACTGAAGTCCAGTGATGGTCAATTCTTCTTCATCCGGCCCTAATTCTATGGGCGAGCTCTGGTCTCCGTCGGCTGGTGAGTACGATACGAGATATCCCCGGTACAGGCCAACAGATGGTGCTCTCCACAGCAGCCGGATGCTAGTTGATGAATCTGTCTGTACTTGGTACATTGCAACCATTTCAGGCTCTGCACATGATGAGAATACATGTATTTCATCAGATAAGATGCCAGCAGTTGGGAGTCAATTTTTTCATTTCATTTTGATTTTTTCACTTCCAACAAAATACAATACATAATAACGAATTCAATGTAAAATGCATACAAAACATAGTTACATTTGAAAAAAATAAATCTTAATAGAAATCTATACATTTGAGGAAGACAAATATTGAATTTTTTAATTTAACTGCATTTATATTTTGAGGAAATGGAGAGGTCCACTGAAAAGCAGAGCTTGTAAATTGTGTACCCCTCAGATAATAATAAACATCATGAATTCAATTTTGATGGTAGAAAAAATATTCAAGGAAAACAGTCATCAGCAAATAAATTGCTTTAGAAGAAGAAAAAAAAACAGAGACTCTGATAAAATTGAGTTTGAGGAAAATCGGACAATATAAAGATCACAATTTATGGAGACAAATTGGCAACACTGTGATGAGGCTGGGATGTCATAGGCTCCCTATTTTATAAATTGTGACATAAGATTTTAATATCCTACATTTCTCATTTTCCCCCATGAACCTGATTTGTTTGTGGCTTTGCCCAAGTAGTATTTAGGACACAATGTTATTTTATGTATCGATCAATACAATGGAAGTATATTTCTTTCATAAACTCACAAAAATGTGATAGTTTTTGTTCAAAATAATTTCAAAGACTTATCAAAAAGATCTGTATTTTGGTGTGTGTGTTTTTTGTGTTAAACTCACTTGTTCGGCGGATGATAGTGTCTACTAAAGTAGCCTGGCCACTTAACGTGACAGTCTCAAGGTTGAACGTGACAAGATCTCCTGGTACTAGGTCTGTGACTGAATGGCCGTAATCAATGCTGGTAGACATGGCGTTTTTGGGGATGGGGATTGAATCAGACACCATCGAGAAGTACGAGAGTCTGAACGTCTGGAAGGAGTCGACATCGAGCATCTCTGTTTCCGTTGACCACAAAACGAAGATCTGATTGGTCTCAATGTTTGTAGCAACAAGAATTTCCTCATCTAGAAAATATACGGTGAGATCAATGGATGATACGTATTAGAGTACCCTGTATATTGTACCATTTCACCCAAATAACATTAACAGAGGAGTCTTATATAAGAGCCCATGTCGGGCACATTGCCACACCTGGCGCTCCGTTGTTATGACCCTCGCTTTAGCACGGCTGCCATTACAGCACTCGAGCATTCTTGGGAATTAATTCCTTACAGGTATTCATTCACCTCACATGTGTGGAGTGTGGCAAATGTAAATGAAAGACTTGCCACAGGACATCTTTGGTGCCGCGAGAGGGATTTGAACCGTGTACCTTGTGGTGCAGAGACTTATCGAATGGACCACATCTTTTATTGCAAACCTGACCTTATGCCTGATTAGTACTGTGCTACGGTACTCAGAATATAAGATGACCACCAGTACCAGTTTTGTTAATCTGTTTCTGTTTATCGTTGGATATGACAAAATATCTATATCATTATATTTTAAAGCTTTATCATCATACTTTTAAGCTATGATGAAAAAGGGGGGGGGGGGAATCTATTATACGCCCTGTTTTCAAATACCTAATACATGTACATGCACATTTATTAGGGAATAGCTTGATGTATCCTGATGATATACATATAAATATCTGTGTTTTTTTGTGATTGATCAATATCAAAGAGTTAAATTTCAAACACAGGTCTGAATTTTATTCTCACCAGTGGTGGCTGTTGTTGAGATCGCATCACCCTCTAGCCGTTGTCCACTGCTTCCACTATAAGCAAACACCTGGATGTTGTAAGTAGTATAACTTTGGAGATTGTACAGGAGATGCTCCCGCGTGTCTGGTTCAAGCAAGATGGGACCGCCGGCGGAATTAGGAGAGAAGGAGAGCTCGTAACCGTCAAACTCTCCCTGGGGTGGGGAGAGGAGGACTCTAATCTCATCGGAACCAAGAGCAGTAGCGTTGAGGGACTCTGGAGGGTTCGGTTCTGGGAAGTAATAACATATCAAAAATGATTATCAACCCACATTTAATGCTAATTTCTCTTGTCATAATACCAAAAACCTGCAATTTACTCTTTACCCGTTATGGACATGAACCCCAAGACCACCAAATTGTACAGAGAATATTGTACATGCAAATGTGAGCTTTGATTCTTTTTACGTAAGTGTGGAAGAATAACATAGAAAAAATGTCTCCTGAAAATATAACAAGATATAGCTGATTCAGAAGTGATTTGACTCATCTTTCACGCCACATGTTTGTGTAGTCCCACACATTCCAATGTTGAGTGTATATGAATTTCAGCAAATATGAATCAACTTCATATCATTTTGCTAATTCCAAAGCCCCATAGTTAGTATACACCAATTCTTATATACAACATAATCAACTTTTCCCATAGCTGCTAACATTTGAAAATAAGAATTAGGAATTTTTAGCATGGTAAACTGCCGCATAAAAACAATGCCAGGGTCTTTTTTGCATGTAAATGAATGGCAACTGAGTGCAACAAAGATCCTGCGCATATTCACTGAGCTCTGTGTTACTACAGTATTGAAGGTCATATCTGAACAAAGCTTTACTTGTTTGCGTGAAAATGACATCCTCCATTGTCCCGTCGTTGTATTCTACGTAGACCACATATCTCCTGCCGGGTACCAGCCCCTCGAAGGTGTAGAACAGCGGGCACGTCTGGTTGGTTGGGAGACACATGGGCGTGTCACCTCGTAGGGTGCTGCAGAGTTCCTTCAGACACACTTGTTGACCGTTGGTGGCAGCATCCAGCCAGATGACCTGAAGGTTGGTGTTGTTGGTGCTGGAGACGTGGGGTTCGTTGTTGTCGTATTGACCTGTTGGAAGGTTTAGCATTCAAGATCCAGATTCAAGAAGTAAGTTTTATTGTCAATATATACATGTAGTTAATAGAAACATGACGTCCATAGGGTTACATACACTGTACAACATAGACATATGCAAATTAATGGTTTAAAAACTGAGAAACTGTGGAGGAAGTGGTAATGAGAAGTAAATTGAGATGGATGGGTCATGTGTTGAGAAGGGAAGATGATGAACGTGTGGAATCTGGAGGTGGATTGCATAAGAGAGATAGGAAGATAAAGCAGTAAGGTTGGTCTAAATGAGGAGGACGATTGAGACAAGAAGAAGTGAAGAGAGGGAGTGTCATCACCACACAAAAGTCAGTAAGTGGGAAAATGCTGACTTAATTTATAGACCTCTCTACCTCCAGTCCTCCGCTTATATAAAAAACAGTTCAATGTTTAAAAAAAAATGAAACTGACCTTTTATTCTGAGTATCGTTAAATTTACCTTCCAAACCTTTATGCCCCCCTCCAATTTTAAATTATTTCATACATTTTTTGTCTTTATATTGTGTTTATCGCTGTATTTTGTGATATCTTTAACTCATAAATGCTCAACAATATAAATAACATAAATTATAATATTCAGGGAACTTTTTATACAAAGCCACCATGGGCTTTTCCTTTGTTCTCCAATTTCATTTGAGCTATTGTGTTAACTGACCATTCCTTGTATGTACATGTATATATACTTGTATGTTTATTTGCACTTGCTGTGTTTTTTATGAAAATGAAATAAAAAAACTAACTTGAATTTGAACTTAAAAAAATAACCCAGATAGTAGATGTAGGAATACAAGTGTACATGTAAGCCTTTTGGTCCTGATATGCTAAAAATAGATATCTATATCTAATATAATTGCCATCTCTACGAAAATCTAAATTGCACGAAGATAACATAGTGTGCGGGGGGCTTAACTTATTCTTGCACAAGGAAAAAATGTAACCCCTGGCTTACGTGTTGTAATCGAGATTGACTGTGCAGAATCACTTGTCTGTTCACCAAACCCATCAGCTGCATCCAAAACAGTCTCTACCTCGAAAACATACTCCGTGTTGGGTCTCAGACACCCCTGGCTGTACGTCAGGTCCGAGCTGTTATTCGGAATCGTGGATATAAGTTCTCTTCTGAAAGAGAAAGGGGCATAGTACATCCTGTAGGATGAGAAGGTTGTGTTGGTAGGGGCCCACTCAAAGGACAGGCTGAAAGGTCCTACGCTGGTCAGGATTGGTGGCTGTGGGGTTTCAGGATCTGTAAATTTAAAAAAATGATAAGAATCGTCACTATCATGTAATTTTTGGTTAGGCAGGAATTTCCAAATACCAAGTCCCTCTGACAGGATGTATTAAACTGTAGGTCACCTGGTGACTTATCTTTAAGAGTGCTTCACTAGAGCAAGACGAGATTAGACATCACTATCATCAGAGTACTATTCCATCTGGTAAGGCAGCGATCTTCAATTACCAAGCCCCTTTGAGGTATGAAACTTTCAATAAATCTAAGCGCTCTGCAAAACTTTCCAATATTTCATGCATGCCAAAAAAAATTGCTTTACAGCAGGTTCTAATGGAGCACTGGTGAAGGACTTCAAAAACAAATATCCTTTTTATTAAATTTGTGAATTTTGCAAATGATCTGGAGACAGGAATTTGGAGGTGAATGTGTGTCACAAAGAAGAATTATATGCAAGCAAAAATGTAAACATTATTTTAAAGGCAGTATTTGCTATATGTACATGCTTTGTATTTCATTAAAATCATCTTTCGCAACGACATAACAGTTGCCTTCTCAGTCAAATGCGCACAGCTATTAAAGACAACGTAAGCAGCGGATATGCGTATGGAAGCATTGGTGATTCAATAGGATATGCCTTTACAGAATATCCTATTTCACGTAGCTCTAAACAGCAAAACGGTGGCAAGAAAAGACATATAGAGAACGAAAAAGGCATGATAATAATCAGTAATGTCAGTGAGTTAAAAATTCTTATTTCATACATTTCATGAAAGTTTTGGTCATATCAGGTCTAATCAAAGTTATATTACAGCTCCATATAATTACTGTATGGCCTACATGTACACACAGTGAATCAAATTGCCAAGACTGTCATAGCCCCCACACGGGTTGTTTTATTTTCATTTGTCATGACTTTCCAGAACTTTCTGGAAAGAATTTTCATTTTCCATGACTATGGAAACCCTGAAGTAATATATGCAATAATGTATAAAATATTGTAGATCATAAACAACCGTTATGTAACACCTTTACCCAAAGTTACAAGGCACTGTCCCTTTCATCTAATGACAAATTAAGAAGAATTGTAGAGGTTTGTATTCAGTGTTTTGTTTTAAGAAGTGAAGTGAAGTAGTATTTCTTAAAGTGCAGGGAGTTTGTTCTATGCACGCCGAGCAATGCATTGAAAGGATTTGATGTCGTAACTTAAAAATAAATATATCAGTATTATGATAACCATCAAATATAATAGAAAAGTGAAAGAGCAAGCTTGGATAAACATGTACTTACTTGTTCGAACAGAATTATTTGCCACCACAAATGCAAAAGTGGAATCGTAGATAGTGAAAACATAAATCTGTGATGACTTCACACCTTCTGTTATGATGAGCATGTTGCCATCGGGACTCGGGGCAGAAAGTGTGTTCTCAGTTCCTATCATGATAAATGGCGTATACGGCGGTGAACCACTGTCCGGCCAAATGGCAGTCATAGATGAAGAAGTCACATCTACAAAGACGAGCTCCCCGGTCGTCAAATTATCTATGGATCAAATGTAGTTTAATATACAAGATAAACGCTACTTTGTCTCCAGTATGATACTGCCTACATGTTCAAAGTATATTCTATAATCACCCTAAATCTAAAAAAGTTTATCCTTACATAATTATATATACTAGATTGAAGTTATCGCAGTAACAAGATATTTTCTGGAAATTTTTTACACTGTAAAAACTCTGTGACCTTTGACCAATTACACAAAATTAGTCAAATTAAAGTCACGCAATACTCTGTTATGGATGAACAATTTTTATTTTTATATGATATAATTTTTGCAAAGACAGGTCAAGCAGTATGTCATGAAGGCAACATTTATATTACTACGTGTACAATCTTAGAGGAGGTCATGTATTTGAATTTTATGACTTGAAATTATCAATATTTGAGAAAAAATTATTTAAAAAATGCTTTTCGGAACACAATGGCTTTGGAACATTACTCATTTCCTGTCTTGATCAGCTCCATGACAACCCTATTACCATTAGCATAGATTAATCTTTCACCAGAAACAGATAAATAATCTTGAAGTCTTTGGTATATCGACTCAAAGATGTGGCACAGAGGGATTCTCTGTGTGGCATAAAAAGAGTTAAAGTGGGTATGATTAAAGATATGATGCGGTAAACCCCCACATTAAACCCCTAGGTTTTCTTTATCGTGTAAATTAATTGCAACTGCGCCCAACAGAGGTTCTCTGCGTATTTACTGAGCTCTGTGTCACAAGATACAGAAATATGATGCATATTACAGTTTACGTCAACATGAAAAAATGCTGCGGTTTTGCTGCATCATATCTGGACGAGCCTTAACCCTAATGAGGCGGCGGGGGGGGGGGGGGGATTATGGCCCCCTCCCTAAGATCTCGGCCTTGAAACGGCCGATAGCAACAAAAATTTGAATGCAAGTCTAGGGAAATGTATAGAATATTATGGTATTTTCATTTTTTTTTTGAAAAATTCACTCATTTGTATATTTATGGTAAATTATGCAAATAAGGTCATCAAATTCACATTTGTATCCTTTAATCATATATTCTCCATATTTAAACATTCGTTTTCACTATATATACTTTTTAGACCATTTGGAATAATAATACCAAAACAAGAATTTGAAGACCCCCCAAAACAAACACCTAAACTATAAACAAGACCAAATAACCAATGTTTTATCTCTTTTTTGAAAAAATGATATTTCCATATGTTTTGTACACAAATCATTAAAATTAGCAATTTTCGGGTTGACATGCAAAGACAAAAGTTCATGTGACTTTGTAACGGTATGTCTGATTTTCGAAAAATTTGTTTCTAAAGATGCGCAAGACGCGAACAAAAATAGTCACCAAGTGGCTGGGTGTCATCCTTGTACGTTCCTGAACAATCAGAAAAATCGCAGAGGGGGGGGGGCATAATGTCCCTCGGTCTGATTAGGGTTAAGAAGGACATTCTTACCAGTTATGACCTGGAACTCAATCGGATCGCTTATTTGCTGATATAGCCCAGTGCCACTGATAGCCACAATAGACACATTGTAGTCCGTGCCTGGCAGGAGGTTCGTAACCTCGATGAAGTTCTGATCCGTGTCGAGGGTTGGGTTTATTGTCACCCTGTAGAAGGTGACGATGCCACTTGGTGTTTCCCATTGGAGACGGACAGACGTGACACCAGCAGATGGTGAGCTGCCATCGACAGGGGGCAACGGTTCTGCAATTGTTAAAGTACAAAAAAGAACATTATAAAAGTGTCAGAAAGACACATACACATAGCTACACACTCTATGATCTTGACTTTATTGCAGAGAAAATATGTACACAGTATGCCATAAATAGCATTTCATGTCTATTTTTTAGCAACTGGTAAAAGAGAAGAAAACAATTGCATCCAGCTGTTGGTTAAGATCCGTCATTGAAGAGAAATAGTTCTGTAAAAATTGCAGTACAAACAAAAAAAATTACATGTGTCAAAAGTGTCTAATACCATAAGTGGCTTAGGGCAGTTGGGCTAAAGCCAGGATAATAATACCATTAGTAATTTGTAGGCACCTTGAGCATCCCCTGTTGTGCTTTAAACCTCAATGTACAGTTTAAATTAAAAGCTGTGATTAAAAGAATATAGTATTTTGGGAGCTGCACATACAGGTGGTCTGTATATTTCTGAGACTTAAGTTTTAACAATTCTACACTACAACTAAGAACCTGAGCAATTAGCGCCTTATAGACAATCAACAGAATCTTGAATAGTATTCTGTGAAATAATGGTAGCCAGTGTAGAACTCTCACCAGAAGGGTGATCCATCAGAATTTGGAGCAACCACGAATCAGTTTTGTACAAGTGTTATTAAACATACAGGGTGGTATTCTCGAAAGTGGACTAACTTTAGTCCATGGTTTAATCCACTAAGTATGGAATGCCAAATGTCCATGAATATGTTTTGAATAATTTAATCTGTCACTAAATCAAAATAAAATGTAATAACATAATTAATAAACAACAATATAACTATGATATAATTATGTTATCATGGTAATTTAGAGACATATCAATTCATTCAAAAATATATTCATATGGACAGTTGGCAGTCCATACTTAGTCGGTGGATTAAACCATGGACTAAGGTTCGTCCACTTTCGAGAATACCACCCACAGTTATTATTATTATGAAACAGGGCGCTAAAATCACTAGAGGTTGATATCCATGCCTTCTATGGTGGGTGTCATGGTGTACTACTGGTATGTTTATTAATGTTATTGTTATTATTATGATCAGTAGTTATATCAAATAATAGTAGTAGTAGTAGTAGTAGTAGTAGTAAGAGTAAGGTAAAGAATAATAGTAGTAGCATCATTATGATCATCATTAATTAGTATAATCAAAATAATAGTTCTAGAAGTAGTAGAAGTAGTAGCAGGAGTACGAGTTTTAATAGTAGTCGTAGAAGTAGTAGAAGTAGTAGTAGTCATAATAGTAGTGGGAGTAGCAGTAGTTGTAGTAGTAGTAGTGGTAGTAGTAGTAGTAGTTGTACTAGTAGGGACAAGAGCGTGGACTGCCGCGTGTGACATTGTGTTAAGGCACTGGGCCGTGCCCGGCAGTGCCTTAAAAGGACGTCACATTACCTTAAAAGGATGTCACACATGGCGGTCCACGCTCTCGTCGTGTAAATCTTACAGTCCCTATTAGGAGGAAACAGGGCCCTAGAACTACTGACTTACTTGCTCTTTCTGTGAGGGTGAACGTGACGTCCGTGCCTTCGATGGTGGAGGTGATGGTGTATAGCTGTCCAGGGATGACATTGCTGTAGACTCCCGTCAGACTATCCTCGTTGAAGCTGATCACAGGGCCAGGTGGCTCTACCGCAAAGGCATAAGCCTCGAATCCTTCCAGGGCACTGGCGTTACCCACAACGAAGGGGATCTCATTGACAGTTACATTCGTGGGAGATACTTCCCCAGCTTCCAGGGACTCTGTCGGTGAGAAGGAGAAATTCAAAATGAAAACGCATACATGTAGGACTTACATGAATCGGATAAGTGTCAGAATTTCATTCTCCATCCTCAGCCTGAAATTGACAAAATAATTCATTCTTACATACTCTCTGGTTACATACAAATAATGTTAAATCCTGATTGATTAAAGATTGCGAACGACAATGGGAAGATGACAATTTTTTTTTAAAGGAAAGCATTAAGCCTGCTGATGTATAAATGCAAGAACTTGTAGTCGTGTACGACTAAATGCAATTTGTTACTTTTTGAATTACCGGTACTTGTTTTGGTATTTAATGTCTATCTATCCAACTTATCTGTATAATGTTACAATTTAAAAAACATTTCTAGATTTGCAATTCCAAATATGTCTTAGAATACAATCCTTAATGTTCTACATTACTATGTAAAGCTCATAAGGACTTTTACGAGTATCATGCTCTATCTTAGAATTTAATAGAAAGATTAAACAAGAGCTTAGGTTAGAAATTATTATTACTATTATCATTGAAATTATTATTATAATTTTCATCACTATTATTATTGTTATCATTACTATTATTATCATTGATATAATTATCATTGTTATCATTATTACTATTACTCTTAATAGTGTTATTCTTAATGTTATTGTTCATATTGTAACATGAACATAAACATTGACTGAAAAGATGGATGATGAAAAATTATCAATTAACTGTCATACATGTACGTAAATATTTACATCACAAGATAATTGTATCTGTACCAGTGCTTATTTGATGTCATTTTTGATGGAATATTTGTTTGTCTTTTGATAATGCAGACTGATGTGTTGTCAAGGCCAAATAATTTTTTTAGTAACTCTCAATACCAAAAATCAAGAAAACTTTTTACACCATGGACATAATCTTGAACAATGAAGTTTTCACCTCAAAATGCAGTGGTGGAATTTTGAAATCGCATAAACAAAGGTTTTGTTGTCTGTGTACTGTTTCACATTACACACGTTTGGGATTTTTTTTGTGAAAGGTAGCATTTGAAGGCTTGTGAATAACAAAATACTAAATTTTAATATTTCTCAATATTTTTAGTTGTTTTTGTTAATGAATTTGTATTGCTGTCATAGACACAGATGTTTTGTGCTAGTTGCATGTTTCATTTTATCATAATCACAGTTACTTGTATGGGCAGACATAGGTACTCTAGCCATACTCACTAGTGACAGCGTTTTGAATACAGGGCACGGCCCCAAACTGCTGAGGAAAGTTGTCTGTGTCATCAGCTGCCAACCATGAATTGACTGCCAGTGTGAGTTCGGTTTCAGGTGGGACCCTGATCTTAACCACTTCTGGGTCGTCTGTGGGAGGAACTGCCTCTTCTTGCACAAGGTCACCTTGTGAATCGGTGACGGTCACCTGGTAGCCATCGTTACTGCCAGGGGCTAAGGCTGACCAAGTAAAAGTGTAGCCTGAAGACGTGGTCTCCACGGAACAATTTTCAATTGAAGGAGGATCTGAACGAACATAAATTTGTTAGAGATACACGATGTAAATACGTGGCCATTTTCATAACCCTGTATAGCCTAGGAGCCGCCCCCCTATCCCCTCTACATTTTTTGCGATAATTTGTTAATGCCAAAAATCTTGCACTGAAATTTTTTTACTCTTTTCTTTCGAGTCTTGCGTATCTTTAGAAACAAATCTTAAGAAATTGAACCTACCGTTACAAATTAATGTGACATTTTGTCTTTGCATGTCAGCCCGAAAATCGCTCATTTTCATGTTTTGTACAAAACATATGAAAATATTATTTTTCCACAAAAAAAAAAAGATCAAATGTTGGTAATTTAGTCTTGTTTAGGGGTCAAAATAGTTGAATTATAGTTTGTTTTGTTTTCCCCTTGAATAAAAAGAAAGTTTTTTGGGAAAAAATAATAGCATCTAACAAAATTTCCCCCCCCCCCCTTTTTAATAAGAAAATTGGGGGAAAATAGGGAAATTAAGGGAAAATAGGGGTAAAATCTGGAAGAAAAAAAAATTGGTATAAAAAAAATATTAAAAAAAACAGGAAAAAACTATTTAAAAAGGGAAACCAATTTAAATCGGGTAATTATCAGGCCTGATAAAAATATATCAAAGACAATGAAATACATAGGTGAAAAACAAAGAAATACATAAGAAATTATCAAAACAATAGATAACATAAGGAATAACCTGGCTCTTCCAAATTTGTTGATTTTATTAGTATTCCAAATGGAAAACGAATATTTAAATATGAAGAATATATGATTTATAGGTAAAAATTTGAATTGTATTATTTCAAAGGTAAAGACCAGTATTGGAAACGCCCCAATTTCAAAAAATGAAATAGAAGCTCTTATTACCAATCATGTGAAAGAATATGTTTTGACTAATACATGATGATAACAAATTTGCCGGGAAACCGCCTACTAATTGAGATATTTGGTAAATTACTTTATCTATTGGTCTGTGAGAGATAAAAGCATGTGTGTGTATAGTCCCATATACATCTTTCTGTGTACAGTGCTTGTAACTTTACAAAGACTGGGCCAAATTTCTTATCATTTTGATGATTCCAGAACCTTGCAGTTCACACCAATACTTATATGCTAGATGATCAACCTTTTCTGATCCATTCCACAACGTTTCTTTCACAATGCAATCGCATGACCATGTCTGGTCTTTATCTTTAATTGCATAAATATATAAATGAGTGAATTTTTCAAAAAATTAAAATTACCCTATACACTTCACTTGACATGTATGCATATTTTTGCAGCGATCGGCCATGTCAAGGATGAGGAGGGGGAGGGGCGCTTATTCTTCAGACCCTTTGGAATAATACAACCAAAGCAAAATTGGAAGAGCCAGGTTATTCCTTATGTTATCTATTGTTTCTATAATTCTTTTTGTGAATTTCCTTGTTTCTTTAACTTACTGGTATGTATTTTATTGTTTTTGTTGTATCATTACATTTATAATCATAGTTCAACTATTTTGACCCCTAAAATAAACACCTAAACTATAAAAAGAGACCAAATAACAAATTTTTTATCTCTTTTTGGAAAAATGATATTTCCATATGTTTTGTACACAAATCACAAAATGAGCGATTTTTGGGCTAACATGCAAAGAAAAAAGGTCACGTAACCTTGTAACGATACATCTGATTTTCCAAAAAAATTGTTTCAAGAGATGCGCAAGACTCAAAAGAAAAAAGTAATAAATTTCAGCTTAAGACCTTTTTTGCTTAAAAAAATTATTGTGATAAATGTAGCGAGTGAAGCTTTAGAAGCTATTTGGGCTTAACGCTATTCAGTCCTATTAATATGTTCCATTCAAAACAAAGAGCTTCTTGAGCTCTTTTGATTGATGCTAGATTTGTCACAACTATTTCTGGAGTCATCAGTAAGTTAATGATATTTAGCAAGTGAGCAATTTCCTTGGAATCGCCGATTTATAATGGCTTACCTGTTCTGATGAGAATTGATACATCGTCTGGCATGGTGAAGCGATAAATTGTGACGGGTTCCAGACCACTGACCTCAAGCACGTTAGAGCTGAAGCAGCCGTCGTACACGTATGTGGCATTGAGGACATAACCACTGGGCATCAAACGTTCCATGGTGATATTGGCCGGTCCACTCACTGTCCAGGCCAAGATGACACTATCTGGTGTCTGGTCCAAAACCGTGAAGCGACCATCAGGAATCCCCACTGCATAACGATATTTTAGTACATGTTATAGTATTAATAATGATAACAAAATAATGATCATAATAATGGTAATTATAATAATGATAATAATAATAATAGTAATAGTACTAATGATAAATTACTTCTATTATTATCTTTAATATTAATAGTCGTAAGAGTAATAATACTACTAATAATAATAGCAATGATAATAATTACAAAAATAATTTAAATAATTGTAAACAAATACTTAAAGTAATGAATATAATAGTAATAATGATAATTAATAATAATATTAATAATTTATAATACTGATAACAATAATAGTAATAATATTGATAATAATGCAAACTAATACTATAAACCTAATAATATTAATATTTTACATTTAATACAGGATATACAATGTAACACATGATGCAAATACTTCAGTTTTCAGTGTAATACAATGTTATTATTACACTTAATTCTATCACCAAATATCAAGAGATTTCATATTTTTGAATGAAACATGTGGTGAAAATTCATATATTATACAAGATACATTGCAAGGGAAAATAAAGGAAAAAACATTTCTATTTGTGTTTTACCGCTCAGGCTATGAATGAAATATATGAATGCTAAAATAATTCTTGATGATAGTCTGAGTTTTGGGAATGACCAAAATAGTTGTCAAAAATAAAACATATACAAATATAAATGTACCTTGCTGAATGAATTTGACCAAAAAATATAAAACTCACGAGTCGTCACTTCCAGAGTAACTTCTACACTGGTTTCAGCTAGTTCCGATCCAGCCCATGCTACAACACTGATTCTGTACTCAACACTGGGTCGAAGGTCATCGATGACGAAGGTCTTTGCATTTCCTGGAACTCTGTGTTCCTCTTCGCAAACACAGTGGTCTTGAGTAGCATCCATGCATTGAATGGTGATGATGTACTCATCTAGAATGCCGTTGCCAGGCTGGAGACCTAATGCGATGCTGGACTCCGTCATGTTAAGAACAGTAATTTCAGGCATGCTAGGACCTATAAAATAAGATATAATAATAATGATACTACTATGTACTAATCCTAAAATCTGAACTCAACGCCAAGAACAAGATCAAGGCAATAAACACACCTGTATGACAATTTATATCTTAAAAGAAATTAATTGTATTCTTAAAATATCTAAATTATTTTTAAAAGCATTAAGGATATGTATCCTAATCTTTGCATAGGCATGACAATTTAATGAAATTATACTGTAGAAAAAAAATCATATTAATAATTATTGTATTACAGCATGTAAACACATTTTATTTTTAAACAGGCCATGTACGGTATCAGAAATTGTGATCTGCTTTTACAAAAGTTTTCGACAGTGTTTGACCTTGGATCAACATGTCTATTGTGGAAAATTGTTCATCGCCTATAAAGACATTGTATACTTCAATTGAGAAATGTATTTAATAATAGAATGGTGTAAGGACAAACATCTATAGAAAAGGGATATGCAACATTAACAACACAAGGTCTTCTATCCGTTCATCCTAGTGTTATCGGTTATGCTTACAAGGAAAACTGGTTCTTTGTGGCATCAGCTCCTGCATTCTTTGATCTCGTACCATTAATATTTAGGAAGATACGTTTCCTCTAATCTAATATAATATGCCATACCATTATGTGTTGTCATTACCCCCCCCCCCCCCCCTCGCCCATAGTTGGCATCTGTTTGAAATCAAAAGCTATTCTATAAAACGAACAATTAAAATAACTTCCTTTTTCTTCATTTATAAACTATGCATTATGAAATATAATTCTTGTACCGGTATATCTTTGTAGTAATAGCATTGCACCTTTGTTTTTCAGTGTTTTTTATGTGTGTTTTGTATATTGGTTCCAATTGCATCTCGTGACATATCATGTAAACTGGGTGGAAAGTGACGCTTTACAATTTTGATATCTTTGGATGCCCTTGTGCATGTATCATCAGCAGAAAAATTGAATATACAAATTTACCGGTGCTCACGGTAAATTTTGATAAATTTCAAAGAGCGCCTATGGCCGTACAATGGTAGCTGCGACCATGAAAATCTCAGAATTAGTTGTGATATATAATTTCCAAACGGGAATTGCTAATCGGTCGATTTTTGTCAAAAAACATTGTTTTACAGCTTAATTAAATTAACACGATCGCGGTTTACTGCGCCATATCTTAACAAGCCATAAGCAGTGTTTCTTGCGATTATCACCACTCTCAAAACACCTATACATGTGATCTACATCATGTATAGTAATGAGCGATTCAATTCAATTCAATTTATTATTTGATAAAACAATCACATACGATATATATACATTGAGAATTGTACTGGATCATTAGCACCGATAAAGCTGAAGACTTGAGGGAAGTGGGTGGACCCATGACATAAATGACAAATGTGGAAAATACAATCATCAAAATTCACAATATAACAAAATGCAAGACGTAAACAAGACATTACGAACTAAAACACAACCATAATACCGAACATAATTTATATGGTATTTGTATGCATCAGGGAAGTCATTTATAACATTATAAAACTTGTCAACATAACAAATGAAATCAAATCAAATGCCACGATTTCAGTAGCTTATACCAGTTATTGAATCAAGTTATATTTAAATATATCACTAACAGAACACAATAGATCCCAATAAATGCAAACAGTATGTAAACTTACGTAATCTGAATTGGATAGGGAGTATTTCGGCGGTTGAAATGGTACCATTGTACAGCTGACCGGGGAGCAAGTTAGTGATGAAAACTGTATGATCAGTTTCGTAACTACTCATCCAATCCCCGTTAGGGGATAGTGTCACATCGGAATCATCGAAAGCTCCTATGCTATACACGATGGCCGTCTCATTGCGATCAATCTCAAATATCATTGGTGAAACAGGAACATCTGGAGAAAAAGCATAACGAAACAAATTAATCATTAATTAATATTCTATCCAAATAGACGTGGGGGGGGGGATGTTTCACAAGGACTAAGATAGACTTTAAGTTGAACTTAACTATGGCAGGCAATTCATGCCACTGGTTGCTCTCACCATAATGATCTTTAGATGATATTTGTTCCTTCAATAAGGAATTATCAAAAAATGTGAATTCTGTAGATTTGTGACCATGATTTGTATGTCCTTTGAGAGACCAATGCCAGTAAATGGTGAGAGCAAACAGTGGCATGAACGGCCATAGTCCAATTTAAAGTCGATTGTAGTCTTTGTGAAACACTCACCTGCTTGCATGCATGTTTCTCTCGCTTCTCTCAATAACCTCTTGTTAACTGTTATTTCATTCCACAGGTTTGAATAATGGCATCTTTATGGATGGAATCCACTTTGCATACAATAGTCGTTGCTATGTCCGGCAATCCTCTGGCTAGCTTTCTAGTTGTCAAGAGAATCTTTGTTTTTATAGGTATGCATAAAATATGCAGCTAACTGGACTATCTCTAATATTCTACTGAAATGCAAACCCCTCACAGAGTTTAATCCTTTATCTCAAATTGAATTTGAAGTTTAATAGTCTGTGGTCTAAATTGTCTCTGTGTTAAAGACCCTGTGTCGGGTTTAACTGAATTACATGTAGATGAATACGGACCAATGTGTACAGATAGCCAAGTGATGATACACAATATTCTTAGAGATAATCTTGCATTCTGTGAATGGAGGAAAACAAAATTTCATAGATTCATACCAAAATTGCTGTTGACTGACTGTTCAATAATACACATTTTTATACTCATTTGACTAAAAAACTAAGCCAATGCTTTTCTTGCTCCAAGCTTGCCACTTCATGTAGATTATGCTTGAAAGAAAAGAATGTTTCAAGAGAACATCATCTTATATCACTGGTACTATACAGTATGATGTCCTTCCACATCACATCATGAATCTTAAAGGCATCGTTTAACAATGTTAAATCTGAGATGCACAGCCCTATACGTGCTACCAGTGTCTGTGATATGGTGTAATATTGAAGCCCTAAAAATAATCGTGCTTCAAAATGATCAAGAAGTGCCTCAAAAAAGTAAAGTTCTTTGAGTGACCAGCTTTACCATACTCGTTTTCCCCAATAGACTGTAGTGTTATGAAAACCGTTTGGCAAACGCAAAATTTGGTTTCAATTTCCAATCAAAAATATCTTGATAATCAGACAGGTGATCGGCTTGTAAAAGTCATGGAGTTCCTGACTGACCTAAAGGTTTATAATTATCATTGGAGCATGAGCTAATTCCAGGATTTTGTTTCAGAATCTGAGACAATGTTTATACTGAGTCACTCTAAGGATGCTTACCTGTTCGTTTGGTAATGTTGTACGGTCTACTCTTTTGCTCCTCAAACTCATCGGTCGAATTGAGAACACTCCTTACAGAAATATAATACAAGGTGTTAGGCAGGAGATTGGTGAAAAGATAGCCCTCTTCTATCACTGATGCAGTTTCAACCGGAGTAGTGTATCGCCCATCTTCCGGTGATGTCAATGTCAATTCCACACGATCCACATCCCCAACAGATGGAAGTTTCCCGGTAACTTCAATAGATGTTTGGTTTGCCGAAGTGACATTCAAATCCATAACAGCCGCTGGGTCTAAGATCACAAAGATATGCATTTTGGCATCATTAGCCCTAGAATCTACATGGGTTATTTCAGCGTAACACTTTGGGGGTTCTTTAAGACTGCTTTGAACAGAATTAAGAGTCCTAAAACATATTTCAGTCAGTGATTCAGAAACATTATACTATAAGTCTCATACATAGCATGTGTAATGCTAATCAACATAATGAGCACAAGATCATATTTTGAGATAAAAGGTATTATGAACATTCTTGCCTTTCCTTTTATCTTTAAACAATAAAAGAAATCATTGCCAATTTGAAGAAAAACATGATCAATACAGCAGTAATAAAAAACCTTGTCCTGGAAGGGATAAAGGATAGCTTATTTACCTGTTCGGGTGGTGTAATTGAACCCTTCCGAGGAGTCTGGATTGTATGCTATGATGTATACAGTGCCGGTACGGTTCAAGTCAATCTCCATTATTCGTGGGGAGGAGCAATCCGTCTCAGAGAGGAGGGTTTCAGTCACACTCTGATCCCTCGACCAACTCGTCAGAGTGAGATTCGAGGTGGTGTTTGAAAACCAGGCAAGATTTACGCTCTCTTCTCCCCTGTTGATGACGGTGAAACCATCTAATGGGACCAATTCTGAAAGGCAAACAAACATCATCAGAGGCAATAGGCGGTTCTCCTGTTAATACACAATCAAAGATAAAGTTCAGTTCTGGTCATACAAATGCATGACTCAGTCATGTAGAAATACTGTAAGTATGCGTGACCACAGGTTTTCCAGACACCTCTAAATGAGGATTTCTTCTGAAGCCAAAATACACCCTAAATGAGGATTTTGCATGTTTTTTTCCCAAATTCACACTCAAACGGGTGCTTCAAAAAAATTAACTCCTAAACAAGTATTGTAAAATTGTAACCACTTGAGCATTTTGAAGTCGCTAGGGATTACCATTTAAGTTGTTGACAATGTAAACTAAATCAAATTGCGCTTCTGATGTGAAATTCACAATGTAAACATTTATTTCAATAGAGAAGCAATTAGGTTTAAGGCCATCATTAGTCCTTTCTTTGAAAGAAAGAATTACATTACAAATTTGATCTATTTTATGTAAAATACAAGTAGTGTTTACAAAAAATATACAATGTACAATAAACATTTACTATTCTACTATGCAAAAGAAAATATAAGGGACCAGCTATAGGTGTGAGACTTGGTAAGTCAGTGGGGTTTTACACTATAAACCCTGAAACTGATCGTAAAATCGATCGGATTGATTTTAAGGGCCTAAAGTTGATTTGATGAAACAGTTCACAAGTATCAGTTTTAAGCTAAAACAGATTCGGCCTTGAAATTGTTATTTAAAATCAAAATCAATTCTAGTTGATGCAACACCCCCTGGGTCGGTATTGTGGGCATCCATCTCGATCTATTGAATGTGTAAAGAATGGCAGGCGGCGACCGGTAGTTTCACCAATGGGCATTATTACACCTTTTTCTTCCCGGTCTGGCCTTGAGGGCTGGAAAAATACCCCTAAACACGTATACCGGCGCGTACAGCAGGGTTTTGAACTATTTTAAAAAATAAACAAAAATTCTTGAAAATGGCCCAAAATGGACATTTTGGAACGCCTTAATGCGGCACAGCGCGGACCGTGTCATTTCTCCAAAAACACCCCTTTATACACGTTTTTCTCTCCCCACCTCTCCTCTCCTAATTCCCCTACCACATTGTCTCTCTCTTAATAGTGCTTTCAAATTCTGCGCCTGCCTAGAACCCTTTAATATCTCTTATTAAGCTACATGTGATTTCACTCCAGGGTCTGTATGTCTATGTATATCTAATATCACTCATATATTTTGATCTCTTTTCTTGTTGTTTCTTTATGCATTTCATTGCTTGTAAGAAATTGCCATGACGAATTAAATTGAATTGAATTGCATAATCTCCCATTTTCAGGAGAAGGATGGGGGGGGGGGTTGTATGTCTGAACACTTTATATTGTACATAGAAAATTAAAGCTGTCTCTTTTGCATTTGTTTGTTCAGGAAAAACATATAACAAACAAACTTTTGTTCCTATTGAATGCAGTGTTATTCATTCACCTCTCCCTAAGTGACGTGACCCAGTTTTATGAAACTTTTAGCACAACCAAGTTGCACTAACTGTTATAAGCTACCAAAACTGTTGCATTTGATTGGCTGTGAGGAGATTTGTTATAGAAATGTGGCACTTTTTAATATTGATAACATGTTCTTTATGAAATGGGAACCAGGTGGGTTTTTTTCTTAAGTGTACCAATAACCTAAAAATTATTTGTGTACAGCCAGAAATGGTACAATCAATCTAAAAAAAAAAAGATAAGGAGTATGGAGAAAATACAGAATAGCATAAAACTGCGAAAATAAAACCCTATTCCGGTGAGTCGATTGGTCTACTCACAAGACGCTATTATTTATTTGCGAGTGTATTTCATTTTAAAGAATTTCTTTACAAAAGTAATGTTTGAAGCTCATATTTTGACTACCGGTACATGTATAGTATTGCAACATGGTACAGTCATACCTGCTTTAGTGACCACCTGTCCACAAAGACCACCTGTCTACAACAACCACATTTTTTGTTTCCCTTGAAAATGGTTTCTCATTGAAACATGTCCTCAAGGAACCTGTCTACAAAGACCACTTTTTTGTGTTTCTCTTGGGTGGTGGCTATAGACAGGTTTGACTGTACTACTAACATTTACAAAAGAAAATATATTTTGAAGATTGGTAAAAATTTAGTGGTTATTAGAATAAGAGACTTCAGTAATACCTGTAGATGCACTGAGGTTTACACCTGGGCTATATGCCTCTAGCCAAACGTCATCAATTGCTGCAACTTCAGACCTGACCTCTATGTTATACATCAGCGAGGGTGGGAGGTTGTCGATGACGTAGTCACCACTCTTAAAGAATTCAATGTTCCTTATATCTTCATACGAACAGAAGTCTGGGTTGGTGGATGCGATTCTAATGGCATACGTTTCGGCATCGCCTGGGCCCGCCACGATGTCCAGTGTTATTGTGGTTTCTGTGGTATCCCTGACAGCTACCATAGGTGTTAATGGAGCTGCAGATGAGTATCAGAATAGAATGACTTTGGCATGTATTCATAAAGGTGAACTAGCTATTATAAAAATAACCCGTTGCCTACAGGAAATGGGTGGCTCCTGTTCAGATATGGCGCGGTAAACAGACACAGAAAAGCCGCTGCTTCTTTGTAAAATGAATCGCAACTGCGAGCCACTTGCAGGTATTCACAGAGCGTTGTGTTATTATTATTATTAATTTGGCATTTCAAACATACAATAGAAGGTACAATAGAATGGCACATAGGATACAAAGTATGAAAGGATAAAATTGGCTTCCCCTGCTGCACCTCTCGAAGTTGCCCGGAAGAAAAAAAGGTATGTGACATTTCTATAACCCGTAAGTCTTTTCTTCCAACTCCAGGGAGTGCATCAGGGGATGCCTAAAATATTATACATAATCAGACTTTAAAAAGACAAAAACAACAACTTATTGATGACAATGTATAAACTTAAGCTCAATAAATTGCAATATGTTATCTCAGGTGTCACTGGCATGTCTGTCTAAGTGGAGCAAAAAAGAAAAGTGAATAGCAGAAATTGCAATTGAATAATAGTTACTATGTTGCACTTCAGAAAGATTTTGGGAAATAAAACTAAGCGGTCAGTTTGAGATGTGCGATAGAAACAAATATAATGAGGGAAAATACAAATCAATCTCCTAATATTCAAATTATATATTCAATTAAAATTATATCCAAACATCAAATTTTGATGTCTTTTACATGTGTTCATAGATTATTATTATAAGATATAGAAATGTAAAGAGTCTACGATTTGACGTCATCACAAAAAAAAACTGCCATGCTTTTGCCATTTCATATCAGAACGAGCCTTTACTGGTACCGCCATTGCCAGCAGAAAGAAGAACCCAATCTGATATGCGACATCAGATGCTGACAAGTGACTTTATTGGATGGAAGGAGCCAGCAAGAATGGGGAAGTGACTTACGCAATCTGAGCAGAAATGAACTCTCGAGATCTTCATCGACGACGTAGATTGAAACGTTATAGACGGTTCCTGGCATGAGATTGGTGAAGGCTACCCTGTTGTTGTCGCCTGGTACGATTACAGCATGGTCTGGGTTGATGCTAAAGTTGAATGAACTGCCATTGCCCCCATGGATTAATTCCACTGAAGAGTTACCCATCTCCAAAATGAATACTTCAGAAGCTGGTAGAGACACTAAGAAATCAACAATGAACAACATTTTGAAAGTAACATGTATATAGTATTGCCAAATCAAAAATATTACATCACAATGTATCTTCTTTTATCATTATTTTTGTTATCTTCATTATTATCATCATCAATATCGTTATCCTTATTATTATTATTATCATTACTATCATCATCAATATTTACTATCATTTATTTAGCAAAGACAAAAGAGAAAAGAGAAAAGAAAAGAGTCAATACAAAATGACATTAAAGTTTGAAGAGAGTCACATGGGTGTTGGGAAATGCAAAAGATTAACAAAAGAACTATAATCCAAGAGTCTTCTTTTCCAATCAATGTGACTTGATATGATGCAATTTGATATGATCAACTAGATGGAACTTCGACTGCGCGCAGTCGAAATGATGCCTCCGTCATAGAGCAATTTTACAAACCAAAACAGAAGAAATTGTTCAAATTCAAGTTCAATTGTAATCCATTAACAGGTTCTCAGAATATCGTGATTACAAGCAATTTCTCATATACATATATGACCCTTTGATCTTTGACCACATGACCCTAACATCTACTCAGTTCATTGGCTCTGCAAGATGTCCCGAGTTAAATAGTAATCCATCTGTCAGTTCTAATGAGAATGCGTTCACAAGCTATTTTTGCATACATAATGAGCCCATGACCTTTGACCTTTGACCTCATGACCCAAGAATCTACTCAGTTCATTGGCTCTGCAAGATACATACATGATCTAAGTTTGGGAGGAATCCATCAATCTGTTCTAATGATAATGCGATCACAAGCTATTTTTGCATGCATAATGAGCCGCATGACCTTTGACCTTGACCTCATGACCCCAAAATTTAATCAGTTCATCGGCTCTGCAAGTAACATACATGACCTAAGTTTGGCAGGAATCCATCAATCGGTTCTTGAGATAACGCGATCACGAGCTGTTTCAGCATACATAATGAGCCCTGTGACCTTTGACCTTTGACCTCGTGACCCCAAAATCTAATCAGTTCATCGTCTCTGCAAGATACATACATGACCTAAGTTTGGCAGGAATCCATCAATCGGTTCTTCAGATAACGCGATCACGAGCTATTTTTGCATACATAATGAGCCCTGTGACCTTTGACCTCGTGACCCCAAAATCTAATCAGTTCATCGGCTCTGCAAGATACATACATGACCAAAGTTTGGCAGGAATCCATCAATCGGTTCTTCAGATAACGCGATCACGAGAACGGGACGTATGAACATACGGACGGACGGACAACCCGAAAACATAATGCCTCCGGCTACTTCGTAACGGAGGCATAAAAATTGAGATTGAGACGTTATTTATAGGCAGGGTGGCATATTAGCAGGCCCCCCAAAAATGAAATCTTCTGAATATTATCAGCATTTTTAAGTGAATATTGACTCATCATGAATCGTCATGACCTCTGACCTTGTCTTTGTGACCTGGAATCTGTGTCATATGATATGTTGCCATTAAAGCTGATATTCTAAGCAAATAAATGTCCCTTAATTTGGTACCTAGGGCAAGCATGTGTTATTTATAAGTTTTTCAATTACAAAGTATATCACAAAAAAATTCTGGCTACTCTAAATCCTTGATTGAATTGTCGAAAATATCTGCCTCTCTTTGCATAGAAAATCAGTCACGGCGCTGGTCTACTACATATGACATCACGTCCTTGAAAGAGTATATTCACGTACCCGGATGTTCCATAAAAACCATGTGCAGAGAGATATGATTTTCTGCTTATTTTGTTTCAAAGGCTGAAAAGTTTAATACATAGTTATAGTATAGTTGTCTGGTAAATGGACCCACAGTTCATTACCATACAGCGATCTCCCGATGGTTTCTTCTTCCCGCTTTCCCCATGTCTTTCGCCTAATTCCTTGGTCCTGAATTAAGATCCTTCATCTTCTTCCATGATGTGCATTGTGCGATCTACCGATTTTGACACCAGTAGACACTGAGGAGCAGGTCTTTGTTAGTTGTTTTTTTAGCTGGTAATGTCGCTTTCATTCTCTTGCAATTACTGATAAACATATAACTAGCGCATGTACGTTCCACCACAAGCAAGCCGCGCCTACAGCAGCGGCCTGGTCTTACATCCTGATTCTGCTCTTTTGTGCAAAAGCCGCAGCACTCGTGGATGAATATCGTTCGATCACTAATTAGACGTTGTCAACATATTATACAGTGTGTCTCTAAAAAAAGTAAACCCAACTTCAACGGCAAATTTTCAGAAAACTATAAAATATTTACACATTATTTTTTATGGTTAGATAGTCCAATAAGTCCTCTGTCCAATGATACCACGTAGGTTATGTAACTCTCATGCATGACTGAGCATGATTCAACTTAGTGAATGGGTGTGAAATCATCACTGTGGCAAGTTAGAATTGCACTGGAAGTTCATCAATCAAATGACATAGGAAATGTCTGATTTCTTACAAGCATAGCTTAGGGATGTGTACCCTCGACATGACCGCCATTCCTTTCCATGCAAAGCTCGCAACGCCTCCTCATGTCCCTGACAGCACGCCTGATCATTCTCTGATCTTGTCGTAATCGGTTCACTTCACCTGTTATCTGTTGCCTCAGCTCCTGAATTGTGGCCGGTGGGGTTTGGAACACTTTTCCTTTAAGATACCCCCAAAGAAAGAAATCGCATGGTGTCAGATCTGGTGAACGTGCAGGCCACTCAACTGGGAAATGAAGAGCAATGATGCGATTGCCAAAGAGTTCAGTCAAACGATTCCTCACAGCAATAAGTCTGTGGGCTGGGGCCCCATCCTGAGCCCACCAGGCCCTGCGGAATGCTCCACGTCGTTGTCGGGGGAAGATCTGTTCCATCTCAGGCACAATAAAATTGTTCAGCATGTCAAGGTACGCCCTGCCATTGATGTTGCCTTCAAAAAAGTAAGGTCCCACCAATGAACCATTGCCACAAAGACCAATCCAGACACTCACTTTCTCCCTGCTCATGTTCTTATTAAAAGCATATCCCGGTGGATGATGGAGTTCAGCATACTCGTGCTCATTGTGGGTGTTTACCATTCCATCCATGGAAAACGTTGCTTCATCCCCGATGGTAAAAAACTGGAGGAACTGTCGATCTCGGTTGCACCGGTTCACAAACCATTGTGAAAATTGAAGTCGTCTGGGAAAATCAGCTGGTAGAAGTTGGTGCTGAACATGAACATGATATGGATGGAGATGCAAATCCAGTCTTGCTATTTTGTTAAAAGTTGCGCGTGGTATTCCAGTATCATTTCTCCTGGTGCTTATGCGTGGGTTGGCTTGGATGGCCTCTCTTACCACTTGGATGTTTTCAGCAGACCTCCCAGTTCGTCTGTGGCCAGAGTGTCCTTTATTCCTGTTCAAACTGGTTCCGTGATCAGCATACTTTCTCACATTGTACCAGATGGCTCTTTTTGTTGGAGGCTGCCTCTCGGGGAACTGCACCCGAAAAGCATCTTGAACTTCCACGAAACTTCTTGTTTCCTGGTATCGAGTTACCAGGAATACTCTCTGCTCAATTGTCAACTGTACCATGTTTGGAAAGCATGTGAAGTGTGCCTGTGTTAGGAACAACCTTTGCTGAAGTTGTTATGTAATCATAGGCCTAACATGTGACAAAAATTTAACTTCAAATAGGCCCTGAATGCATGACAATAGCAAGAAATAACTTGCCACAGTGATGATTTGACACCAGTTCACTAAGTTGAATCATGCTCAGTCATGCATGAGCGTCAGATAACCTAAGTGATATAATTGGACAGAGGACTTATTGGACTATCTAACCATGAAAAAATAATGTGTAAATATTTTATAGTTTTCTGAAAATTTGCCGTTGAAGTTGGGTTTACTTTTTTTAGAGACACACTGTAGAGGAAGATCGCTTGCATGATCTCATTCAAGTTAGATATTTTACAACATAAAATGTTTAACTAGTACTGTATCCTTTTTTGAGGCAGTCACACACATCTATGATAAGTACTATCATGGTTCTAGTCCTATTCGTTTGACAAAACTGCTCCTGTACCTTATTTGATGACAAGATAATGCATCCGCCTATTCATACGTGCATGATTTAACTTTGTTTCCCAAGCAGTAAATTCGTCTTAAATCTCTACCAAATAGGTGAATATGAGGATATAAAAAGAAATCAGCGACTGGAAAATGTTGCTTCGTTATTCTTCATTCCAATGAAAACAGAAAATCCATCAAATATACTCATTAACAACAACAAATCTAAGCTCTGACAGGATAGCATTTACGTAGGGATATCACTGCCATCCACTCTCACTAAGCCCATGAGTCTCGTTCGTGACGTCACGGATAGAGGCCCGACTCTACATGCATTTCCGGGTTTCAGACTTAGATATTTTGGTAGAGTTTACTCGCATAAATTCACCATTCTAAACTTGTTTTTGTCAGTTGGACACCATTTAGTGTTATTCTGGGGGTTAAAAGCTTTCTATTCATGTAATTATCTCAATATTTGGGATTGTCTTAGAATATCAACTTTAATACTTCATCCAAAGATGCTCATATTGTATTAACACTTTGGAGACGACGGGCTTCTACAGAAGCCGAGCGAGTTGTTAAGTCTGTGACGACGGGCTTCTACAGAAGCCGAGATGTATCCCTAATTTATTGACAAAGCTTTCCAGCTTATTATTAGATATTATGTGCTAAAGTTCTTTGAAGTATTCTTTAGATATATTCATTCATCTCATCTATTAAAAAAATAATAAAGTTACGTGGAAAAAAATCGAAAAAAAGGTGATATCATTTCAACTTAACCCTAAGTTAGTGTTCGGATCGAAATAACCGTACAGCTGGAGACGGACGCGTACGTGCGCGTCCGTTCTACATTCTTGCCTTGATTCAAGGCTTTGGATTATTGGTTTTGTTGGTGAAGATGATTACATGGCGATTTTCCATCAGTGATTGGATGATTTTTGCTGGTCAATATGAGAGGGCGTTTTTTCCCACATTTCGATAGATGTATTGTAGTTATTCATATAATAATATTATTAGGCCTATAGTAGTCCTAGTCATGAAGACCTATTCCTTTTAAATTAAATTTGCGATTCGCCGTGTTTCACTTGGCTACAAATAACCGACCTTACTCTAAACTGTGTAAGTAAAAAAAGTATGCTTTGATAAAAGGAGTTGGTAATTCTTCTCCCCTATGATTACCAGTGCCTTTTCATTTCATCAACTTGACCAATTTAGCGAATCATTCATGTATGGACCTCCTCTTTTATGAAACGCTTATCTCAGCTTATCTCAGCACCCTACCCTTAGAGGAACAAACGAATGTAAAGAAGTATCGACTCTGGAAGATTACTGTTTTGAAAGAAGAGGATGCAGAAGACAATCATTGTCATTGACAAAAGGGGAATGAATGGAGGTATCGACCGATCTGCGCGTGCGGAGGTGCTTGCGCATTTTGTATTGTGAGTGTATTGAAAAGGAAAGACGTGAAGCTTCAGCAAAATAAGACCGCAATTTCCCTCAAAAATAACAGACCTTATTTTTCGTATTGAAGAACAAAACTTATATTTTTAGAAAGAAAAAAGTCTGATCTTTCATGTTTACATTTACTAAAAATCACGAAAATGACTGAATGAGGCGCAATGGTAGGCGAAAGTAGAAAGCACCGCCAAATTTTCCATTACTGGCGATGTAACCGAAATCGCTCCGTCACAGGGGAAACAATCGCTGTGCGCGGGCTCGCTCTCAAAGGGTTAAAGTAATCTAAATCAGTTCAAAAGTATGTTGAATATTAACTGTATTCATTTACATTTACTACTCATAAGTATGTACCGGTATGTATTTTTTTCTTCGGATGTCAGTTATTGTAAAAAAAATAATGATATCACAATTCAGTTTTATGACTGAGAAGATTTTTGAATCAATAAAGTATGTAAAATCAATCAAATCCAATTTACAAAATAATAAAAAAAATCATTACTTCCCAACCGAACATGAGCTTATATAACGTACGTGTAGTAAAGCTGATCCTCTCTTCAGGGCCAAATTGTTCTTCAAATCTAGCCGTGGCATTGCTGAGGGCCTTCACACGGACGTTGTAACTGGTTGAGGGTTTCAGGGCTTCTAAGGTGTATTGGACTAATGGATTGAACGTTCTCAACTGCTGTCCTGGAGGAGAGTATTCTTGATCTTGAAGGGAAGTCACGACTAATATAACACCATCATAGCTGCCTGTGGACGGGTCAGTCCAACTGAACTGAGTTGACGTTTCCATCGTTTTCGAAAGGGATACACTGTTAAGGATCTGAGGATCTGAGCGGGGAGCAAATTACATAGAATACAACTGATGATTGGTTTGTGTATAATTGAAGAAAAGATATTGAAAAAACAAGAAAAATGGAAAATCTCTAAAAAATCTTCCATGAACAAATTATTGATTTTAAGTGTGTTGATTTCATTCACCTACATAGAGCAATTTGATATTTGAAAAAATAAACTGTACTGTAATGCTTGTTTGTTTAACAATGACTTTGTTATTGACTATATCATCTTGTTATTAGTTTTATGAAACAGATTTTCACTTCTATAACAGGTTGCCATAGTCGTAATTAGATTTGTTATAGATATCAAATTTGTTATACGGTAGTCGTAAATTAAATTTTTTATGAAACGGGCCCAAGGAACGCAACATGCATTTAATAGCTTGTTAATTAGAGGTTCTTTTTTACACATTTGATGAGAGTTCAGCTAACATTACGCCTGATGGTATATACATTTACCAGCTTCATATCCTAACAATGTGGTTCTCTACCTCTGTGTGATTGCATTATGATTTTCAACAGTGAAGATGAGTCTGTTTGCAACACTACATTTCACTAAGCTACTCAAACCTTTTCAGATCAGTTAAACAATTATAAGAGAATACGACAGAAATAAATCTGCCATGGACTAGTATAAGATTTATATACTCATTACCATTATTGTAAAAATGTACCACATATCGTTATATACAGTGTTTGATACATGGATATTGGCATTTCAAAAATAAATTGACAAAACACTCATACTGCACATGAATAGCCAATTAGCAATTAAATTAACAATCAACTTCTAACAGAATTTTTTAAAATTGAGCAAGAAAAAAATTGATGTTTTTCGTACCTGTCCTGTACTCTGTGAATGGATGCCCGAAGGGAGAAGTCACATTAAAGCCTACAATTATTCCCCTTGTTAAGATCCATGTTATGAAGCTTGAATCTTCACAAGATCCACTTGTTGAGATGGACAGGGATGTAAATGTAAACTCAGTGTCAAACAAATAAAGTGCCAATATTTCTTGCTGGTCGTCTCCAATATCTCTGCTGGGTATTACGGTCACCCTGCCGTCCACAACTCCATTGGAATCTGAATAAAAGACAAAGAGAATGTGAAGACAGTAGAAGAAATTATCTTGAGGAGAACAGAGAGAGACATGACACAGAAGATGTGTGGTGTGAAACTATCTGATAGAAAGGGAGCTCATGGAAAGGATAGGTCTGAAAGAAACTGGGTTGGAAGTGGTAAAGAGAAGTCGATTGAGATAAATGGATCATGTGTAATTGAGAAGGGAAGATGATGAACTTGTGAAAGGAGCATGGGATCTGGAACTGGATGGTGTTAGAGGGAAAGGAGGACTGACGATTGCATGGAAAATATGGTGAAAAAGAAAGCAGCAGTAAGGTTGGTCTAAATGCTGAAGACAAGGAGAAGTGGAGGGAGGGAGTGTCATCATGGTGCAAAAGTCATTAACCCCTCGCAAGAGGGAAAATGCTGACGGATGTTAATAAATGATGAAGATGATGATGATGATGAGGGAGAGAGAGAGAGAATAACTTCCAAGTCGGATACATAGGCTTCACAAGAATTTGTGTAATTATCCATTTGTGTAAACCTTGGAAAGTATATCAACTGTTCAGAGCCAAGAGGGCGTTAACTCTGTATCAAAGAATATGAGTAAACGCCCTTCTGGTCCCAACCAGACGACCCAACGGCAGGCACGTCACTTACATGGCACATATATGTGCCATGCATCTGTGTGAGCCCAAAGTAGAGTATTGTCAGAGGTACTGTACTCTAAGGGTGAATTGCCATTTGACTAAATTGACCATTTAGGCTAATTAATAGTCAGGTGGCTTAGCGTCAAATCTATCAATTATCGTTACTTGCTGGATAAAAGCACCATTTTTTGTTAACAGGGCTTCATTAGGACCTACTAAACGATATTAGGCTAGGAGCGCCCGGCAAAAATGTCAATTTAAGGGTGTGGGGACAGGGGCGTCTTTTTGGAGCCCCCAAATAATTTCATAACATTGATTTGTTGTTGTACAAATTCTAAATTCTCTTTTTTTCCCGCAAAAATAGGATTTTTTTTTTTAATCAAAAAAAATAAATAAAAAAATTATGATGCAGGATATAAAACAAATATATCATGCCTTCTATTCGAGGTACTGGTTAAAACTATGGGCCTTGTGACTCCAAAAGTACTATTGGAGTCACCTCTTGCGCATAGTTTTAACCAGAACCTCTTAAGACAGTGTATATTTGTATACTATATGGGAATAGACCAATTCGGTAGTAGACAAACTAGTTGTGGACCAAACGGCTATGAACCTACTCGTGTACCTACCTGTAGATACTGTGATAACAGCAGGGTCACTCTTCTTCTCCTCATTGGCCACGGCCACAACGCTGATCGTAAAGTTTGTAGCAATCCTTAGATCCGTCAGCGTTATGTTAAGATCACTAGTGTTCATCACCGGGAGAGAGATCCCTCCACATGCTTTAGACGTTGCAACAATCTCGTACTCTATGCCCTGACCAGAGCTCTCATCCCACGACAACACTATCTGGTCATAGGTGGCGGACAACATAGCCAAGCCATTTGGTGGTAGTGGAACTGTTTGGGTGAACCAGGAAATAAAAAGGAAAATGAACAAAAGAAATGAGGTTGCATAAAGCATCAATTTTTCCCAAAGGAAAATATACAGAGGATATAATAACATGAAATATAGACGTTGAGGGGGATATAATGATACTAATGAATCTGGATATACAATGTGCTTAATATGGTAGAAGTAGTAGTAGGAATAGACTGTATCAGATAACTTGTTTAGCATAAGGCTAATCTGCCACAAAGTCCATTGTGGACAGAATGCCATCTGTAAGAACTCTACAGATATTATTATTATTACCCAAGTTATTGATTCATTCGCACATGGAGTGTCCACAATTTCTATTTCCTGGGGAGTATTCATACCATATGGTACTGGAGAGCATATGTCAATTTCTATCACAAAGGTTTTTGTCATCCTACCAGGTCCCCATTTTTCTCCTAGGTATTGAGTAGCAAATGTAGACTAATGTAATTGCCAAAGGACGTTACAATGGTGCCGTGTCAGAGATCAATCCTTTAGTTTCTTCATAGTTATTAACCCCAAAACACAATGCCTCTGGCCCAACCTTCAGTTGGCGGGGGAATAAAAATGAGCCCGTCAATATCATTAATTATATTTTGAATAACAGGTTTTGAGCTAGCAAAAAACTCCGGACATCTTGAATGCTTTGAGCAAGAGTAAAAATTACCATGCAGTACATTTTTAATATCTAGTGGTTTGCGGAAGTTCCCAGATGACCATGAAGTAAAATTTCATATCTCATAGCTTGGAACGTGTTGAAATAAGCACAAGCAAAAGACAACGGAGGTTGGCGTGCAGCCCTTGCAAAATACATGGGTAAGGACATAATCATTTTTTTTTCTTTGGATGTTTAACAGGCAACTCCATACAAAAAACATTAATTTTTTGAACATGGAGAAACTATGTGTAGGATTCAAACAATTGACCCTACCACCAAGTACTTTTTTTGTAATTAGGTGGAATTAGGACCAAGGCTTTGTCTTCGCTCCTCTTACAACCGTAAATATCAATTTCACAAGATTTCTAGCTAGCAAGCTCTTTGTGAAATGGTTTAGGAAGATCGGAGACATCTCCATTGTTGGCGGATAAAGTTTGAACTGTCTTGTCCTTGGTTTCGAGAAACAGGCCTCAGTTTCTTAAAGGCTAAGTCCACTCCAAAAATAATTTGCTTATAATATATGCAGAAAAACAGAGCAAACAAAATTGGACAACTAAATAAGGCAGTTATGAATTTTTGAAAAAGTATGATAACTATCGAACAATGGAAATCACTACACAAATTGCCAATTTGGTTATCAGTTTGTGACGTCATTTCCTCACTATTAATTAATTGCTTTATATATTTTTATCCCAATTAATTTCCCTTACTTATCCCCCAAAACTTGATTTCCCCATGTCTTTGCCCAGGTTATGTTATTAGTATCGTATTGCGTGCATGACATTTCACAAAATCATTTATGAACTTTGAAGAATCGATACTATTTTCTGAATATTGTATATTCATAATTACTGATTTTTACATAAATAGTTTATCAAAATTCACACATTTGTCATGATGTATCCACACAAAAACATATAACTATCAATAAAACTTGGATGCTGATGTAAGGAAATAAGATTTTTAGGGGGAAAATGGAAAATTTATATTATCAATATAGTGAGATAGTGAGGCAATGACGTCATAGACGTATGAGTGAGTTGCCAATTTGTCTTGGGATTGTCAAAGTTTTTCCTGTCGTTAAAAAATTCTTAACTTTCATATTAGTTATCCGATTTTGCTCAAACGTTTTTTGATTGGTTTGTCTGATTTTTCTGCTTCGGTTGGAAATAAGATATTTTTGGAGTGGACTTGGCCTTTAAATAACAGACATCAGGGAATGCATCTCATAATGGACTGGGCCGGTATTTAAGTCAATACTTGTGTTAGAAAAATGAGTATTTAACTCAGTTTTTCAGTTCAGATAAAATACCCAGCCAACATTGATCTTAAGTTGAAATTTTAGGCTAGTATTTTACCCTAATAAGTTTTATGACAGCTCCCAAACAGACTTAAGCCAATTATTTTGGAAGCATTGATTGGCAGGCTTTTGGTTTTCATATGGAGTCATCCCTTGCTGCGCACATTCAATGCATCACATTAATTACGCAATATTTTGGATTGAGAATGTGACGTAGATATTTTACCTTACAGTCGGCTTGCTAAAGTAAACTGCTTAGATATGATCTGAATAAGAGTTAAGACTAATTACTTAGCTACGTAAAATGCTAAGTATAATACTGACTTAATTGAAGTACTGAATTGACTACAAGCCCTGGTTGGAACAACATACCAGTCATGTAAGCCTACATGCCAAAGCAGGTGCATATGCACAATGTAAAAGTAATGTAGAAATGAGAAGGGGTTCGAGAAAAAAAAGATTATCCCTGTGTTGGGGAAAAGAAATAAATTCTCCCAAAATACAAGAAAATAAAGTGAAAATGGGGTAGGGAAACAGAAGGAATTCTGCCCATGAGTACTTTAGAACCACAACCTTCACAGAACTAGAATGCAGAACACATACCCGTGAATGAGGACACATTCAAAGACACACCCACGGAGCTGTTCGTAATGAAGATAGTGTACTGAGTGCCTGGCTGCAAACCACGATAGGTAACAAGACCATTGACCATGTCTAGGTCCATTTCTGTTCCCTCATGAGTAGGTTCGATCGAATGATCATAGGTATAGGATGACACTCCCCACGCCACCTGGATGTAGTCTGTACCGCAGTCAACAAGAAGAATCTCCTCACGTTCAGGGGCATCTGATCAAATGTCAAGTAATGGAACATATAATAATAATAATATTAATGATAATAACAATAATAATGTTTGTTTTTGTTTTTTTAACATTCATAATAATTATAATGGTTATAATTGTAATAGTATTAATCATAATAATTAAAGTAATAAAAAAAGTTGAAATAATATTAATAATGATTATAATAATAGTATGCATATTAATAATAATACATATAATAATGATAATAATCATAATAATAAAAGGTTCCTGTATAGTACATAATACGTTAAAATATAAAAAATGAAGATATCCCTTTGCACTTCTAAAAGAGTTTGGATAATCTTAACCTGGCTTAATTTAGCTCTAGCAGCCGTAATAGGTGCACAGTGCATTTCAAGGATTAAATTCTATCAGGTACCCATTTAATACATGTAACACCTGGGTGGGGAGTGGCTAATGTGGGTTAATTCTTGTCAAAAAGACGTAAGTGTCCGGGGCCCTGTTTCATACAACTTGAAATCAATAAGTTACAAGCTACTGTTATATTAAGCTACCGAAATCATGGCATCTGATTGGCTGAAAGCAAATTTGTCATAGAAATTTGGCAGTAGTTATAGATGGCCAGTTTAATGAAATGGGCCCCTGGTTCAAACTCACAACCCTTGGACTGCTAGTCAAGTGAATGAACAACTATACCATGGCACCTCGATTTCACATCACCGCATTTTCATAACAAAAAAATGCAAGACATGTGCGACTTTGTCTCCAATATACCTCCACTAAATTTAGTTAAATTCATAGCTTGAATTATTCTTGAAATATCATGAGAACAAAAAACCTATACTTGCATGTCAATTGTTCTGTATGACCTATGACCTTTGACCTGATACTACCTAAATCTGATCACTTGTCTCCCTACAGTGATGAATAGCGATTACAGGTTGTTGAGTTCAAAGCAAAAATAGCTTGAAATAGTCATTGATTTTGTAATAAGATGAATGCAACTGCATCTCTAGCTTGTCTCCCCCTGTATGCAAGTGTATGTTCAGTGATAAATGATCCTGTGACATTTAACAGCTGACTTTACGAACTCAAACTTTTCATTTAATCTGTTCATGCTCGTACATACTTGAGCCCAGTTTGGTCAACATAGGTTCAATTTTTGGTATTAGTTATCTGTTGAATAAGATGTTTTATTAACACTTTCATGACCCTGTAATCTTTCACTTTTGACCTCTTACACCCAAAATCACTTCATCCTTGCATACTCATACATGATACTTGAGCCAAGTTTGGTTTGAATTGATTCAATGAATTTCAAGTTAAACGAAAGCAGCTCCTTTCTGCTGGGCGAACTGCAACTACATCAGGCAAAGGAGAATTCAAGATAAGTTCAGCTTTTGCTACAGGATTTGAAACAGCTCATCATCAAGTACTTCATGTCTCTTCTCTCTCTTCAGACCATCTCGGGAATTTCTCCGTTTGACGTCACTCATTGGCCAGGGGGGTCTTTCACAAAGATTCTAGTCGAACTTAACTCTATTTTGGACTTAAATATTATGGAAAGCCATCTGTAGCTTTATAGTGAAATATATTCAAAAGCAAAAATTTAAGTATTTTAGACTTTTTTTTAATTCCACATCAAGAACATGAAATCTCCCATGATAATAGAAAATATGAATGAACATTTTATGCCTTTTAAAATAAATTTTACAAAATATTTTCAAGGATGCTAATGGCTTTCTATAATTGTTAAGTCCAACTTAAAGATAAGGTCAAATTTAGGTCTTTGTGAAACACCCCCCAGATCCTGCCTTCACCCTCTGTTCATGATTTGGGTGTCATCTTCGACAAGAATGTGAACATGCATGGGCACATCAACATGGTTTGTCGCAAGGCTTCACTAGCACAAAGACGTATTGGGAAGATTCGGCCCTACTTGAACAAGAACGTGAACGAGATCCTCGTACATGCTTTTGTGTCTTCCATTCTCGATAACTGTAACAGCCTCCTGCATGGAGTCCCAGATAAAGATGTAAGTAAACTCCGAAGAATTCAGAATTCAGCAGCAAGACTTGTTTCCAGATCCAAGAAGCGCAACAACACCACGCCCATCCTCAAAGAACTTCACTGGCTGCCCATTAAACCCCGAATCAACTTCAAAGTCCTACTTCTCACCTTCAATGGCGTCCACGGTCTCGCTCCTCACCTCACTTCTGAACTGGTATCCTCATATAACCCTTTAAGATCACTAAGGTACTCCACCTAACAACTTCTGCAAGTACCACGACAGATAACAAAGACGTACGGTGAAAGGTCCTTTGCTTATAGCAGCCCAACCCTTTGGAACTCTCTACCAAGTGCTCTTCGTTCTCAGAATAACCCTGAACTCTTCAAGAAACAACTAAAAACATATCTTTTCAATGATGCATTCAATTAGATCACGTTTTGTAGATTAATTTCATATAACTATTTTTGTTGTTTAATATTGTTTTGTATCTTAAGTGTAGAATAAGGTATTGATATTTTTTGTATTTTTAAAGTGTAGAATAAGGTATTATTTTGGATGTAAAGCGCATTGAGAGTTTTGACAGTTCTGAAATGTGCTATATAAAATGTATTATTATGATTATTATCATAAGTGTCAACCTAAAAGTGGGAACCTTCAAGTGCTTGTGTCAAGCGGAAGGTATCTAATCCTAACTCTAGTACAGATGGTAAATGCAAAACTCTTAGTTTCTTTCTACGCTATGCAAAAAGGTTGTTTGAGAAGAGAAACCTTTTGCTTCAAAGGAAAGAAACTTGCATCCATCTTCTTAACAGAGAACTCAATAGACAACTGAAAAAGATCTATCTCAAGTTTGTAAAACCAGCATCAGTTTCGTCAGTAGCTCTTATACAATACAAAGAAAGAGAACATCATCAGGTGCCCGTTTCACAAAGCCTTTTTTCAATGACAAATGACAAAAATCAGTGACAAATCTGCTGACAACCAATCAGAAGCAAGGATTTCAGTAGCTTATAACAAAAACTGTTATTTATCACTGATGACAGGTTTTGTGAAACGCCCCCCAGAACTTCAGAAGTATGATGAAGCACTCATGATAGGCAAGGATTCTGAGCTCTATTTGAGGCACCAGAGAAGTCTCTAGAGCAGTCTACATTTTCTCTGAGTGAATCCAACATTCAAAGTTTCTACAGTGCAGTTCGCACTTTCCATGTGAACGCTTGTGATTACATCTTGAAAACATGGCCTTTGGAGGATGCATTAGCAAAGCATGCTGAGGTACTAGATTTTGACCTTTTTTTCTTGACAAATTTCCGTCTGTTGGGAGATTGTGATGTTGATCAGCTGTACAGTGAATTTGCACTGTATCAGGCTGACAGCTCCATGTCTATACACTTGTAACTGATACAGTTAGCATGGATAAGCAGTGGAACACAATATCACAGATTGCAGATGCTAGTTGAGGCAAGAGGTTTCCTACTTTGAGTAAAGTGATGAAGGGGATCTTAGTAATCCCTCACTCAAATGCTTCATGTCTGGTCTTTCAGGGCTTTCAGTCTGGTCCGTAAAAACGAGACAGACTTTCGACCCAACCTGAGCATCTTGATTGAGAAATTGTCCCAAAGTGCTCCTTGTTACCAAACTACTGCAAAGACATGGTGAGAAGAGCAAAGCAAGCAACATACAATGCTCTGGACATGTCTGCTTTTAAAGGAGAAGCAAACATAAATAGCAGTCAGAGAGGTGGGTAAAATCTGTCTACATGTGTTTCTTTCTTTTTACTATTTTAATTTTAAAAGGGTATGAAAAGTATCAGTAGAATTAGCTAATATGAAATTGCAGAAACCCTGGACTTCAGAGGGTGCTGCCCCCTGGTCTCCTGCAGGGCTTTGCTCCTTGATCCCACCACGGCCCCTACAGCGGACCCCTGGACCCCACCTGTTCTCGCGAGCTCGTTCACTACGCTCACTTGGATTATCCTTCTGATTACATTTTTCCAAAGTTGGCATCTCATATATGTGTGGAGTGAATTGAATGGGACAAACTGGATGACACAGCACAAACATAAAAATGGAAAAGAGATGAATGGTAAGGCCTTACCTGTCGTGATATTATTACGCAGATTTATACTCTGTTCACTCCTCTGCAATGGGAACATTCCCACAGGATCAAGGTATGTCCCAACCTCGATTTCGAAGGTTGTTCCTGGAATAAGACCTGTCACAATGTAGAACCCAGGGTTGTTGGACAATGTCTCTTTGAGAATGCGCTCCCCGCTAGGCAAATCCAAATTTGTAATGTATACCTCGAAGCCATCATGAGGGCTTGCTGGGGATATCCATGTAATGTTGGCCGTGAGGACGGAGCCGGAGATGTTTAACGGACCTATTGGCGATCCAGGCCCTGAATGAAACAATGATTAACAGCAACAATTATATGTAAGGTCTGTTCACATAGGAAGCACCATTCTTTTTTGGTTTGTTTAGGGTTTTCGTTTGTACTTGTACACAAATATGCCACAAAGAGGGAAAGGAAAAACAGTAGCCGAGTGCAAAAATTTTGTAACATTGAATTCAAACAATTTTCTGACAATATAAGCATACCTGCCAACATTTGAAAATGAGAATTAGGAATTTTTACCCTGAATAGGCAACTGGCAATACGCGGTAAATCTGTACAAAAAAGCGAATACAATTTCGCTGCTCGATCATGCAGCCCTTCAACGCACGCAATACGTATGTTTAAGTGGTTAGAGTTGAATCTGCTCGAAGCAAGTGGAGGGAGATCTCTAGAGTCATCAGGGGCAAACAAATGCCTGTGAAACTAAAGGTCAAGTTGTACAACACAGTGATACGACCAGTGCTACTTGGCCTGCGTCCTCTGAGGAAGAAGGAAGGATTTGAGGTGACAGAAATGAGGTCTTACGAAGTATACTAGATGTAACATTAACCCTAATGAGGTTTTTTTCTGATTGTTTGGGAACGCATACGGATGGCACCCCGCCGCTCACAGATTTTTTTCTTTCTTGTCTTGCGCATCTTTTAAAACAACTTTTTTGAAAATCGAACTCACATTAACAAAGTCCTGTGACCTTTTGTATTTGCGTAATAGCCTGAAAATCGCTCATTTTCGTGATTTGCGTACAAAACATATGGAAATATCATTTTTCCGAAAAAAGAGATAAAACATCGGTTATTGGGTCTTGTAAAAAGTTTAGGTGTTTGTTTTGGAGTCAAAATAGTTGAATTGTAGTTCGAAATGAAATAAAACAATAAAAATAATAAAATACATTAGTTTAAAAACAATGAAATCTACAAAAAATTATCAAAACAAGGGATAACATACCGGTAAGAAACAACCTGGCTCTTTCAAATTTTGTTGTCGTATCTATTATTCCAAATGGTCTAATGAATATATATATACCGGTGCATATGATTTATGGGTATAAATTTGAATTTTATGACCTTGTATGCATAAATTACCATAAAAAATTAGATTTACCATAGTATTTTATACACTTCACTTGACATGAGTGCAAATTTTCGCGATGAACGGCTGTTTGACGGCCGAGATCTTAGGAGGCTGGGGCCATAATGCCCCCCCCCCCCCCCCCCCGGTACTAAAAAGATCTCAAATACCCCGGCCTCATTAGGGTTAAGAGACAGAAGACACAAGAAAATAAAAAAAAGAGCAGAAGGTAGCTAACATCATGGATAACATAGTATAGCATCAACCTAAGAAGCTTTATACAAAACAGTTATCATTATTGTAATATCCCGTATATTCACTACTGCATATTCAGTACGAGATAAAATAGTTAGGTAATACAAATTCCTTGTATATATATATTTATTTGCACTCTCTTATAAAGAAAGTCCACTGTATGCCTTTTTATGGCAAATAGGAAAAATACCACAATTATGACTCATCCCTACTGGAATGTGTCTTGACCATATGAGTGACCACTGCAGGCATTTGAGTTTAAGACTTCAGCCTACCGAGTTATGTGTGCCGGCCTGTTTCTCTTATTTACACTTTCTCGGTTGAGTTCTGGTCATGCGATTGCAGTGTGAAATTAATCAGAAAAGGTTGATTATCTAGCATATAAGTATTGGTGTGTACTGCAAGGTCCTGGAATCATCAAAATGATAAGAAATATAATTGGCCCAGTCTTGGTAAAGTTTCAAACACTGTACACAGAAAGATGTATATGGGACTACACAGTCATGTGGCGTAAAAATCTGTCTCGATTTTTATGCTTTTACATGCCATATTTAGAATATTAAGGCATTTGAAGAGCCATACTTTTCAAGGAACATTTTTAATCTGATGTTCTTCCATGCTTCCATAATGCTCACAAAATATTGTTCACCTCTTCCCAAAACTCAATCTTCTCTTTAAGTGCTGCTAGATGTGTTTGACTACAATTCTATATACCAGGTAGTTTGTCCAGTAATAAAAATTATTATCATAAAATTGTACATACCACTTCTGAGTTGTGTGAAGGCTAATACATCAACGCTATTGAGTAAATCCCCCAGAGTCACATTAATGATATTGCCGGGTGTGTGGATTTCAATGTTAATGTCAGGCACAAGAGCGCCATTATTAGGTATAACTGCGTCAACAGGATCGAAGGTTATTGAATAGAAGGTAACACCGTCATATGTTCCCCATTGGATGCGGGCCCCTTCAGAGGTCACATCTGTAACCACGAGTAGCCCTGCAGGAATCTCCTCTGTGTTTAAAGATAAAGTGAAGTTAAGGTCATGCAATGGCAATTGTGAAAGAAAATGTGTGGAAACGATTATTAGTATTTTCATTATTATTATTATTATTATTGTTGTTGTGTTGTTGTTGGTGTTCTTCTTCTTCTCATTATTATCATCTATTATTCATTATTGATATTATTATTAGTAGTACCGTAGTATAGTATTGTTGTGTTTGTGTTGGTGTTGGTGTTCTTCTTCTCCATTGCTTTCTACTTATTATTATTATTATATACTATTTATCATTATTATTATTATTATTATTATTATTATTATTGTTATGATAATCATTATCATCATTATCATTATTATTATAATTATAATTATTATCATCATCATTATCATTATCATCATATCATTATTTTTTGTTGAAAAAATATAATGGTATCTACATTTTGAAGTAAAAGCACTTAGGATATGTAGCTTGTAAATGCATGGACTACCTTGATTGCCAACATACTACCTCTACTTTCATTCAAATAGGTAAGATAAGAACGCTTAATAGACCAGTTCATAGTTAGCACATAGTACAAATGACTTCAAATATCGGCAGATTTTTTACAGATGGAGTATTCCCACTTTGTGAATTTTAGAATAATCATTGCCAAAGTGATGGATGTAGTAATACTTCCACCTGTGTTTAATAGAATGTACCACCAGTACATCAATTAATAATGATTACAACACTTTCATGAGCATGTATCCAGTATATATCTCGTTGGGTTTTACATTTTGGTACAAATAACCAAATGCTCATGAGCAGATTGTTTCTACAAACTGGTTTATTCACCAACATCACTATTTCAACCTAAGCGATCCAATGGGTCTTTTCTTGCCCTATGTTTCGCGAAGATACCTTAAATTACTAAACACCACAACTGTTCTTATAATCTTATTCATGAATGCCAGAATGTACTTCATTGAAATGAGCTTCAAATATTTGTTGTGATTTTTTGCTTATTCTGCTCATGTGTCAAGTGTAATTCCTCATAATTTGAATCAAAAAAGAAAATCGTAACACATCTTTAAAATGAGACAATGAACTGCTATGAGTGAAGTACACATAGGTAACAAGCCATGTAGAATTAGGGCAGTGTGGTCTTTTACTTCACAACTTGAGTGGTGTATTGGTATACGGTAGTTATTCTCAGACACGTTAAGCCTCATTTAGATACACAGTAAAAAGAAAAAAGGGTGACATTCTTCTTGTATCTTTAACACATCAGTTTTGTTTTTTAAAAGGATGCCACTTGGATTTTAAGGGGGCATGGGTTGGTTGTGACCTCCTCCCTAAATCCAAAAGAGCATTTTTTTTAAAGGGGTGGGGGGGGGGGGTATATGTATTGTGCAATTGTGAACAACAGCCAGTTCAGGTATCAATAGATAATTGTTGACTGCAAGGAAAGCCCCCAAAATCGGCCAAGCACTTCGGTTTGCTGCATGTACTTGCCTGCGGAAGCATCGATAGTCACTTCTTCACTGTCAAAGTCCCCGGCGCGGGAGCTAATGATAGAAAAGCTGTAGACTCTGCTTGACCGTAAGCCGGTGAAGGTATGGCTGGGCTGATTAGTCATAACTTGATCATCTCCTGGGGTTCGTCTTAGAATGTAGATTGCAGCATTAGGAACAGCTGTCCACTCCAAAGTGATTTCAGTATAGGTGGTCAATGTAGCCTCAAAGTTCGAAGGACTACTAAGAGCTGGGGGGTGTTTCACAAAGATTCTAAGTCAAACTTAACTCTATGTTGGACTTAAACAATATGGAGAGCTATTTGTAGCCTTATAATGAAATACATTCAAAAGCAAAATTCAAGTGTTTTAGACTTTTCATAAATTCCACATCAAGAACATGAAATCTCCACAGATAACAGAAAATATGAATGATTTGAATCAACATTTTATGCCTTTTAAAATAATGTTTACAAAATATTTTCAATAATGCTAACGGCTTTCCATAATTGTTAAGTCCAACTTAGAGATAATTTCAACTTAGGTTCTTTGTGAAACACCCCCCTGGTGAATGGGAATCAAGGAGAGGAAAGCATGTCAAAAACAGATATGTTCTGGGCATAAGCGACGGACAGTCCTTTCATGCAGTGTTTTAGGATATTTTCTCTTTATTTCTCTCTTTTCGCATATTCTTCAGTTGACATCATCAAAATGAAAAAGTTCATAAGCTATGCACATGTAATAAATGAATGAAAATTTTGAGTTTGCAGCTGACTACCTGTAATGTTAAAGCTCCGTCAATTTCAAACTAATGATGATATAGAGTACCGAAGCTGTGACATCATAAAAATCTATTTTTAGAATTTCTCATTTATTTCTACATTACCTGAAAGAGCATCAAAAATAATGTCCAAATGTAGAAAACCAATTGAATATGTTAAGTATTGGCTGAGATATGACCATCTGAATAATAGATTTCCTATAGGAACTCGGTGTTATTTTGCTATGGTTCATAATGTTTTGAACCAGAGCAAAACAACACAAAATAACAATTGAATATGTTAAGTATTGGCTGAGATATGACCATCTGAATAATAGATTTCCTATATGAACTCAGTGTTATTTTGCTCTGGTTCGTAATGTTTTGAACCAGAGCAAAATAACACTGAGTTTTACATTCGACAGTTGGACATTATTTGTTATGCTCTTTCGGAAAATGAAGAAAAAATTTAGAAATTCTAAAAAAACATTTTTGATGACGTCACACTTCACCACTCTATGACAAGAAATAGATGACAATTTCTAGAAAATTAGGGGCAAACTTAAATGATATTCTCAATAAACGAGTCAGGTCTCATTCATTATCCCCTCAATTGTACCTGTGCTTTCTGATTCGGTGACCTCTGAACTTTCCAGATTCATGAACACAGACACCACTGTGAAGGTGTAGTTTGTGTACGGTTCCAAGCCAGAGAAAGAGATCGAAGATGAAATGTCTGTGACTGTCTGAGGCACATCTGATCCCCCACCGGTTACAGCGTATGTCACCAATTCACTGCTACTGCTTGGTGCGGTGATGTTCAACAACAGCAGTGAATCAGTAGGGCTCCCTCTCTGTACGGTCACAGAAGGTGGATCAGGCACTGGAAAGGAATACAGATTTGGATTAGGGTTTAACTGACATGACGGTTATCAAAAATTGCATACATACACAAAACAAGGTAAACGCTCTCGGCCGTCTCGCTTGCATTACGCAATTCGATGTGATGAAAAATTGAGGTTGGAACATTATTTATAGAAAAGGTGGCCCATTAGCAGGCCCTCCCCCCCCCCCCCCACCAAAAAAAAAAAAAAAAATGAAAATGAAAATGAAAACCTCGGAATATAATCAGCATTTTGAAGTGAATATTGGCTAAGAATCATCAGAACAATTATGTACTATAATTTGTACCAAGGTTGATAACTTTAATGGAATATGAACAAATAACAATATTGATTTATTAATTCTCATATTAAGTTGTGAAAACATAATCCAAGTCTACTGACCTAAAATGACCTTTGACCTGGACTTTGTGATCTGGAATTTGCGTCATATGATTTGTGATACTTGATGACCCTTGTCTTCAAGTTTCATGGAATTTGAACACACGCTTTTGAAATTATGCTAAAAATTCAAAATCTTGATGTTGATACTACAACAAAGTCTAAGTTTGCAGAACTTAAATTACATTTGACCTTGACTTTGTCACCTAAAAGACTAAATCACATGATTGATGATACCTTGATAACCCCTATGTTCAAGTTTCATGGAATAGGAATGTATTCTTTCAAAAGTATGATAAGAATTCTAAATCGTAACCTTTTGTAAAGTTTTGATGTTGATGCCACAACATAGACAAAGTTTGTTGACCTAAAATGACCTTTGACCTTAACTTAGTTACCTGAAATTCTGCTCAAATGATTGGGGATATTTGATAACTCTTTAGTCTAAGTTTCATTGAATAAAAACTTATACTTTCAAAATTATATTAAAAATTCAAAAACTGAACCTGAGGTTAAGTTTTCGATGATGATGCCACAACATAGTCCAAGGCTGTTGACCTGAAATGACCTTTGACCTTGACTTTGTGACCTGAAAATCTACTCACACGATTGAGAATACTTGATAACCCTTTGGTCCAAGTTTCATGGAAGAAAAACTTATACTTTCAAAATTATACTAAAATTTCAAAAACTTAACCTCAGGTTAAGTTTTTGATGTTTACGCCGTCTCCACCGCCGCCGCCACCGCCGTCATCAGAAAAGCAGCGCCTAGTCTCGCTTTTTGCTCGAGGGCGAGACGAAAATACATAACACAAATCCGTCAATGTATGCTGATATCCTAGATCATTATACATGTAATACATGAGACAAAACAATTCACAGAAAGCCTTCCTTAGAATGTTTATCTTCATTTCTTTTTTTGTTTGCACTCGAGACTCACTTTTACAAAAGTTATATTAAAGGTATTACAAAGTTTTGGTATGGGGTCATGAATTTGGTTCAAATAAACATATTGAAAGCATATGCGATCCTACAATATTCAGTGATCGTTGTCACGGTTGAAATCAAGTCTAAAGTGAGAAAAATTGTAAATAATAAACTCTTGATGTTGTATAACTCCCTCCCAAGGTCAAGATATTAATTTCACTGTGAAACAATGTTTCTTGACTAAAATTGACCAATTGGCTATTCCCGATCGAAAATTATATAGCCCAACTACATATTCTGAGATTTTCATGGTCGCAGCTACCATTGTATGGCCGTAGGCGCTATTTGAAAATTATCGAAATTTACCAGGAGCACCGGTAAATTTTGATATTAAATTTTTCACAGAGGCAGAAGTGTTTTAGGGGCTAAATTTTTTAGTGCTTATAATACATCCACAGGGGCATACAAATATTCCAAAATTGTAAAGAATCTTTTTCCAGCCAATTTTCAAAATTTCACAAAACTTTGTATTACCTTTAAGGCTGTATTATCCAGGTCTCTCTTTGTGCATGCTCATTATGTGCAGTGACGCCACAGATGGCGTTATACAACTAACACACATCATTTTCAATGAAACAACTTTGTCCGCTAGATAATTTTACCATGGGCGGTACTGTAAGGGAACATGCACAATGAGAGCAGGCACTACAAGTAAAAATCTGGCTGAACGGTTGTTGAACAGGATCATCAAGATGGTCTAGATCTTAGGAATTGAAGGAAGCATGACGGCTCCATGGTAGAGCAGTGGTCTCGTAACTGGAAGGTCCCAGGTTAAAAAAATAGGTCAATGTTCTTTGGTAAAGGTACATTGATCCTCATTACCAAGTCCGTCAGAGAGGACAGAGCCGTCTATAAACTAAGTCTAACTTCTTGGACATCCCATCAGAACACGTTTTGTAGAAATAACGTACACTTCTTTGGGATGTCCATTATCTTAGACTTGCAACGGTTTGAGAAACTAACCCCTGGTTACTTATTAACATGAACAAGCATACAAATACTTTCTTAGCAATCGGGTAAAACAAAGAAACAGACAATTCATACTTACGGGTGCATTCTTCAAAAAAATCAATTAAAGCTAAACTTCTGGCGACTTCAATTCTATAGCACCTGGCCGGTGATAATCCGAATATAACTGCGTTCCCCAACACATCAGCCAAGACTGAACCACCACCTTCTGCTGATGCCTCATCACCCGCAGTCAAGCTGCCTAGGGTTATACTGTCCCCCGTCCTGGAAGTCACCTCTGCAAAGCGTGTGACTGTGGGAGAGACAAAAAGAAAGAATTACAACTTGCCATGCAGATTTATCCACAACAATAAGACTAGTGTATAGTTTTTTAACTTCTTGTATGGATTGAGATACACAAAAACATTAGTCCGATTGTAGAATATAATTCTAGTGTTTGAGACTATGAACAAAAGGCTATTGACTGAGCATTGCTTGAGTTTGCATGTACAATGCTAGGATGCAACAAATGGGCATAAAGTTTGTAATGGATACATGCAGTAAGACACGTTCACTAGTTAGACTGGTAAATTTTCTAACAAATAACTATACATTGTGACAGGCATATCTTGTCAAAATATCCCCTGTAAGAATCTACATGCGGGATGCAGTACTGAAAACAAAGAGGAGCTGGGGAGTGTTTCACAAGGATCCTAATTCGAACTTAACTCTAAGTTGGACTTAAAAATTATGGAGAGCCATTTCTAGCCTAAATATAAAATATTTCCAAAAGCAAAAATTTAAGTACTTTAGACTTTTCATAAATTCCACATCAAGAACATGAAATCTCCTTGATAATAGAAAATATGACTCATTTGAATAAACATGTAATGCCTTTTGAAATAACTTTAACAAAATATTTTCAATGATGCTAATGACTTTCCATAATTTTTAAGTCCAACTTAGAGATAAGTTCAACTTTAGATCTTTGTGAAACACCCCCCTGCATATTTTTCACATCATGGTTGAAACCGTAGCTCCTCGATGAACTAGAGACTACACTATGATCCTTGACTGTTATTCAACATCCGATATCACACAGAACTAGATGGATAGTTTGCTAGTAATCCATCTGTCTGTTCTAATGGTAATGCGTTCACAAGCTATTTATAGGCATACATAATGAGCCCCATGACCCTTGACCTCATGACCCTAAAATCTAATCAGTTCATTGGCTCTGCAAGATACATATACATGCCTTGAGTTTGATTGTAATCTGTCTAGTGGGTCTCATGATAATGTGATCACAAGCTATTTTTGAATACTAAATGAGGGCTGCAAGCATAAAATTTATCCAGACCCTCTCATGGCATTATGTATTTCAAAATATTAGATAGCTTAGACGGATACCTAGATGTGATCGGTCCAGAGCTCGTCACGTGATATCGATTGCGAGGATCGTAAAATTGTTATATTAACCAGCTGGTGAAATGAACATTTTTTTATCAATGCATGTCGCCCTCTTGAGGACTGTGTGTCACTAATTACACAAATTACACCAATACCAGGGGTCAATTTTTTTTTTTCAGTATTTTTTTCAAATTGTTTTTTTCCTTGGTATTATTTTGTCCAAAAATTTTTTTGTCAAATTATTATTTAATTTTTTTTTTTTCTTTCACTTTTTTTTTCTAAATTTGTTTCGTTTTCTCAAGTAAAAATGAAAATAATTTCGTGCAAAAAAAATTGACCCCCCCCCCCTAAATTTTAAACCCTCGTGACCATATTTTTCCCTTAGCGCTGTGCGCTTTGGGAAAATATAACTCCTTTCAACGGTTCTAAGAATGTTATATATTACACCCCCTGCCAGTCAAAAGCTGGATAATATTTTGAAGCCCTACGGGTGAAAATTCCAAGTTTTTGAAGTTTTACAGAATTATTCAATTATTTCAACTTGTTCTATTTTCCAGGTTTATTCAGAGGCAGACTATGACTTTTATTTCCTATATACATATGTATATACATGAAATATGTAATCTTGTTATCACAGAAGGGGTCAATTATTATAAATTTTTTGTTACTACAGGGGGGGTGTTTCACAAAGAGTCTAAGTTGAACTTATCTCTAGTTAGACTTAGCAATTAGGGAAAGCCGTTAGCATCTTTGAAAATATTTTGCAAAAGTTATTTTAGAAGGGATAAAGTGTTGATTCAAATCATTCAAATTTTCTATTATCAAAGAGATTTCAGGTTCTGGATGTGGACTTTATGAAAAGTTTAAATACTTGAATTTTTGCTTTTGAATATATTTTATTCAAAGTCTAGAAATGGCTCTCCATAATGTTTAAGTCCAAATTAGAGTTAAGTTTGACTTAGGATTTTTGTGAAACACCCCTGTGAAGGAAACTTTACTTGTCGTGAAGGGCATGGTGCTGGTCCTGCCAGTGAGCTGTTCTCCAGCAATTCCATTTGTGTCTATCGACGTGATGGAAACTGAGTAGGCAGTTGCTTCTTCCAAGTCCTGTGGCTCAAATGGAGGTCCATCGTACATATCATCAGACAAAGTGCTACCGCTTGAATCTGGTTGGTACAGAGAAGACAGAAGTATGGGAACAATTTATAGAACTTCCTTTCTAAATAGGCTTTTGCTGTATTTTCCATCATATATGTTGGTACAATCATTAATATTGCTATTATTATTTTTGTTATTACAACTATTACATTATGAAGAAAACCCATTAGCAGCATAAATTCTCCATCCTATTGGTGGAGAACTCTCCCTTATTATTATTTTTTTTTATTATATTACAAGGATTATTTTTATCATAATTATTGTCATTATATTATTATATTTCTAATCCTTATTCTTAATTATGAATATATTCCTCATTATTATAACAATTACCACTATTACAAATATATTCATATTATTATTACTAATGTTATTTTTATCATTTAGTTATCATTAATATTACTGTTATTATTATTATTATTATCATTATCAGTTTCTTTATTATTGTAATTATTGTTATAAGATGATTTTGGGCACCACAAAACGGCAAGAAAAAAAACGAGAGTCCATCATCATCATCATCATTACCATCACTCTCATTATTAATATCATTATCATTGTTATTTACTGTTATTCACAAATTAAGGCATTCAGTAGCACCATGTGATAGCCTTGTTGAAAAGAGTAATATCGGTGTTCATTGTATTATCATCATCTTCATTTTTAAAATTATTATTATTACTATCATTAATATTATTATCACTATCATTAATATTATTATCATCATCACCATCATTATCATCAATATCATCATCATCATCATCATCGTCATTATTATTATCATCATCAAATGATAGACTTTTTGTAGGACTGGGACTAGAAAATTTGAGTTGATATGATTCCCCATGATTGAAAAATGCTAGAATATTGTAGCATTGTTAAATACTGCTTTCAATTTACTTTTGAGAATAACACGATACATTTCTGCATCGGGAACATCTGTCCAATCGATATCGGCTCCAGTTGAGTAAGCAGTAATCTCGATGCCTCCTGGGGCTGCAGGGCCTGCAAGTTCATTTAGAAATAATCAAGATATGAATATGTATACATGTACACACAGGGAAACAAATACTAGAAAACACAGAATTAGCTGTTTTGTTGCTGTTTCTATTTAATAACTTAGATATCTTATAAACCCACCCTTCAATTTGCTACAAACCAGCGATAAAGCAGAGGAATCTAAGCAACAAAACAGAATTTCATTATTATTTATTCATTATTTTTTAAAGGACCATTAATATGGAATAGTATACCTCAGGAAATTAAAAACTGTCAATCTTTTTAAAATTAAATATAAACAATATCTGTTAAATAAGTATAATAATCAGTATTAATAGCATGGGCAAATTTTGACACTTTTTTTTACTCTGATCGTGCATGATAGTAAGTTTAAGTATGTTCTTTGTTTTTTGTTCTGTTCTTTTGTTCTTGTTTTCCTGTATGTGTGTTTTTAGGGGTAGGCTTTTATATAAGGAATCCCTCCTTTCTGCCTATCCCAAATGCTCTTATAAATTGCCATCGTATTTGTTATCACTTTTTTTTTTTTAATACCTTCATTCTGTATTTGTATGTTTTAAATGTTATTATGAAGAGTGTTGAATAAATTTGAATTTGAATGCCATAGTAGTAAAAAAAAAAGGCTGAGAAAATAGTGAGAGAATGGCTAGAAAACAGAGGAAATGGCAAGTGGTTACAACAAAAGAATCCTGGGAACCGCTTCACAAAGCCTTTTTTCAATGACAAATGACAAATATCAGTGACAAATCTGCTGATAACCAATCAGAAGCAAGGATTTCAGTAGCTTATAACATCTACTGCCATTTGTCACTGATGACAAGTTTTGTGAAACACCCCCCTGATATTAGCTCATTGTGACATATAGCCTTATGGTACGGTCACAAAGGTGTGTACGAATCTCCGTTTTTCCATTGTCTTCCCAAATTTCCATTGTCTGAAAATCAATCGTATGGCGTTCGTAGCAGTTTGAAATGGTGACCGAGCCTTTATCATTGTTGGAATGATTTTACTGACAGGTTTGTATCATGGTAAAAATTAAAAGAATTTAACAATGATGATTGATATCATAAGAAAGACGGCATCTCACACCCTGTACAATATGTCAATAATTCTTTTAAGATTCATCTTTTCTTTATTTGGCTAAAATACTGTTCAGTTTAACAGTTAAAGTGTAACAGTCACCTAAATTTTGAATTGAATTGGTTTGGTTTATTGAAAAATCACATCAAACAAGCAGCTCGCAGGCTGAAAATGTTCAATTTACAAACAAGTTAAAAATATAGAGAGACATAAACATATACAAAACTAAAATACATATTGTAAGTCAACTTTTGCAGAAATTAGTTAGCATTGGTAATTTGTGTACAGCTAGAATGTATAAAAATAAACATTGAAAACTTTACCTGACATTCTATGGGTTAACAGCTGATGAAAAATTGCACACAAGGAACTAGGCTTAGTTTCCGTGTAGGTCCTGTTCTAAGGGAGCATGTGCGGGTCTACTCACAACATGTGTTTATGTTTACTGACTGTGTTTGAACTTGCAATGTCTCTATACAGAAGTAATATGTAAAGTCCTTTAAACACTTTAAATATATACAGTAGGTTTGCGGGTGCACCATGTGAGAGAGAGAGAGAGAGAGAGAGGGTTGAGGAGTCCTGAAAACGACTTTGACTCGGTAATCTTTCTTGGGGGTGTGGTAGTTCTGAGTCCTGACGACGGATAGTCAACCTGTTCGAAACGTCGAGCCACTCATCCTCTCCAAGCGCTATAGTTTTCCTTAGAACTATATGCTAAGAAAGATAACAAACAGTCCTTCTCAGGACTACCACACCCCCAAGAAAGATTACTGAGTCAGAGTCCTTTTCAGGACTCCTCAACCCTCTCTCTCTCTCTCACATGGTGCACCCGCAAACCTACTGTATATCAACATCACCATGCAAGCCGACACTTACAAGCAACTTTAAATATAGTATAGAGACATTATGTTTTAGGGATTGGAACACTTTAATATTTTTAGAAGCCCCTACTCCCCCCTGATACCAAATTGCAACCCTAACCCTCATCCTGTGCTTTTGATAAATAAAACGTGAAGCAAATTGTTAGATCACCATTGATAGGGTTCACAATATGAATGCCTTGGGCACTATGTCAATCAATGCCCAGTAGAAACCAATCTTTGCAAGTTACCTGTAAGTCTGTTTTCCGTAGCTGTGCCTGTCGACTCAAAGCCACCCGTAAAAGTTTTGATGCTGAACGTGTAAGTGGTCGACGGGACCAGAGAAGTAGTGAATGTGTACGTGTTCGCTGTGATGTTCAAGACCAGGTCCCCTGGGGTGACAGTAACCTCATAATAATCCACCACTCCTAGTGGAACTCTCCAGTTCGATACCAGGTCACCATTCTCCTTCACAGAGAAGGTGATGGTGCTTGCATCCAGGGTGGCAGGCACTGGAAAGAAATAGGAGAATAAATGTATTACGCAAATATTGACTGGCAGGTTGTGTAACATCACATTCTTTAGACCATGGAAAGGAATTATATTTTCCCCAAGGGTTTATGAGCATAAGGGAAATATAAACTCTCTTGCAGTCCAAATAATGTAAATTACACCCTCCTATGCTTTTATTGGATAGCCGTTATTTACTTTGTTTTATAAAATAAAGGGGATTTGCGATGTCGTGCCTTGTATTTTTTCACACTGTCCAGCAGTATGCCTGGCCACATTAGAAAACAATGGGTATGGTATGCGCAGAGTTGCTTGGATACTGTACGATGCAAAAATATACCCATTTTACGGTATGGTCAATATACATAACCATAAAAAAATGACCGGGATGAAAAATTCTAATTATGATCCTAGATATGAGCTGTGGGCCCATCCCACCTTCGTATCTGTAGGAGCTTTCAAATATTGCTTACTCTTGCACATACATAATGTGATTTGAGTCGGGAAAAACCATTTATTTCTAATAACATTTATGGTGTCTTACTACTGTAATCCAGGAACTAATAATAATAATAATAATAATAATAATAACAATAATAATAATAGCCCAATAGTCCACTCCAAATTTTATTAAACCGAAAGAAAAATTCTTTTTGCCCAATTGATCGTGAGCCCGGCAGCCACTGAGCAGCGCAAGATCGACGTTGCTCTATCCCTTTATTGTTGAACGCCAAACAAGGTAGCACCAACTCCCATCTTTTAACGTCTTTTGGTATGACGTGGCCGGGATTCGAACCCATGACCTCCCGGTTGTGAGGCGGACGCTCTATTGACTGAGCCGACACTCTGGTTTTGCCACTTGTGCAAATTGACTGAAGGATTGCTTTGCGCAACACAATGGCTTTGGAAATTTACCCATTTCCAGTCTTGTTTTGCTCCAAGACATCTTTTTTAACACCAATATAGATTAATCTTGCACTGAAAGCAGTTAATAATCTTGAATGCTTTGTTATATCTATCCTATGATAATGCAATATGGCAGAGGGAGACTATTTGTATATGGCATATAAAGAGTTAAATCAGATTCAGAAAGAGCGGATTCTCACGGGCGCCCAAAATACAAGTCCGGACTCCCCAACGTTTTCATGTTAAAATAGGGCTCATACATACAGACTTTAAAGGTCAATCCAGACCACCTTCACAAAAAGGTAGCGTGGAGTCCTATACAAGGGTCAGATTTTCCTTTCAGTTTTAAACTTACATGTCTGAAATGTATTCTGTGTGATGAGATCCCCTCTGTCTTCGCCCATCTTCTTGTAAAGAGACACAGTGTGCTCGGTTCCGGGAGTAAGTTGGGTCAAGTTGAAAGCTAGAGATTCAGCTGGCAGGTCCACGTTTCTGCTGTTCAGTCCAAAAGATGCTTCCAGCCGAAGACTGTCATAGTCCGTGCCTACAGGTTGGCCCCAAGATAGACCAAGGACTGTCTCCTCTCTCAGGATGAGGTTAAAGTTCACTGCGGAAGTAACACAAATAAAAACAACAATAAAAATGTTTACCGATACAAACATTGCAGTGCAGTGCGACCGTCAGCAGCGGCTATACCGCGCCAGTAGTACCGGGGTCAACGCTTCCGCGGCATATCTGCTGGAGCTAGAGGCGATTGCAATGACCGAAACATGCAGAACAGGAAGAAATGGAGAGAATGTCATCACGGGATGAAAGTCAGTAACGGACCCCATGTAACTTGTAAAGTTGTAAGAGGGAAAATGCTGACTTAAATAAATGCTGATGAAAAAGCTGATAATTTAGGAGTATCATGGGTACCAATTCAATGGAAATTTGTATTAAAAAAGAGCATTACTATAAGAGTCCCTGTGAGAAGGCTCACGGGGCAATTTTGAGGGAAAGAGCCCCCATGAAAAAAAAATTATTCCAGGCTTGGGGAGTAATAGTAGAAATACTACTACTGCTACCTAATCCATATAATTGTCCCGCATTTTATCTCATTATTAAACTAAAGAGCTCAGAACTCAAACATAGATATGTACATGTATGTATTTTAAAGGAAGTAATATCAAGTAGTGATAGAGTAGCTTAAGCCACCTTCACTGCTTGATTTGGAATATATTTTACATGTACGGTTTTTTATCACTTTCTTATTTTTATAATTTTTGTATACTATAGTTTATGAACAAATTATTCATTCTCATTTTACATTACACGTATACCTCAATATGTTTATGTATTTGATGGAACTCTCATACCCAAAAGGGGGTCGAAAAAGTCAATAAAATCAACTCAACTTCTACTACTAGTTCTACTACTACTGCTACTACTACTAATTATAATAACAAAAATAATAGTAATAATATTAATTAGGTTTTTAAAAAAATCAACAATAATAATAGAAACATTTCTAATATACGCATATCCATCCCAAGGGATGCTTACCTGTAACCCTATTTTAACCGGGCTATTTCAGACCAGGCTTTTACCGGGGGGGGGGGGGGGGGGGTCAATTTGACCCCCCCCCCCCCCCCCCGTATAATAATAATAATACAATAACAACAAAATGGAAGAGCCAGGGTATTCTTTATGTTATCTATTGTTTTGATAATTTCTCATGTATTTCATTGATTTTTTTAACTTATTTATTTTATTATATTTATTGTTTTATTTCCCTTTTTAACTACAATTCAACTATTTGACCCCAAAACAAATACCTAAACTTTAAACAAGACCAAATAACCAATGTTTTATCTCTTATTAGGAAAAATGATATTTCCATATGTTTCCAATCTGACTGTTGTATACAAAGACGCGTAATCCAAAGCCGATAATCTGATGCACGCGATGGTACTTTCAATAGCGCTGCAAAAGCACTCAGCACAGTGCAATGGGCATGAACAATAACTGTTATTACATATGCGCGCTAGCGTGCACAAAGCAGACAAACTGTAGCTCGCTAGCATGAACGAAGGAATCAATCAATAGCGCGCTCGCGTGCACAGAGCACTATAACAATAGCGCGCTAGCAGTCTCATGGCAGGATATGAGTTAACAACATAGGCCTACATACAATTGTAAAAGAAACAGATCAGAAGATTACATAAGAAAAAGTAGATATAGTATGGAAAACATGAAACAAGTGAAACAAGATGATCGAATGCCACTGCATCTATGATATGCCTCATGTGCACATTTATCAATGTTCCTGTAACCTTACTTAAAACATCTGACCTCAAGAACCTGTCTTTTCATGCCCATACATACAGTTTACTTGAAAAATAAAATCATGTGAAAAAACCCAACCTCATACCTAGAATTCGGGTGTCACTGAAGATTTCGCTTTCTGCTTCATCCCCGCCGATACCCACAAAAGACGTCACATCGAACGTATACGGCGTATTTGGGGCCAAACCGTCGATGATCACTGAAGTCGTGGCACTGCCCATCAGAGTCTCCCGCACTTCGTCGTTGACACGGATCTTAAATCCATCATAGTTGCCACCAGTTGCTGGAAGGTCGAAGGTCACTGCAAAAGCATTGCCTGGCGATGGATTTACCATGACATTCTGGGGGGGATTTGGAGCTACGATGGAAGGAATAAAGAGATATTCATCATCAACACAGCTGTCAAAAGCAAAACTTTATTATAGACAATCACCCACTGGTATCACTTCATATTGACTTAATTTGTATATGCAGGATAGTTTTGTAAAACATAGTACAGGGGGGTGTTTCACAAAACTTTTCATCAGTGACAAATGACAGTTTTTGTTATAAGCTACTGAAATCCTTGCTTCTGATTGGTTGTCAGCAGATCTGTCACTGATTTTTGTCATTTGTCATTGAGAAAAGGCTTTGAGAAACACCACCCTGGTGTATACTGTGAGGTTTTGGAATTATAAAAATGATAAAAAATTAGCGCAGTCTTGCTAAAAGTTGTATGCAAGGTAGACATAGCCCAAATATGTACATGTCACTACACACACGTGTGGCATGAAAGTGCGGTCGACACATTTTGCCTCCAAAAAAGAATGTTCAGGAATGCTGAAGAACATTTCAACGTTTGCAGATTTGAAAAAAAGTATGACGGATTGGATTTGAAATAAAGGGTATGTTTTTTTAAAGAGTAAGTTTGATTAAAGAGGTTCACATTTTCACATTGTATGCTAGAACAAAGTTTGTGAAAACGGGGTACTTGTATACTCGATAAGCAGGTATAAATACGGAGAAAATTAAAAGACATGTTTTAATGCAACAAAGAGTCATATTATATGTGGGAACTGAAAAATGCAAAATAGGGGTATATTTGCCAAAATTGTAATTTTTAGCATTATATCTTGCCATCAAACTTCTGATAGGGTGAAATCTATAAGTACAAATCTAAAATTTGTCTAAAGCTGTATTTACCCAATAAGGCTCATTTAGATATGAAGCAGAAAACCTGTAACTTTTTTCTACATGACACGAAGTGAAATACACTTCATATTTCTGTATTTCGCAACACAGATCTCATTTTGCCTTCATTTACATGTGTAATAAAAAAGTGTTTTTTGTATTTTTTTGGCAACAGCAGCAGTTTACAATGCCATATCTGAACTAGCCTTTAGGAGTAAAAATTATAGTCACATGAATACAAATATGTGATGATCAAAATCTGCAACTTCATGGTAAAACACTTGGTTTTCACAATGCACAAAGCTATTTGAAATGTCTTTTGCGGTTCATTATCTGTATATTTTAAAGATAAACTCCAGTACTGGTAAAAAAAAAAAAAAAATTTTCACAGAATCAAACGAAACTTACACTGAATGTTCAAGATTACAAATAAATGACATGTGCCGAAAAATTTTGGAAGAAAATGTATACTGGCTAAGTAATGAGCATAGAAAGACAAGGAAATCAAGGTAGTACTAGCCCCGACACCATGTGTGTTGTCCCATATATAGCTTTCTATGTGAGTGCTTGTTACTTTACCAAGACTCGGTCAAATTTATTATGATTTTGATGACTCCAGAACCTTGCAGTGCACACCAATACTTACATGCTACATGATGAACTGTTTCTGATCCTTTCCACACCTTTTCTTTCACAATGCAATCGCATTACCAGTACTAAAGTTTATCTTTAACTATCATTCAACATCGCAAAGACTATTGAAAACTAATGAAAGGCTAATTTCAGCACCTTATGCTGTATCATGTTAGGATTATATAATACATCTCTGTAATGTACACACACTACAACCGGTGATGTACAAGGCTACTGGAATGCCTTGGCTTCATTTTTCGAAAGTCTTTGCGATTATCTCATTCCCAGTTTCCTGGAAGAAATACTTACGATATCTGAAGTGGATCTCATTCAAGTAGTTGGTTAGGTCACTCGATGGAGCATTTGATGCGTACAGTAGATCTCCCGGTGAGACAGCGGGAAATGAATTGAAGATGATGCTCCCCATATTATTTACTGGCTGATTACCAGAAGTCTGCAATGTACTCCCGAAATGACCAAGTCTTATTTGCTGATTGGAAGATGGCTCGTCCTCGGGCAAGGTGTAAGCAACACTGATAAAGGTTTCGCTCCTTACCGTCACCTCTATGCGGGAGACTTTGGGAAGAAAAAGTAAGTAGAAACATGGTAAAGGACTAAATAAATCAGTTCTTCAGCGTCAAATTGGCATCAATTATTTGTATATTCCACCCTTTCATAGTTAAAAAACTGAAAGGGATAATTGAGTTCTTGTTTCAGACCGCAAATGCCTTCAAACTTCAAAGTACATTGTTATTGCTTTTATTCTTGTTTATGACATTTCTAGTGCCCTTTTAGGACCTAACATTTCTATGAAGGCAATTTCAGACCCCAAAATGTGTGAAATTTAGCCAATACGATCATACCAATTTAGCTCTACTTTTATAAAAACGGAGACCGTTAATTGATTAATTAATTACCGGTAACAATAGCAATACATGGACCGGCTGGTTGTGCGTATTATAACCAACAAGAAAAAGCAACACCGACATGGGCTGGAATAAAACGTATAATGCGCTATTTCATTTTTTCAACGGCTGGTTCAAATTATCTAATGTTTGTGGTGGGACACAAATATTAGAAATGGTTATATTTATGGATATTTTAGCCGTTTCTGAACCGATTTTGATCAAACAACGATGATTTTGTCATTTATATTGTATGTTCTTTCAAATTTGAAACTCAGTTTTTCATTATCTCACAAAAAAATTATTTTGGGTAGCGCCCTCTGCAACAGAACTCAACTATCCCTTTAAAACGTATATGAAATGAAGCAGTATGAACCACAATTACTAAAACATCAACAGCAAATTGCCAATTTATACATGAAAAAAGTCCAATTACAAATGTTTACACTGCATTGCCAACTTAGAGACTACATTTACAATGATTATTTTCTATTTTCTATTCATGAACGGCACAAAGTACTCCAACAGAAATGGACTCATAGAGATGTTTTTTAGCAATGTTTCCACTTTCTGCAGATGTTTAATTTGTCATCCAGAGCATTCTGGATCGGATCTAAAGATAAAAAAAATAGGGACTTATAGATTTCTGCGTCGACATAGTGGGCGTCACACGTCCACTTTTTTGACGTGCAAATCTAAAAGTCCCTAATGAGAGCTATTTGACTGCTCACAGTCACCAACCATGCCTCTGCCCTGCGTGCAACTCCAACTTCCTCACATTTCACCAGAATCCAGACCCCCTCCTAAAAAGAATTTGTGTAAAGCCCTGCCAATAGTGAAGAATTATCAAGGGGGAGTCAAATACCGTTTTTAAGAAATGAAATGAAATTAGATGGAACTTTGACTGCGTGCAGTCCAAAATGATGCCTCCGCCATACAGCGATTTTCACAAACCACAACAGAAGCAATTTTTCAAATTCAAGGTTAATTGTAATCCATGAACAGGTTTTCGGAATATCGTGATTACAGTCTATTTTTTATATACATGTATGACTCTTTTATCTTTGACCTTATGACCCTAAAATCTAAAATCAGTTCATTGGCTTTGCAAGATACTTACATGTCTTGAGTTTGATAGTAATCCGTTACTCGGCTCTAATATTAATGCGATCGCAAGCTATTTTTGCATATATAAATAAGCCCCATTACCTTTGACCTCATAACCCCAAAATTTAATCAGTTCATTGGCTCAGCAAGATACATACATGACCTGCGTTTGATGGTAATCTGTCCATCGGTTCTAATGATGTGATCATGAGCTATTATGCAAAATAATGAGCCCTGTGACCTTTGACCTTGTGACCCCAAAATCTAATCAATTCATTGGCTCTGCAACATTCATACATGACCTAAGTTTGACAGGAATCCATCAATCGGTTCTAATTGAGATAACGCGATCACAAGCAATTTTTGCATACATAATGAGCACTGTGACTTTTGACCTTTGACCTTGGGATCCCAGAATCTAATTAATTCATTAGCTCTGCAAGATACATACACGACTTAAGTTTGGCAGGAATCCATCAATCGCTTCTTGAGATAACACGATCACAAAAAGGGGACATACAGACGTACAGACGGACAACCTGAAAACATAATGCCTCCGGCTATTTCGTAACGGAGGCATACAAAAACAGAGCCTCCATGGTGTTCTAGATTACCAGACTTTAAGCAGGTCAGGGGGGTGTTTCACAAAGACTAAGATTGACTTTAAATTGACCTTTACTATGGCAGGCAGTTCATGCCGTTGTTTGCTCTTACCATTTACTGGCATTGGTCTCTGAAGGGACGTTTAAATCGTGGTCACAAATCTACAGAATTTACATTTTTTTTATAGATCATTATGGAAGGAAAAAATAGCATCTAAAGATCATAATTGAGAGACCAACAGTGAGAGCAACCAGTGGCATGAATGGCTTGCCATAGTTAAGTCCAACTTAAAGTTGTTCTTAGTCTTTGTGAAACATCCCCCTGGTCTAAAATTGTTTCTCAAAACCGTCATAATTACAAGATCAATGAAATTGTGACGCTGTTGCTCAACTTGTCTTTACTTTTACAAACAGTTTGAATGAATTAAGCCTTATAATCTCTTTTGATAATTCAGGATAAAATCTAATTGATTGTGACAAAAACTACCGGTATATCTTTTTAGCCGATAGTATAGAAATCCGCCACTGCCTCCCCCCCCCCTTTCTTTTTTTCATTTGTTACGAGCCAGAGATTTTGGGAACACGCATGCTGTCCCTCTATTCCCGGAGTGGGGGGGGGGGTGGCGGGCATCTCCATAGGTCGTGGACATAGATTTGACTGTTATGGAGTTGGTTTCATGAAACGACCCGTCCTGATTGCCATGCCCTGCGGTCTGGCCTTTAAGCAGCCCTAGGGTCATTTCACAAAACTTGTCATCAGTGACAAATGACAACTTGTGTTATAAGCAACTGAAATCCTTGTTTCTCATTGATTATCAGCAGATTTGTCACTGATTTTTGTTATTTGTCACTGAAAAAAGGCTTTGTGAAACGCCCCCCCTAGTCTAAAATCACCTGTTCCCCTTTTAATATCTCTATACTCTGTTCGGGTGGTTCACGTGTAACATCCACAGATATGCATGTTGATTGTACAGGTTTGAAATTCAGGAACAGGTAAATTGCAGGTTAATATTCATTCTCAACCAAAATTATTCAGGAAATTTTAGTACAATTTTGGGGGGGAAAATGCTTCAAAATATTATGACTCAGATTTTACCACAGTGCATCTAAGAACCTGAGAGCCCATAAGTCCATACTCCTTCAATGTTTCAATTTTACATGCTTTAATTTTTGTTCAACCGTCATTCTCCATTTTCTTTTCAACATTCTATCCCTTATTATTATTAAGGTACAAGAAACATATTGAAAAAATTATTAATGATGTATTTTACTTGTATTAAATGGACATTCCAAACACAAGGCTTGCTTTCTAGGTTTTTGGCTTCCCTCATTGTTTGATCTATCATTTTATTGTACATACTGACCTCTTCATCAAACCATGTTCCATAATAATAAGAAGGAAATATCCATGAATTTCAATTAAATTCAAATTAACTTAAATATCCCACATAAAGTTTGGCAGGTTATCATTCTATGTCTCATGACACATTATATTTTGCATGATTGGTTCACTAAAAGTAGAAGAACTCCAGGCTGAATTTAGAGAATATATATTCAAACTCTTGGGACAAACCTATGTGGGAGTGTGTTACAAATCGATTACTGGACTACTTCAAAATAAACACTAACATCAATTGAAGTAAATTTTAATTTACTTACATTTGCTAGTTGACCTGATTTGGAGACTTTTCAACTATTACTCTACTACAAATTTGGAGTTGCTATTAAAAAAGTTGAAAATGAAATTCTAAAAATTATTTCCCTCTCCTCCTGTATGATATACCCCGGACGAATCTGGGCCAATAAACACCAGACCCATAGGAGCCAATTCCACACGTAAAGCTACATGTATATAGGGGTCAAAGGTTATCTCCAATAACAATGCACATTTATAAGCAGGTTTCAATACTAACAGGCACCTGGAACACCGGCTGCCCAAATTCTACCCCCGGGCGCCTAAAATTAACAGCTTCGTCAACGACATCTTCGAGCGAATTGCCAGCGATTCTTCCCACCTCGCTCAGTACAACAAAAAGTCAACCATTTAAAAACTCCCAATTTTAAAAACTCTTACAAAGGTAGCATGCATATACAGACTCTAAAAAAGTTAAATCCGGACCCCTTTCCCCAATAAGTTAGTGTGTATCCGTGGTGTAAGTGAAATTCTTATGACAGTTATTACCATCAGTTGTGCCCGTTGTAGCATCCGGTGAGCCTTCTCCTCCATCGTTCAGTTTAGGTAGTACCACAATTTCGTAAGCTGTATCAGGGTACAGATGGATCAGTTGTGCAGACATTGAGGTGGTGTTCATAGGATATCCAGGGGCTTCCTCACCAGATTCTAGAGAGGCAGTAATGATGTAGTAGTCCCAGGTTCCAACCACCGTCCATGAGATCTCAAAACCGAAGGAAGTGGTGCTGTCGATCTGGAGGTTCGAGACTCCTTGTCCATTCTGGAAATATATATGAAATACATGTACATGTATTATATATGGCCTTAGTGCAGGTTCGTACCCCCACCTGACATTCTTCATATTTCTCACTTGTATTATTGGTTTCTTCATACCAACTCTATAGACGCTAGACATACATGTAAGAGTGGACGCTAATGCATATGTCGAAAAGACCTAAGCATGCATGCCCCCTGCGAAAGTGCACTATACATCATAACAATACTAGTGCCATATATAGGTCCGAGTCGTTTCAGTACGTAAACTAGAGGGAACTTTGACTAAGCGCAGTCAAAATGATGCCTCCGTCATAGAGCAATTTTATAAACAAAAACAGAAGCAATTTTTCAAATTCAAGTTCGATTGTAATCCATTGACAGGTTCTCAGAATATTGTGATTACAAGCTATTTCTGATATACATGTATGACCCTTTGATTTTTGACCTCATGACCCCAACATCTACTCAGTTCATTGGCTCTGCAAGAAACATACATATCTTGAGTTTGATGGTCATCCATCCATTGGTTCTAAATGATAATGTGATCACAAGCTATTTTTGCATACATAATGAGCCCTGTGACCTTTGACCTTTGACCTCATGACCCTAAAAAAAAAAATGGCATTTAACAACATTCCTGAAATTCTCCCAACAAGCCAACACTCACTCAAAGACAGGTATATAGACCTCTCCAGCAGAGCATAGAGAATCAGTGCTAATGCGTATTGACCTCTAGCGCTGCACTATGTGCTAGTATAATAGGCAGCAAGTGCACACATGAATATTCAACACACAAATAACACACAAATACACACAATGATGCCAATGTGGCTGTAAGTAAATTTGACAGTGTCAGTAGCTCGACTCATGATTTTAATTTTTGAATTATCCTTTGAAAAATTGTATTTTACTGCTATTTAGGTGTCATCAATTGTCACTAAAGTACCGAAGTTCAGTGAAATCAGTTGAGTTTAGTACAGTGGTGTAGAACAGGTTTTAACTTTAATACACAGCCAGGATAGAAATACATGCATGCAGCGCAGCTATGTGTGGTATATAGGTCTACTGGTTACGGAATACGAAAACTCTCGCCTCTCGCCTCATCCCCCACCGCGATACTAGCGGGAGGGAGAAGCTAGGTGCTCGTCGAGTAAAATTCGTTTCTTACCTAACTTTCCAAGAGAGATGAGTACTTCTTTACCCCCTTGTCTTTACGTTAGCTTTTACACCTGGGATTTTGGAAGAATTTCGTGCACCAGAGATTGGTCTCAATGATGAATCGACTCACAAAGCTAGATGCTCTTTTAAATGCACAATCTACCATATAATTTGCGCAGCTCAGCGTACTCCACTAGTCACACCCGGTGTCACAACGCGATGGCAGCACCGCAAAATTTGTTTGACTTTGTTAGGTTTGTGTCCACTCAGCTGGCTCAGGGCCTAGGGAGGTGGATCTCGAAGCTCCCTGGTCCAAACGTCACAGCTTAATTAGTACTAGTACTAGTATATATATATATATATATATATATATATATATATATATATATATATATATATGAATAATTCATAGAATAGTCAATTGTGATTAATTGGCAAACAAAATCAAATCAAAGATTAAAGAAAGAATTAGAAATAACCTCTCTTCCACTCCCACTCCCACTCTCTCCCACTCCCACCCTCTCCAACTGCCCTCTCCCACCCTCTCCCACTCTCTGTGATGAAATTATCATTATTGATATTATTGTCATAAGTATAGTAGTATATAGTAGTATGTATTAAATACGTGTAGGCCTACTACAGTAGTAGAAATAGTAGTAGTATAGTAGTAGTAGGCCTATAGTAGTAGTAGTATAGTATAGTAGTAGTAGGCCTATAGTATAGTAGTAGTAGTATAGTACGGTAGTAGTAGGCCTAGTAGTAGTAGTAGTAGTAGTAGCTATATAGTAGTATAGTAGTAGTAGGACATTTTAATGAATGGCAATGTGTGTATATATCTATCATTTTAAAGGTAAAGACCAGTATTGGAAACGCCCCAATTTCAAAAAATGAAATGGAAGCTCTCATTACCAATCATGTGAAAGAACTTGTTTTGACTAATACATGATGATAACAAATTTGCCCGGAAACGCCTACTAATTCATATATTTGGTACATTTGTTTCTCTCATGGTTTGTGAGAGATATAAGGTAGTCCCATATACATCTTTCTGTGTATAGTGCTTGTAACTTTACAAAGAATGGGCCAAATTTCTTATCATTTTGATTATTCCAGAACCTTGCAGATGCTAGATGCTAGATGATCAACCTTTTCTGATCGATTCCACAACGTTTCTTTCACAATGCAATCGCTTGACCATAACTGGTCTTTACCTTTAACCCCTCCGTCTGAATAACTTTGTGACATTTGATTTCTACTTATTTTATCAGGTTTCTCTCCCCCCCCCCCCATATAAATCTATAAAAGTGAGCATTTATATCTTTCAAAAGATTTTCACCAGGATTAGGGAGCTAGGGACAAATAAGGTAGTTTAACTTGGATACCAACAATGATTTGACGACAGTGATTCTTCCAAAAACAGTTAAGTATCGCCTTAACCACGATGTCATTTGACTTTCTTTCTTTTTTTCTTTCTTTTTTTCATTATAATTGTGATTTACCAATTTGGGCAAATCCGTACAAAAGTCTATACCTAAATATCTGAAATAATCATCAAATACCCAATTTAGATTTTTATTCAAAAGAACACCATTTTGCTTTTATATATGTAATGCTTCCTGGGAGAAATTTCAATTATTTAGACATAATTGTGGCTTACACCCAGTAAATAAGATCGATTGATCGATCTGTATTGAAAAACAAGTCAGAAAAAATCTTGGAATCAGCATCTACTGCTTGCCGGGCAGCGACTCTACCACCAGGCCATCACTGGTCCACCGTCCATGGCACAGTCACGATGGACTAGAAACAAATACCCAAGCTCTCCTGATTTATTTTGACTTATTAACATTCATTAGTCCGCCAAAGGACAATAACTTTTATATATATATATAATGCTTCCTGGGAGAAATTTCAATTATTTAGACATATTTGTGGCTTACACCCAGTAAATAAGATCGTTTGATCGACCTGTATTGAAAAACAAGTCAGAAAAAGCAGCAATAAACCATAATAAACCAGGAATGTCATTTATATCAGTATACAATAACAATCATATAACAAACGGGTTTTCTCTCCGATGAAGCGCCCTGACATAAAGCCTTTCTAATTATCATATAAGAAAAGGAAGTACGTTCTTTAATATGTTTGCTATACAAGCGGAACCTAATTTATACAGCACGTTCAATAAAGATATGGGTTTCCAATTTTTCAAATAATGTCTATCTCTTTTTCCTTTGGGAATTAAAGGGACATGGTAACATTGTTCAGATGACAAGGTGGTGACTTCAATGCTAGATGTACAATTAAAGATAATCTGAAAATTTGAGTGAAAACGGACCATTATTCATGGTACAAATTGGGCAAAACTGATCTGATCGATTCCTTAATTCTCCCAACTATATTATTACAATTGAATTACATTTTAGGTGAATGTAAATCGTCACAAAGCAATAAAATGGCTCTACATTCCATTCCAGACAGTTAAGTGTTGACAGATTTTTTGTAGCCTGTTTTATGTATTTTTTTCATGTAAAAACGGTTGTGAAAATTCAAAAAGGGTTGGGAGAATTACTGTTAATCACTGTTAGAGGGTGTCGTACATCGACGTCTTCAAAGAAAATCATAGATATATTCGTGGTTTGAGAATTTTTCAGGATTTTTTTGCATGTCAGAGGGTTAGTATTAGTAGAAGGAATATATTAAATAACATTTTATACAAAAAATGAGCAATTTAAAGAGATGACTCCTAACTTGTGTGTATAGGACATTCCGGATGAATATGCAGAGTTCAATATCTCACTAAAAATATGTGTAATTCTTTCCAAATTTCTTTTTAAAATTCGACGGTGTATCCATCTAGACCGGGTGATTTTTTTTTTCTTCTATTTATAAGTGCTTGATGAACTTCATCAATGGAGAGTTCTCCTTCGAGCTTCTGTGACATTGAAGTGGTTAATTTAATTATATCTGGATTGTTTAATATTGTATTTAAGTCTAAATCAACAACATGATTATTTGCATACAATTTAGAGTAGAATAATACCATTTCTGATATAATATCAACCTACGATGTTATCTCCTTGTTTTCAGTACTGACCAATTTGCATATACGTTTATTCACAGCATATCTTTTTCTAAATTCAAAAAATACTTCGATAGTTTCTCGCCATATTCCATCCATATAATTTTAGACCTCATCTTTATTCCTTCCATTTTTTTCTTTTCTTAACGATTTTATCTGACCTTTTTTTTTTCATTTAATACAACTAAAGCTCTATTTTGGTCCGTTTTTTATATCAATGCTTTCTCCAAATCTATAATTTCTTTCTCTAAATCATATTTTAAATTTACGAATCTTTTTTTCTTTCTGGCTGCGTATAAAATTGTTTCACCTCTGATTATGGTCAACAACGTATCCAAAAATAACTGATCATTTACAGTAAATTCATATTGTGTATCTTGTCCTTCTACCTCAATTCTACTTGAATTGTTATTATATGGAACTGAATATGTCTCAATCGTTTGTTGAATGACATCTTTAATTTTTTCCACATAACTATCATCCCTTAACAATGAATTATTGAATTTCCAGTAACCTCGACCTACCCTACAATGATTTAAATTCAAAGATAGCTTGACCAGGGAATGATCATTAATTAAATGTCTACAACATGTCTCCAAGATGCTCAGTCCACCTCATATTGAATATGTTTGATATAAATAAATTACAACTAGCATCGTTTATGTTTTCTTATTCTAAACAAATATTAACCAATAACTTTCATGACTATTTTGAATATAATAGCAACATCAATAAGTGTAAAACAAGAAATTCCAATAAAATGTATGTACCTCTTTATAAATTTTAACTTTTCAAGAACCACAGTAAGTTTTAAATGCCCACAGCTTTGGAATGAGTTCCCAAATGTATTCAAAGAAATATCCACTGTTCTTGCATTCAGGAAAGAATATAAATGTTATCTTCTTAATAGTGAGTAGTTTTATTTGATCTAATTGCCTTTTATGTGATTTATTTTTCTTAAAGCAACAGCCCCAAAAAAAGCGATTTTTTTTTTTTGTGGAAATCTCAGCAACACAAAGTATATTTCAGAATTATTCATAATGTCCCATTTGTTTACTATTGTTACTCATAATTGTAGGCAAATTGGCAATATCAGATTTAGAAATATCGACTTTAAAGATTTGTTAATATAATGTTGAAACAATCTCATTAATCCCATTATTGAATTAACAAAATGTTGGGTTTAAATATAGGTTCTAGGACACCTATCCCCTGGACATCCACCCCTGGATAACCACCCCCTGTCAACTACCCACTAGGAAAACTACCCCCTAGGACAACTACCTCCTGGGCAACCACCCTCTAGGACGAATACCCCCGGGACAACTACCCCCGGACAACTTCTCCCCAGACAACTACCCCCCCCCCCCCGAACAACTATCCCCGGAAAACTACCCCTGACGACAACCATCCTCTAGGACAACTACCCCCAGGATAACTATCTCACTGTAACTATGATGTTAAATATTTGAAGATGGATATAAGTGAGTGGTACAAGGAAATCATACAGGTGTGGAATGATTTTGTCGACAAAGATGTATCAATCTAAAATCTAAATAATTTGGAACAATAAGTCTATACTTCTTGATGGTAAAACTATTTTCAAGTCCAGTATTTTGGAGAAAGGAATTGTGGAAATCGCGTAGGCCTACATTTTAGATAAATACGGGCGACCTATGATTTGGAAAGATGCAAAAGAAAGGGTTGTTTCGTTTGAATAATATTTTACTTTGTTAGACTGTTACAAGAAACTCCCTCTACATGGAAACATTTTTTTCTTCAACAAAACTTCCACACTGACACTGTTATGCTTTCTTTAAGCCCCATTACAACTAAAACTATATATGGTATTGTTATAACTTCTGTTGATGTGTCCAAAGGACAAATGTATTCTATGTGTATGCAAATTAACAATCCATCTATTTCGTCTACTTTCGCCTGCCTCAATGATCTGTACAGACTTCATGATTCCACCGCTGTTGAGCTTTTTAAATTGCCATTTATGCTCACGAAAGATACAAAATTACCAATGTTTCAGTTGAAAATCATCCATAATCTAATACCAACTAAAGTCTGGTTGGTTCATATTAAGAGAAT